TGCCTTTTAAAAGGTATTCTGGTCTCCCAAATGCACTATAAAAATAATAGAGAAGTATACAGGAAAATAAGCTGTCATTTCAATTTATCTAAAACCCACATGATTCTGCAGAAAATGAGAACTGATAAAAGCTTTATTTTCAGCTTGTAATGAGTATCTTGATTTTAATATTGGCAAAAAGTTCAGACAGATTAGTTTTCAAATCAATAAATCCAATTCACTCATGTTTGCTTTGCCAGTAGGAAAGCAATGACAAAAGCCAAACACCTTACAGAAATCCTTTAGCTGTGACACTAGGGGGAGGAAAAAAATTGAACTATATTGTTTATTAAGCTGCATATAAATAAACTTCTGTGTCTGAGGGAAGACAACATTGAACTGGAGAAGCACCGGACTGATTATGTTGTTTTACTGTTACTGTACTCCAACACCAGAGGGAAAGGCTCTGTGCCAGAGAAATCACACTTGCCAAATCTCTCAGCTGGACAGAATCTGTAGTGAATTCCTGAATATGATAGTCCAGAGAGCAAATCAGAAAAACAGTTGGGGAGAAAACTTTTCTGAGAGGAAGTATATACAGAAGCATGAGGAATGGCAAAGACCTTGTTTGACATACCGGTCTTCATAACAGAAGAGTAACCTGGAACAGTTAAATTTCTATCAGGGAAAGAAGGCTTGTCTTGCTCTGAAATAATGTCTTTTTAAGCCAATACCTCACTTCTAAAGTGAGAAGTAAATGTCACTCATTCACCTCTGAAGAGAGCTTAGCAATTGTACACTCTAAAAACCCCAAGGCATCTGTTAAGCTTGGAAAATCCTGGTATTTCACTCACAGAACTGTCATTATTTAGGAAATCAGGAGACTGGAAATCAGTCTGTTATACTGCACTATCCTTCACAGACTAAGCAACTGAAAGACTATGCAGAAACATCTGCATGAAGAATGCAACAAATCAAACACCCACCTGGCTGTTCCCATGAAGTACATTTGGTTGAAATTAGAGGACTTGCCTCTGGTCATACACCTGCACTACATTTTGGCTTACTCTCTTTTTGCCAAATACGACAACATATTTAGGAATGAGATAGACAAACCCCAAACATCAGTACTTTGGAAAGAAAACTAAACAAAAATCTCTGTTAACATATTTAACATAGTCTTCAAATTGTTATTTTAAAATATTCATAAAAATTAAAAGCTAAAAATGTTAGTGTTATCTACCCACAGTGAAATCTCTTACTAAACTACAGAGGGAAGCTTTCATTTGCCTAGGCAGTTTATGTTCAAATTAAATGCTACTTATCCAAATAAACTGAACTGGATAAGGACTCAAAAGGTAAGTTATACTCCTTGGAAGATATATAAGAAAAATTTGTATGTCTTATGATAAAACCTCTTATCACTGTCTGCAAATACCTGTTTGGGGGGAGTAAAGAAAATGAAGCCAGTAGTATCCAGCAACAGGATGAGAAGCATCTGGAAATAATATGAAATATATGGAAAGAGTGATGCTTTGGAAAAAATCTATGGCTGTAATGACATACTGTGGTCCCAAAATAAAGTCTAAAACCTTCTGTGAAAAGATCAGAAAGCAATGAATACACTGAGGCACAGAACTGACATCATTGTGTAGATACTCTGTATCTAAACTTAAATATGTAACAACACACTTGAAGAGTATTACAGTTGTATCTATTCTGTAAGTGTGTAACAGGTCTTACGGCAATTCATGATGTTTATAAAGTCTATTATCTGCACTAGATGCTTACTAAACAGTATCTCAGGAAAGTACCCAGAGCTACCAAAACATATCTGCAAAAGGTTCAGGTTTAACTCTGATGTAATCTATAGCAGCCTTCCATCTGTCCACAGAATGTAAACACATTCGAAATGGATGAATGGACAAATGCATGCGTTAGCCCTGTATTGATCCTTCTGTCTACTGATTTATGTCGTACTGAAAACTCATCTGGTAGTTAACACCCAATTGGAAAAAAAAAAGCAGTGATCTTAATTCTTAATTAAAATTTTTATTTAAAAATAAAAAAATTACTACTATATTTCTTCTTATATAACCATCTCTAGAGCACCAACACCTAGGTTCAGTAGGTAGGGCAATGGAACCTATTCTTCTTCTCTACTTGTATACACACGTGTGCAAACACATATGAATGTATATACATACTAACAAATACTAGCATCATGCACATAATACTAGTACCACATGACCAGCAGTTCAGTACCACCGTTGCCTTAGTTCACATTGGTCAGTATAAATTTGTATTTTAAATTAATGACTGTAGAGTTAAGGACTATAATATGCCTTAAAGCAGCAAATGAGTTTAAATCTAAAAGGATGGTGTCCTAAATCAACAGTACAATTTTAATTTAATACAACTTAAAAAAAAAAAAAAAAAAACCAAACCAAAAAACTTTTACAGTAGGCATTACATCTTTAAATTTTAGAACACTTTCCTCAAATCAAAACAGATAATTTTCAGGTTAATAGTTTTTTTGTTGTTTTTGTTTGTTTGTTTGTGTGGGTTTTTTTCCTTTGTTTCTTTTTTTGTTTTGATTTGGATTTTTTACATCCTTTCTATATATAGACTCTTTTAACCATATATATCCAGCACCCCACACTGGAAGAAGTAAACAACCTTGGACACCATTAAATACACAGAGCATGAACCACTACTTCAGCAATTAATCTGGCATTATTGACATGTAATAAAAATTACAAAGAATTATACATAACAGAGTGAAGTATTAATAATCTATGGTCTAAACTACATGTTCCAAGAAAAGGATCACTTGTATTCTGTAAAAGCAACTGCCCTAGAAATTAAAAGTCGCAGATAAAAACACACCTGCAATGAACTGCACAGTATCTGTGGTGCAGTCAACTAAATTTTGTAATGAGAGTAATCAGCATTTCTCTAGACTAAAAGATAAGGAAGGACAAAACGTGTTTGTTGGGTTTTGTTTTGTGGGTTTGTTTGTTTGTTTGGTTGGTTTTTTTTTGGGGGGGGGAAGAACAACAAATAACATTCGGAAACAGTATTTCAATCAGATCTACCTTTTGTTCAGTATGTTCTTAAAAAACTAACAAGAACTACTTCACAATCATATTTCCAGTTAATTTAAGAAAAACACTTTTTTTTTTTCCCAGTAGAAGCTGATTCATTAATTCGTTTCACACTCTGGAAAAGTGCCAACATTACAAAAAATACTCAATTCATTTGAAACAGGAAACTGAGTTAATTCTGTATTACTAATCCTTTAGCAAGGATTATCAAGTAACTAAATTCTGGACATCATTTTTTACCTGACAACTAATAGTTACATAATGTAAGCAACAACATCTTGTGCTGTTCATTCTCTTTGGGAAAGTTTTTCGTGAATGACCAAAAGTGATAAGTTTGCATTAAGCTCATTCCACACATTTTCATTACTGCAGACAAATAGATCTTCTAAAAATTACAATTAATGATTTTTTATTACTTTTGAAATATAATTTATTTATTTGTTTAAGGTTTAATCTAGATTTCATCCATTAAGCTACTCCACAGCAGCTCTAATATCACAACACTTTTGCTTAGTTCACTTGATTTCAGTGTTTTCCCTTCACTCAGATAATTAATATTCTTGATGGACTTAATACACAAAAAGGTCTCTGCGACACTGGACATAATCCGATAACACCTACTAAGGCAACTAGGGCAAATGTATTTTTAGTTGGAATAATATCAACAAGCATTTAAACATAGAGAATCAAAAAAACTAACATCTGAAACACAAAGCTTTTTTTCCTCCTTTTGTAAGAAAAAGAACAATCAAAAACTAAAACCCTAGCAAATACACACACTCTAATTTAGCAATCCCATGCCCTCTAAAGTTTACAAATGGTACCTGCAAGTTCTTAATAAGACAACTGCCTAAACACAAGTTAACTACTTATCAGCTAACTCCAATGTCAAATTGTTCTTGACTGCAAGAAATTGAATTAATAGTATTTATATTATCAAGCACTTCCTTTTCAATTCTAGCCTAAAAGCACACTTCTCTACATATTTTAAACCTTTAAACAAAAAGTAAACATTTCACACTATAGTAAGATTAAGTTAAAACATGACAAGTTACTGCTTCTTAAGCAATGTCACTGCTGAAGACAGTAAAACTAAAACTTTATGATTTAGACCAGAGTTACTCTAGAAGGTGTAATGTTTAGTAACACAGAAGGTCATCCAAAGATGTATATTTTAATGTTAAACGAACACAGGTATATTGAATTTGCAGACAAACAGCATACTTCATGATTCTATTCCCTCTCATTTTTTTATTTCTTCAGTATGGAGAGTGCAGTAGTATTCTATGATACTGCAGAAAGAAGGTACTGTGCCTTTACTCATAAGTACTACTGAACATAAGGTCATTCTGGAAATTACCGACTGATTCCCCTTGGGAACAGCTCAGTATCCTGTTCCAACTGCGGGAATAAAAGCTTCCATATACCAACTTTAAAATGACAGAAGAAATGTGAAGAAAAATAACTCCAGGGCAGGAGGGGGACATGATGACAACCAAACACTAGTATCAGTAAAACAGCACAGTGTAGCTGTTGGGAGTAATTACCTCCAGTCTCTTGAAGTTCATGAATGGTTAAAGTGCATTTTGAATAGGTGAAAATAAAACGGAAGAAAATCCTCCTAGGATCAGTCCATTTAGTAAACTAACATACCAGGAAACCAGATGAAGGACTCCGATTCCTTCATTTGCTAATATTTAAACCCTGAAATATTTATTAACAGTCTCTTAAAAAAAAAAAAAAAAAAAAAATCCACAAGGAGTGTTCCCAATCCAGTAGAAGACAAACTTAATGCAATAATTCTTGGTAGTCATTTGCACAAACAAGATAACTATTTGGGGTATGTAAACTTTAAAAAAAATAAAGCCACCAATTTTTCAATGTCAGACTATTTGGAAAATTGAGACTACTTACTCAAGTCAAGAACATCATCTGTTTTTATCAGATCTTCCTCCCTTGTTAGTGGTAACTGAGTTTCTGGCTCATTTCGCAAGTGCAGTGATAATGAACGGAGCATGAAGAAAACTCTGATTGCCTTGGGAAATTAAAAAAAAAGAATATTAAAATATTGCTGCACTCAGTATTACGTATTTTAACAGAATTCTACAAATGTATACTCACTTTTACAACCCTTGAGTTTGTTGTCATGCTGTAAATTTACTGTTTAAATTGAGAAATTAGAATGTGATTTCAAAGCTAGCTAAAAAAGGATATGGAAGAAGGTGAAACATGTTATTTGTTTTCAGTGAAGTATAAGCAGCAGAGCTTTTATCCCACTGACACACCTACACAGCTTGTGACTGACAGGCAAATGATTAGAGGAGCTGTTTAAGCAAAAACAACAATCTTGGATTTTTATTTTTTAAATCATTACTTTAAGACTGATTGTATTTATAATATCCATATGCTACAGACAACTACACAACCAACCTTCAGACACTCTGACAGTTTGAACTTAAAGTAATAACTTTTCTGGCTGAGTCTGGCTAAGACGTCTACAAGTTTGAGACAAAACAGTGGGGATTTTTGAGTTTTAATTTGCTGTGTTCATCAAAACTAACAACATGCCATATAGCACTCTCAGAGAACTTCATCTATATTCTCAGAAGGTCTACATCAGGGCAAAGCATTCTGAAAGCTGCATCAGTCCCAAGGAACTTTTAACAGCTGCTCTGTGAAATTAATATTCTTGCTTTGATTTAGAAATTAATGATATATGGTATGCAAAGATTAGATAAAGAACAATCATCATTTTATTAGCCACATTTTAGAAGGCACCATTTATAAACCTCTTCCACTACAAGTACTATATTTTCAGTACAGCAAATAAAAAATCACTTTTTATTACTTCCGGTGTTTTGTTTTTTAGAACAGTTTCCTACATAGTAATTCTGTGGCATACTGTAAGGCAGCAGTTAATTTACAGTAAAAACACTGAATTCACAGAACAGCTGCAGTGCCCAGGAACTCCCAGATTGCAGGAAGTACTAGGAAAACCAAATCTACACTGTTTTAGAGCAAACTCTTTCACTACTCTGTTTTTAAAATCAACATAACTGTGGCTCCTGTGAACCAGAAATGTGAGTGCTTGGCCAGCTATCATACTGATGGTGCTTTCTGAAACTTGTGGCAAAACAGGAATGAAGAGAGACAAGCCATGTATCTGACTATTCCATGCACTGACACCAGAGCAGATGAATTCAGTATGCTGTTGAAATCTAAGAAGACAATATGATTACTTGGAACAAAGAATGTCAAAAGTATCTAACAAATATTCATAAGGTAGTGTTAATATCGTATAAGAGCAGTGCCACTTTATAATGGGAGATGATCTCTCCCATTTAGGCAGACTGTGTTCTAATGTATTTTGGATTTACTGAAATTAAATGAGATTACTACAAAGCAGTTTTATTACCAGATGTCTCAAGAAGAATTCATGGTATTGGGTTTAAAAGTTTCCAAATTCAACCAAGAACTTCGGGGTACGTTTTTTTTTTTGTTTTGTTTTTTTTTTGTTTTTTTTTTTGTTTGTTTGTTTTGTTTTGTTTTTTTTTTTTTTTTAAATCAGAGGGCAGCCATCGCGCAGTCTGTTTTCACTTATTTTCCCCTCAATCTTCTTTCCCCCTGAGACAGAGAATTAATTTTCCTCACATACATTCCCTTTAAAAGTAATGTCATTCATCTCCAAACATATAATCACATCTACTGCACAATAATCTACAGGAGTAGGAAAGAAAATCAGAAATTTAGCCTTTTCAAGAAAATTTAAAAAAGACAAAACCAAACAGATCAAGACTACCATATGAAAAGGGAATTACACTGTGCTTCCCACAACACTGATAGCCCTCAGTTTGCTAGCAATATCAATATAAACCCAAAAGCATTTGATTTATGACTTCCTGTAATATTTTATTAGATATCAATAAAACAGCAGAGCAGTTCAGTGGCCTACTTTTTTTTTCCAGCTGACTTCTGTTTTCTTGGTTAAGTAGAAACAAATACAAATCGCTATCTACATTAAAGAACTATGCATAATCTTGAGGTATGCTTTGCACCAATTCCTTCCTTTATATACACACATACCATGTGCAAAGAAATAACAACTTGCAGGGAAACCTACCAGTATCTTATTACATACCCATAAAATAAATAGCATTCTCACAGGTAGTTCAAAATCTTCTCCCAAAGTCTTTGTTTGCTATGTACTCCAAGGTGCAGAGTTCACAACCTATACTGTTGATTACTTCCCAAATAAGCAGGTAAATGATTTTGCATTACTCTAGGTGACTGGCAAACAGTACCATCTTTAGGACAACAGAGATCAGAAGAGATGCAACCAACAAGCAGTAAGTGGACTATCAATTCAAAAGAGCAGCTGATTCTGGGCAGAAGCCTTGATCAAGCAGTAGTAGCTGATTTTAGAAAGCAGTCTAATAAATTCTGGTCATTTTAACGTTTTAACTCAGAGGGGTTGGCTGTCTGGATTTTGGAGATATTCCTTTGATAGCTTGAGAAATATCTGATTTCTGAGGAGTTTCTCCTAAATTTGCTAAGAGGAAGAGAACTGCCACTTGGAGGGACTTTCTATAGTGGAAGAAGTGAGAGCCTAAAAAGATCTGATCTCTAACAGCTAAGAACTCAAGATATAATCAGAGTATGGGACTTCTTCACTTGCTAGTAACTTTTTTAGATTTATGCAGTGGAATGCTCAGAATTGAATCACTATCCATTTGAAACTTAGCAAAAAGGACCTCTAACAGGGTAAGTGGCAGCAGCAATGTTACAAGACACACCTGAAGTTCAGCACACTGTTACAGGAATTAAGCCTGAGAGAGGTAACCTATCTAGAAGAAAGTAGCATAGGAATTCTAAGAAATCCTAAAACTTCTAGAGCAATGCAATGAGGGGAAAGAGGACCAACAAGGAAGCACTGTAGGAGCTCTTGCTGATGAGAACGACCCTTCCATCCTAAAGATTTTACAGGAATATTTGTTTTGCATTTCCACCAACAGAAGTTAATCTATTCCTTATGTAGCACATGAAAAACCATGGACTACTCAGTTTCCATTAATGCATGTTTATAAGTATCATTCTGCTAAATGCCTCAGAGAGAATTCTAGGAAGCATTTTTGCTTTCTAAGAACAATACTTTTTAAAATAATTCACTGTACTTTATCAAACAACTTGCTGTGATAACAAAAGTTGTGTGGCTTATAATAAGTAATGAAAACAGAAGTTTTCAGAAGATTCCTAGAAATATGTTACTTCAAGAGTACTTGAATATACTCACATATACACTTACACAAGTGCAAAACTACCTGCAGAACAGCACTTTTCAAATAGTAATGTTATGCAGCAATATATCTTTAAGACTTACTGGTGCTGCAAGAGTCATTGGACACCACTAGATAAGGGACAAGAACTGATTAACCCAAGAACACTGATAATGTTGTTGTTATTCAGGTCAGTATCACCTTTACAGATTGTGTCAGTCATAAAAGTAGATATTCTGCTATTTTTCTCCTCATTCTCAAGATCTCTATCATGAATTACCTTCAGCAGAATAAATTGTATTTTTTGCTATGTCTAGAAACACAAGTAATATGAAGCCAAACAGCTTTCTAGTGGAGATTCTTACTACAGGAATATGACAAAAGATAGACTGAGATATCAGATCACAAAAGAAAACTGACAATATATTCATAAGTGTCAGTAAATTGCCTTTTTATGTAGATGTCTCCACTATCTAAAAAATTAAAACCCCAGTGCAAGAACATATTGAATTGACTAGACACAAGAAATTGTAGAAAGAAAGTTTCTCTACTGGGACAGGTAAATATTATATGCTCTACACACAGGTCTATCTTCATCAAGTCTTTATGATTTCATGGATGAAGATTCCAATCAAGCAGTTTTCAAGAACAAACATTTGTATTTCTAGAATTGTTCAAAGCCTTGGGCATCATTCAGTCATGAATGAACGTAAGAAAAATAGTCTTACTCACTCTTCGTGTTCTTTCCACATCTCCACAAGGCAATCTTTTCACAAAATCAATACCAGTCAGTGGTGTCCCCGTTGGAGGCAACAAGATTGAGGCATCCATCATCAAGTACTCTACATTCATGGGTTTAATCTATAAAAATATTTTAACATTGACTACTATACAGAACAATAAGCATTTGCATCTTTACTTACAAATGCAACTCATGGTTGCATATTTTAAGAGGAAGGAATGGTTATAGAGCTCTGAGAATTTTTAACACCATCCATCTTATTTTAAGCTCCTTACATGCAATCTCTATTTTATATTTGCTCATCATTCCCTAACACACTGTTGAAGTTTCCATACTGAAAAAACACAGGAAAACTTTTCTTCTGTAATCTTTCAGAGTTTTATTTCATGAGCCCTAAAAACCAAAGTCTGTCAAGTTTGATTTTAAGTTTTGACTCAAATCTGTAATTACTTCAATCAGAAGAAAAAGTTTCCCATATCTTTTTTCCCCCCCCAAAAGAACCATCTAGTCTCTAATAATGCATTAAGTTTCACACTAGACAATTCCCTTCAATCTTGCCACTAACAGAGTCTCTCCCTTACATGGTTGCTTATTTTCATGAATAAATCAGGTCTGAAATATCTATCATTCTGTACCTCTGGGCAATTTCATCCAAGTTCTATTACATACACACACACTGGAGACATGAGCTGCTTTTTTGCCAGAAATCCAGCTGGAATGTCTAAAACTTACAAAGCCCTTCCCACCATTTGTACTATATTCTGCATAGAAGAAAAATGCAGTGACACAGGCATTCCAAAGTAGCCAACTGTAATAGGAAGCATTCCTGGCCACTTTGCCTTGGTCCAGATACCATAAAAGAAGCAGACTGAAACAAGGTCCAGAATTTTCACAATGCAGTCTTGAACTGCTGCCTTGCACACATACAAACTCAAAAATAGTGTTTAGCCAATTTTTCTGATCTCAGAACAATTAATTATATTCCATGTCTAAAACACTGGATTAACAAATTCAATTAATGTGTAGAAAGATACAGAAACTACGTAGACAGTGAGAACAAATGAGAACACAGAAATAAAATTTCTGACAAGTAAATAACTACTTCAGATGCAATTCACATGAGCGTATACTGGTTTAAACAGCATTTTAGATTATATAGGTGAAGAATGTTAAAAAAGGAAACTCACTGCTGAAAGTAGAAATACTAGGAACTGCAGTGTTCAATTTACTTGCTCCTCTGCCCTTGTTCTCATCTATCTTTAATGAAAACAACTTTTTCCCTTCTTTGTCATTCAGACAGAGCAAGTATACTTCTGCCTTTGTAGCTGCTCTATACCATGTTACCTTCACAGCTCATCTGACAAGACATCGGTGTCACTTAGCATTTAAATCAGCCTGCCCAGCAAATAATTTGCTAGCTAGTCAAATAAATACTCTTTAAAGAAAACAAAGTTCAAGTTCCAGGGTGTAGCTCTGTCTCTTATGGTAAATTAAAAATATGCAGTTTCAGAAACAGATACACAAATATAAGAACCTAAACATATACTGAAAACCTAAACATACACTGAACTTGCAACACAAAAATTATGCTAGTATCAGTGCCACTTCTCAAACTAAAAGTAGAGCAATACTTAACTAGTAAAAAAGTAAATTTTCACCAAGTACTTCTATTTTTTAGGCTGGTAAGATACATGCAAGATGATTCATGCATTAAAAGACTTAATGCAACACACTAGTTGTAGACTGTGCTTTTTTTCAAAAAAGACAACCAGTGGCTGCTCATTAAATCCCTGTACCACTGTGGGGAAAAAAAACACTGTACCTGACTACCCTGAGTATTTTTGTCTGAAATCTAACCTAAGAAATGAAACAGATAATTAGTTTTAAAACATGTTTACAGATTAAATATGAACTGAGATTAATTTTAGTAATCTGTTAAAAATTTCACAGCCAGTACTGCAGTGCAGGCAGTACCTCTCCCAGATTAGAAAAAGGCTCCAATATTTGCTCACTAGAACCCTGTTCTCCACTGGTAAGTAAAGTGGCACCACTCAAAACTGAAACCGTGCTGGGCTTCAGAAAGATATAGGAAGATGTTCACATTGTTTAATAATAAGAAAAAACCTAATTAATCCAATGTCTCATTTCCCTGGATAATTTTTGTATACTCACTTCCAGAAAGGAATGGATTTACGTTAAACAAAGAAGTGTGAAATTTCACATAAATGATTTATGTAAGTACGGACATAACTCCTCAGAGACAAACACCCCCCCCCCCCATTTTGTTATTCTACTCCCAGAAATAAAGATACCAGCATATTCAGTAGTTATCAGTAAGTACTTGTTCTTGCTCCTGTGTTGTATCTAGGCTTGAGGATTTGGCAGAGTGGAAGGAGTGTCACTTACTGTCATACTCCGGTACTCATCTTCAAACATATCCAGAAAAATTTCTTCTCCCTATCAAAAAAAGGGATATCAAGAATCCTTATGACTATGGAGCCATGCTTGTTTGTTTTTGTTTAATTATACTGGATGTTCCTGTCCAGAACCTGGCAGCAGAGCTGCAGGGCCTCTGTGAGGAAAGGCCAGGGCTCCCACGTGCTGGACACAGCTTTTTCCAGCCCGCGCCAGCACCTCCACTGCAGGACACAGCTGAGTGTCAGCAACACTGATGGGCACCTCTGGGAAAATGCAGTTATGACAGGGAGATTCATTCCTCTGCAGCCCATGGAGAGAATCATGGTGAAGCACATATCTATACTGCAGCATTGGAGCAGATGGACATGGCCTGAAGAAGCTGCAGTCTGTGGAAGACCCGCAGTGAAACAGATTTTTTTCTTGAAAGACTGCAGCCCATGGAGCAGAATACCCACACTGGAGTAGGGGAAAAGTGTGAGGAGGAAGAAGTAGCAGAGATGAACTGTTATGGACTGACCTCAACCCCCCATTTCCCACCTCCCTGCACCACTCAGCAGGGGGAAAAGGTAGAAGAGTCAGGAATGAAGCAGTGAAGTTAGGTCTGGAAAAAGGGAAGGGTGGGGGAGGGTATTGTTTTAATTTGTCTTTGTTTCTCACTATCTTATTTTAATTGGCAATAAATTAATTTTTGTGAAATTGTGTCTGTTTTGCCTATTATAGTAATTGGTAAGTGATCTCCCTGTCTTTATCTCAACCACAAGTTTTCTTCATCATATATTCTCCCTCCATCCTGTTGAGGTGGGGGAGTGAGAAAGCAGCTGGGTGCACTTCTGGCAGCCAGCCAAGGTCAACCCACTTTCGTAAGCCACATTGAGAAAACATTCTTCAAGAGAATTCTAACAAAAATAGATTTTAGACACTTGAAATCTGTCATAGATTTACTGTTCCTTATATAGAAGTTAATGCCTAGGGATAAAATTTTTATTTCTCTCATTGTTTACAATACAAAAAAAAAAAAAAGGCAAAAAGTGGCAGGTCTCCAATAAGAAAAGAAGATTTAAGTAAAAGAAACACATTCTATATTAGTGTCAATGATAAAATCCCAGAAATGTTCTAATAATGAGGCTCTGTTCCATTAAATACATAGTTGCAAAAAAGCACGACTGCTAACTTGACCTCCAGTATAACCCCTGTGACTTCTAATGTACGTCTTTTTATGATGTACATCAGTGTAGTACAGTAAGGGCAGGAAAGGAGAGGAATCCTCCAATGAAACACTTCCTTCTCTATCACAAATATGGAGTTCCCACATTAAAAAAAGTATTGCTTTGGGCACTATGTAGACACTGGGCTGCAGACTTGCAATTCCACATTATGTAAAAGATTTTTTCTTACAGCTTTTTGCATATATACCTTATAGAAACGACGGAGGAGATGAACACTTTCTTCCCTTGCACCCTAGAAACAATAAAATAATTGTGTTTTAGGGAGTAAATACACCATTTACTCAAAATTCATATTTAAAAAAAAACATCCAAAACCTCATACATAAGAGATTGTCTATTAATATCCCCATACTCATAGCCTTCAGCCCAGAATTTGGTAGAATACAGTTCTCGTGCATTGGAAAATACAGCTTATGTGAGCTTGTTAGTCTCAAAAGCACTTTTCTTTCTGTTGTTGAGATGGATGACATACAAATTTCAGACAGAAAATTTAGCATAACCCTTCTTGAGAAGTTATTTTAAATAGCAAGGTAGCAGCAAAGCTGAAAACAGAACATGGGGTATTGATTCTTCACATTCACTGCAGAGAGCCACCAATAGAACAAAGATGTTCTAGAAGCTCAAATTTCACATTTATGCTTCTTGTAATCAGAAATTAAACAAATTTATTGAATTTTACTACAAGACTCAAAGACAAGTAGTGCTGTGACTGGTAATGTGAAAGAAAATACTTACCTCAAGGCAAGCAAGGTGAACATCTTTTATGATGCTGCCATTCTTAGAAAACACAAGCTGCTTCAACAACAGGCAGCCAAGTTCTAAAGTTGCCAAACGGATTTTTCCATCTATGAAAAGAAAATGTCAATATACAAAACAGTAGCAGTTTAAGCATTGCTATTCTCATTACCTAATGTTCTTAAATGTTTCTACTCTTCTCTGCAATTGTCATACACATGCAATCTGACAAGGATGAGTGCTGATGCTTGCTTGAAATGCTGAGGGCTGTAAAAAAAACCAACAGCTGGAAGAATAATTTAAAGCAGAAGAAAATTTAAAGAGGAACCGTGCAATAAGGCAGCAATAAAGATTAATACTATTAGAAAAGAAGACGAAAACAATGCCTTTATCAATCTGAAGCACAGGTTGAATTACACTAAAATTACAAGAGTCATAGACATTTGGAATGGATAAAGTCATGAGATGAAAGGAAGTTTTGTATATAGCATACTAGTAAGACAGCTTTTCCTTAAAAAAAGTCCAAAGGATTCAGATACAGCATGGATGGGAGAATCCAGAGAAGTCAGAGTGAAAGAACGCATTGATATTTTAAGCTTACAGTTTCAGAAGGACTTTAAAAAAAAAGCTATTAGAAATATAAAGCCTGAGCTCAGTGATCAATACTAAGACAATATACCCAAGGAGACAGACAGACAGACACCTTAGCTTTTGACCCCAACTCCCACCTAATTTCAAGTTAGCACTATGCTGCCAGAAACTAAAGATACAAAGGCCAGTAACCCGCAAAAAAGAAAAGGAGATGTTCTATACAGCATTTAGCAAGCTTAATAAAAGCCCACTATTTTCCACCCCTCCCAAGAAGTGCTTTTGTTTAAATGCATTTCCTCATCTTGAACTCTTTCCTTCTGCAGTATGTACAAACTCTTTATATATAACATGCTTTTACTCTGTGACTGGCACATCAGCATAACAAGTTAATACTCTAGATCAGTCTCACAAGTCAAACAAGCATTAGATTTTATTCTGCAGACAATTGGGAATTTGATAGTGTGTCAGTTTCAGGGGAAACCCAGTTCTACTTATTTGAAGTTTTAAGAGGGGAAGTGCAGGGAAAAAACTTGTGGCTTGAACAGAAATCATGTTTCTGTGGAATAGGTTACTGAGCCTTGTATCCCTCATTTCACAAAAGTGTTGCAGTCAGGAAAACCCCCACATTTCCTACAAAACAGTTCAAAACTGAAAATATCTATTATTATTAAAAAAAAAAAAAAAAAAAAGGGAAAATTTGATATCACCTCTAGAGACAAACGACTGCTATAAGCAAAGGGTACCATATAGTTTTCAAGACCATCACTAGAATTATTTCTGCAAGCAAAGGTGCCACAGACCATATTTTCAGGATAAAATCCTACCAATATTGGAAGTGATACCTGGTTGCGCAGCATAATTCATTATCCTGATAAGTCCTTCTGCAAGTACATGATTATATGAATTCCTTTCTTCAGCATGTTGAGCTGGAAGTTGAATTCTCTCCAGCTTGACTGGGTCAATTCCTTTTATGGGGGATGAAGGAAGAAAGGTGAATTAGAAAACAGGAGTATGTCTAGAGGTAAATATTTAATAAACCATAGCAGTTTTCTCAGAGGAGTGTAATTAGCAGTACAAAACTGGACAAGTTAGGTTTTGAATTTCTGTCACAAGAAAAAGAAGGAACAACAGAAAGACCAAACATATTTATGTATCACTGAAAAATTAGCCTTAAATGGAGTCTACTGGATGAAGACACTCAAATCCTACAGTGGTTGGTGACATCCAAACCATTTTGTTACATCTGGAATTCTCAGACTATTTGTTTGCATCTAAACCAAATCAAAGTCAAGACATGAACCTGGAAAGCATAAAGGCTAATGGGGAAAAGATGAAGTCTGATTTTAAGTTCCACTTCGGTAGTTAGCGATCTTTTCATATATATTTTTAAAAAATAGGACTTTTATTTTATATCTAAGTAGCCCCTTATTTAGTACATGACAGATTTAGTACCTCACAGATTCTCACTGACTTGTATAAGGAAACTAAACCCATCTTTCTTCAACCTATGTCTCTAAAATAGTGAAGTTACTTCTCAGAATAGACAGGTTACTGTAAAACCTCTTAGAACAAACATAGTTATGGAACACTGAGGATCTCCCTGTGCTTGTTCTAAGGAATGGTAATAAACAATCCCATAAAACAGAAGATGGTGATAGACCTTGCTAATGTTTTCTTTTTGGTAGCTATTGCTTCAGGAAGCCAAGACCAGTTTGCCTTTACCTGGCGACAAAAGCAATATACTTTCCAAGTATTGCCTCAGGGATACCAACACAATCCCTCCATTTGTCAGCAAATGATAGCAGCTGATGTGGCACTATGGCCTGGTATCATGACCATTTACCATTATATTAATGATTTATTATGTCAGCATCACAGCAACATATTGAAGCAGCTGTTGAATTACTGAATGCACATTTACAGGACCAGAGGCTGGGCAGTTAATCCAAACATGGAGCCCTAGTACTACTGTACAATTTTGGGGAATAGTTTGGTATTGACAGATTAGAGGAATACCAAATATGGTACAGCAAACAGTCCGGCAATTTCCATTCCAACCACAGTAAAAGAGTTACAGACTTTTTTGGGATTTTTAGAGTACTTTTACCTCACATTACGTTATTAAACCCAGAGTAATGTTAACTGAAGGAGCTGGAGCGATGCCGTATTTATTACTGGAAGGCAATGACAGTCTGTCTTTCTCCCCTATCACAGGTTGGCTCATTGTGCTTTACAGTCTTATACTACAAGCACATACCCTGGACACATTTCTACAAGATCAGCATGTACATGCTTAGATTCAGTTGGCCTTTACTGTAACTGACTCACCTGCCTTTTATATTAAGGGAACATTAACAACTGCAGATCTTTTGACAATTAATGTTTCTCATTGCTATTTTTTCTAAGTAGGTAATGGCTGTATGCCAATGAACTTCACAAAATTCATTGACAGTGGACTATTTCCTCCTTCCACAACATAAACACTCTTTCAATTGTGAAGGCATGTGTTGCTTCAGCATGACCGATGGATCAGCCAGCACAGAGAACAACATTCAACATCCCCAGTAACTAATGCATCAAATGAAACAAACTACTGATGGTGCCTGGCTGGCTGAGTTGTTTAACACTCTGAAGGGATGAATGGGAGGCCTGATCCCAAACCATTATTGTAGAAATATGTTCATTTTTTTTGGCAATAGGCCTTGCAGCAGTTAGATGCATGTTTTCTCACCTTCTGTCTTCTCTTTCCTCTGCACTTATTCACTATGTATGGATTGCAACAGTCAAAGAACTTTGAGTGTTTGAGCCATGGGGTGGGATGTGAGAGATGACTTGTAACTCCCTGAAACAGGGACTGAGAGAACAGCCTGAGATAAGAGATGGGGAGGAACAGGAGGTCCTCGGAGCTGAGGAATGTCTCAAACACTCACAATTAATGAAATGGGGTGGATTATGTGGAGTCAGGAGCTGATAAAGCTGCCTGAATAGCACAGGATGCGGTGGGGGGAGGGAGCTCTGTGAAGACAGGACAGTTCTGATCTGGTGCATCTTGTAAAGTTTCAAGGGCCATCTGTCCAGTGAATGACCTTTGCTACATTATCTGTGAAATATGCATTAAAGTTGACACCTCTGCATATGCTAATGAAGATTAACAAGACCATACTAGTTACATCATCCCATGAAGCACCTTACCCCTCCCCATCTGTGTGATATGTAGATACGTAGGTTGACCTAGGGGAGGGACCTAAGGAAAGTGTGTATAAATTGAGGGGGGGTGAGGAGTGAAATATAGAAAGACAGAAGACGTGAAGAAGATAGATGCATCTCTGATGAATTCAAGATGGTACCAACACAGGAACCTAGACGGGTGATCTCAATTTCTCTATTCTCTCCCTCTATCTCTCTTCTTTTTCCCCTTCTCCCTTATTACCTTTAATACAAGGCATACTATATTGTTTACCATAATTCATCATACACTTAGCCAATTATAATGTATCCAATTAGTATGTTGTGGGAAATTAATAAATGTCTGTGCATGGACTTTGTGACTTGTCTCACCATTGTCCACTCTTGTCTGAGTGGGATGTGACGACTGTGAAAGCCCTGAAATTGTCAGCAAATTATAATCTCAGAAAAGCATTCCTTCATTCCCGGAAAAAGATAAAGCCATCAAAAGGATGGAGAACAGGAGGGGCTGATCTTAGCTAGTTCCAAGACTCTCATTTCCACTCTACTTGCCTGTCAGCGGTACCTTGAAGCTAGAACAGAATTCTTACTTTTAAGTATGCCACCACACCCGATACTTTTTTGCCCAGTTTACTGTAGCAGATGATTCATTTAAATTCTGGTATGTTATAGAAACTATCCTCCTATGCAGAAAAACTTAAGTTCAGCTCTCAATTCCTGAAACACATGATTATTCACACGTATGAGATAATTACATCATTGCTCCATAAGGAATCTTTTTAAAATGCACACAAAGATAAGCAGCAAAACAGCTAACCATAATCATCCCTTAGAAAAGGTTACATATTCTCATACTGTCTGAATTATAACTAAGTACATATTTAACATAGTTTTGTTACTCCAGGCTCTTTGGGAGACTTGCAAGATGCTTTATGGCATAGAACACAAACAAGCTTTTAATCAATTACGGCACAATGGATGAGAAGGCTGTTGAGGAATTGCAAAGTATAAAAAGAATTACTGAAGGACTGTCAAAGTTGGATAAAAATAGGTAATACATGACTTCCATAATCACATCTGATTCTCAGGCTTTGTGCATTATCTATATGTTTGAAGTATACAAAGATTTAATTTTAACATATGGGGACAAGTTTTATAATATTTTTTTTACTTGGCTTAGATATAGCAATCACAGTACAGACAAAGTGGGAGAGAACTGGATCCCATATATATGTAGATCGAATATAGCGGGCTGCAAGTGAAATTAAGAGATTAAAAATGAAACACAATAATCCTATTCCAATTCCAAGAAACCTATGGAAGAAAAGTTCTCATGTTCATAAAACTTTCTATCAAATCGTTCTTAAATAGTGATCCTTAGCAACCGTTTTTACTTACAGTATACTTTTTTTCTGTCTCCCTCATGTCACGAATTTCTCACTGTTTAAGTCATGCACGAACATAAATTACAAACAGATCATGCCTGTCTAAAACCATGTGTCTCACTCTTCTCTGGAAAAAGCAAAAATTGCTTACCTTTGTTGTGTGACATTGCATATAGAAGACAGAGCACAAAGAGGGCATAGTAATCATCTTCAGCACAGTCCAGTGCATTATAGACCATATCAAGAAAAGGCCTGTGGAAAGGAGTAATTTAAAAATGGGTACGAAGAAAAAGACCATATCTACAGAAAGATGAGTAAATATCTTGTTCGGCATGTAGCTAATGGAAGAGACAAGTTCATAGCAATGTAGTAATGCACATTTTCAGGCACTTAACCTGTTTAAGAGTAACTCATTATAGCCATGCCTTGTATTTACATTCTGACATTAATTCTGATGTTTTAACAGGATTTGTGACATAATACTTTTGCAAGAATTGATTGTTCACACATTTACTGGGTTGTTTGTAGCACATTTAGTATGTATGCAGAAGCATTTTGCAGCTTGTTTTAAGTGTACACTAAGGAACTTCAAGGAGTTACTATCACTGTTGCATAAAAAACCCCTCAACACCTTAAAACTCCTGTACTAAACAGAGTTGAAAAATTTTTACTATTACAAGAAGCAGTATGCACCAAAAGTTTGGAGGAAGCTAGGTTATTCTAAAACAATCAGTCAAAAACTTTACTGAACAGTTATAGGAAAGAAAAATGAACAAGGAGGGAACATTTCAATGGAAAAAAGAAAGCTCTGGACTCCAAATGAGCTGTGTTTTCCTGCATTTAAGCATGTGTGACCTACAACACATGTAGGAAACTACAAACAGTGCCAAGTTCACTCTTCACCTGTACCCTGAGCAGACCAGAAACGTCAATTTAATCCAGAAGCTGTTTGGACAGACCAGATATGGCCGAGATTCAGCTGATATTAGCACAAGCCTGATGGCAAGACAACTTGGCTTCTTGTCTTAAACTGGCTTGCATCCAATCAGTTCAGAGCACAAGCAGAAATTAAATCCATTTTTACAGGTGGCCCACAGATGAAGAAGAAGAAAAAATCAGGGAAGTGTTAGAATCACCAGAAGAGAGTTTAGAACCCTGATTGAAGAGATTATTCCTACCTCAAAGTATTCTTTTAACAGTGAAAAAAAAAAAAAAAAACAAACAAACAAACCAAAAATCCTTACAATAGCTAAGCTACATTCAAATAAAATACATTAAAATAACATCCGAAATCATAAAAACAAATACATTTTCCTATCTTCAGACCAAGAAGACAAGAAGCATCCACTACAAACTCATCACTGTGGTTTGCTGGGGGTCAAAAGAGCTATCAAATATCCGAACACAAGATACTTCTATACCTATTCCAGACCGGTGGCACCCTCAGAGTCACACAACGTAACCCAGTAAGCCACGCAACCGAAGTCATAACAACATATTTGACACTTCCTGACAGATTTCAACAACATGCTCTCTTACTAAAACAAGTCTATGACACGAAGAACAGAACACACTGCTTCTCTTCTCAGTTCATGACATTGCAGTCGTATGTATGTGTGTTTCTGAAGCTGGAATACAAGCATGCTCTATGATACACTTAAACGCCACTGAGTTATGATCCCTCTTTGCCCAACTTCAGGACTGCTCTATGTACCTAAGCCAAACTTCTCACATGATGTGCCCCGTATAGGTCTCAAAGGAACATAAATATTCAAGCAAAAACAGCCTAAAGAATTAGCAATGTTGAAAATAAACCAAGAGTGCCTTCAGTCTTCTGAAGCACAAAACAAGCCCTATAAACCTCAAGACATCCTGAAATATTTTTCATTTCAGATGCTTCTTCACAGCATCTATTTATCTGCATTATCAAAGTCTCAGTTGCAATAATTGAAAGCCAAAACAATATCTAGGAATCCCACGCATCAACAGGCCCTCACATAGGCTAAATACAGGATAGACCCAGAAAACTTCAGCTGTAAGAAAGTAGCAACAGAAGGCACAATGTAACATGAAAGTTTTGCATTCTTGAAAACACTTTGCTTTGTAGCATATCCTAAAAGGAAGTTAGTTTAAAACAAGCTTTTGGGCTTAAACTTTCCAGTAGTGAGGCACATCAAAATAAAGCTGCACCAAAAATGCTTAAACTTTCTCTTTTACAGTTACAGATTTTTAACTGCAAACTGTGCTGTTTTCCGTTTATTTTTCAACAACAATTAAAATTTTTAGACAATTTTTAAAAATTACTTTTAATATTAAAGGCTATATGGCAAGTATTTTCAAAAGTATTTCTTAACACTGTAAGCATCTTCTTCCTTTACTAGCCTTTTACTAGTGACTTCATAGAAGAAACAGACGAAATGCCACATAAGTATTCTTCAAATTATTTATTCTTGTGGAGTGTGTCTGCAATTGAAGATGGCAACACATTAGGAATCACTATCATCACAATCATTAATGATTATTCCAGTTATGGAAGTTTCTCCCACTTCAAGCATGGAATAAAAGATCACTGCATTTTCCACTGCCACATGGCACCTTATCCACAAGGCTCAGTGATTCCAATCAGTGTAGGAAAGAAGCTATACACACTTGAGCAAATTTCTTGAGATTAGCTACTGTTTCAAATATTACATCTGGCATATAGAACAACTTAAAATCTTCAGATATAGCAGATTATCTACCTGTATTTCCAAAAATTAATGTATGAAACCAAGGCCAGAAATGCCATACACAAGGCCTAGCCTTATTTTAAAAATATTTTTAGCTCTGCACATTCTTTGATGCTGGCTAATTTTAGAAAAGATGCAGGTTGCTGTCAGATCATATCTGCAGATCAAGAAAGTCCTGAAATGCAGACATCTGCAAAATTCATTGGCATCTCACATGTAAGTATTTTGCACTTTTCAAGAGCTTTAATATTCAATGCAGTCATTTCCAATTTCTTTCTAAAAGCCATTTGGCACATACTTTAGTCAAAATATCAATAATCTAGAACAATGTATTTTAAAGCCAGTTCAAGTCAAGGTTCAATTTCACTTTTACAATGAAATTAAATGTTATCTTTATTAATGAATGTAATCTCAGCTACATCAAAGCTATAATGGAGACAGAATGAAATTCTGGGAATACTGGACAGCATTTCCCAAGTTTAAAAATAAATCTGAAATCCTATTAAACATGTGCCTTTCCCCAATAGACACATTTGCAATTACTTCTGTGTCAGAGATGGCACATTTGGTTTCTTTTCTTTAGCATTCTAATTACAAGAAAGCAAAATTCTTACTGAGAAAGTGTCTTATAGGTATTTAATATATCCAAGTTTAAATTTTAAAGTCAGATCTGCTCCCAGAAACAACTAAAAACTGCATTTCCAATAGAAGTTTTCAACAACCCTAAGATATACTAACGGACCTTGGAAACTGTACATGGGTTAGTAGGGCTTATTTGTAACTAATGCTACTAAAATTCTGCAAAATTTAGCCCTGAACTGAGGAATTTTCTTTGTTTTTTCCCTATAGGTCACATCTGTCAGTTTTGTATACACCATAAATATAATTAAGAAAACATCTTTTGCCTTAATTTAGAGGTTTAGAAAAATTCTGGAATGAAAACATTTATAGTCTGGTTTTATCATGCTAATATTCTGTAATTTAACTTTACCAACTTAAGGCAACACAACTGACATAATTGAAAGTGCAAGCTTTACAAAGGAACAGGACCATTTCCAAAAGTGATCAACAGAGAGGCCACACCCCATTTTTCTGTTGCCTCACTTATCTGTGATCCACAAGAACCCCTGTAATTTTAATTGGAGGAAGATTTGAAACATCCCTTAAGAGAAGCAAGAGAGTTAGCAGGATGGAAAGTAAGGAAGCAATCCAACAAAATATATTACAGTTCCTTTATACCTGTTCCAGTTTGTTATCTCACTCCCAGAGGCAGCTGCACTCTTTTCTTCATCTGTTGTATTCTGTTCTGTCACAGTAGAGATAGACAATTCTGACAGTTTACATCTCTCCATGATTACCATCTCTATTTCTAAAAACCAAAAAAAAACAGTTATTGCAAGCTCTTTTGTATTTTCCGTTTTGTATGAAGTGACTGATGCAACTGTATGTAAGAGGTATAACCATAACATCCGAAAGGTTAGTGGATGAATATATCTAGGCTAATTTTCTTCCCAATAAAATAGTTTGCTTCCATTTCTTTATGGATTTTAACTGCTATAAGAAAATGATACATATGTATCATATGCATAAAGAAAATACACATATTACTTTGGCAAATAAACAAGCAACAGTAATTCCCCTCCAAACCACAGGAAGAAAAAACATAGAACTTCTTTCTGGAAAAGAAATCTGTGACAGTGCTAGTGAGATGGGGGCATGAGTGGACATCAAGTTCAACAGAGGGTGTAAATAGGTCTCTACAACTACAGCAAACAGGATGCCTGGTCCCGAGTGCTTCATACCTACTGGCTTTATGTAGAAGAATTAGGACCAAATCTAGCTTTTGCTTAAGAACTTGGACAAAGATGACTACCAAATGCACCAGTTTAAACAGTAGATCAAATTGTATTTTCTTCAAATCATGGTAGACAATACATCATCAGTTATTTGACACCATTTAAGGAAAATCTTCTCACACAGACTGTTTAACAAAATCAAAATGCAACTATGTTTGAAGAGGGCTGTCAAAGCATAAAGGTCTTGTTTTCAATTGCTTGCATGCAATTCTGACACATTTTTCTCAATTTATGTCTAAAGAAAAGATTAGTTTCTGATGTACACCCTTCTAACAGTTACTAACTAGCAGTTACGATACACTGTAAGACCACTCATCCTATAAAACCAATTCTTCTTAAGGTTAGTATTACGTCAGAAATTCTGAAAACGGGCAATTAAGAAATCTACAAGTCAAAGGTTTTCTTCAGTTTTGAACTATTTATTATAATCTTCCACCATGTACTATTACTTTTAGCACACGTGTTGAATTTTATCACTGAAACATGCAAAAAATCCTCCTAACCATCTTACAAAGGTAAAGTGGCTACACCATTTGCATTACCACAGAAGGAAAAAAGTTACAAAGTTGAAGTCTACTTATAAAGTGCCCATAATCATGTACACCTGGGTGCAAGGCAGGCTTTTGTGATAAGGGCCAAAAGCTACAGGAAGATATGAAAACACGTTCATAGTTTTTAATCAGATTAGAAGCATATGTTCTGACAGAATGATTTAACATGAGAAAAAAAATACAGCCAAAGATTGAAACAAATTTAATAGTCCCACATTCACTTAAAGCAACAAGAGAATAAGTCACATAACAGATCACAACTAGGTCCATACAACAAATGAAAGTATCCAAGTTGTAAGCATCATTTTCATTTGCTAGTATACTCACCTTCATTTTCAGTGCTTGTTCTGGTGCCCTTTGAACTTGCTTCTGTACTTTTACTTTTATCAAGATCATCTTGATTATCTTCAGATCCTCTCTCCTCTTCATCTTCTTCACCAACATTTTTATAGTTAGGTCTTTTCTGAACCCTCTTCTTCCCCTTCTGTTTGTTAATTTCAAGAGACCTCTCAAGTGTTTCTGTTGGTTTTATGAAACATCTGATACTTGACTTTGCCTGTGAATTTGAAGAATTTACACTGAATTAAGCAAGACTTTTAACTTTAATGAAAATGAAACTTCAGAGTTCATATAAGAGAGGGTAAATTAGCATACCACTTGCAAATCTCAAATCCATTTTAATCTTCAAGGAAGCAGAGCTCAAGCTGCATCAATTATCTCCGAAGTAACATATCCTAACAATCTATCATTAAAAAGTATGCCATCTTGAGATAAGAAGGTACAGAACTACCTATTTCATCAATGGAAGTTTATTAAAACTTTTTCCCTTCTTTGAACTTAACAGGTGACACAGCTAGTACATACAAAATTAAGACACCTTTTTCGAAAAGCATAAAGGCAGCAAAATCTAAAGGGGGTGTTGACAGCAATGTATTAATATGAAATACACTCTTTAAATGTTTTTGGCAGTAGCAAGGACAAAGACCAATGCTTTGTGCTGTGAGCTTTTTCTGAATCTTAACCTTCCCTCAATGGCATACTAGTTCTTCTATCAAGAAGGAACAAATGGCACTGACATTAACCCTTTTTTGGGCATCCAGATGTTGACTTACCAAGTCTGGACAACCAAAACCACTTCATTTGTTACACTTTAACATACCTGTGTTCTACACAAAGATATCAGAAGTTTATCTTTCAAGTCAAAACACTGGTTTCAGACAAGGTAGGAAACAGTATTCAATTAATACCTGCTTTCCCTGGTTATTAATCTACAGAGCAAGTAAAGACATTTAGAAGACAAATTTCTCCCAGAGGAAATAAGTATCTCCAAGACTATGTGCCATCCCAACAACAGAGAACAATGTATTCTTATAGAAAGACACAAGACACTACAAGAAGTTCTACAGCTAGCAGGACAAACAAAACTTGGTTTCCTACATATTTGCGGATTGTTTCTGTCCTGTGATACTTTGAGCTCCCTTCTCACTTCTTAGGCCTGCCAGCTGGATTACCAGAGCGCATGCTCTTTCTCACCCAGAGTTATAAACACTGATCAGCCAAACCTCTCTGTTACTGAGACATGAAACACATGGTTTGGGGGCTTCCTGCAAGCACAGGTTTATGCTAACAAGACTGCTACAAAAACATCATTACCTTTCAGACCTCAATATTTCAATCACATTTAGCTGACGCTGGCTAAAGGGTTAAAAAATTAAGGGCAGGTAAAGAAAAGAAGTAAGACTAGAGTAAATACAAAACTGATTTCACTCCTTGCCTTAGGTGATTCAAATACAATAAGCATTGAAAATAAGGGCATCCGAAATCTCAGAAAAAGTTTGGAAAAATCCCTCCCTTCACCTACACATATAAAATAAGAGATTAGGAAGATGCCTTCTATAAGTCAAAAGGCCAAAATATCTCTCTGAATCTTCTGAATTTAGAGAGGTTTTATATAAATCTTGCGTAAGTCACTTTACACTTGGCACCGAAACAAACCATACAGTAGGAGGAATCTTTCACAATACCAAAAAACCCCACAATGTAAAATTTACCACATTTATGTCCACCAGTAACCTCTCTAATATATTTTTAGTGTGATCAAACTGCAACATCAGAAGTTTATAAAACAACCAGAGTTACAACCAGATTACCGTTTATTGATGGCTTCTGATCAGAAAAGTCATGAGACAAGGGAAGAACACATTAAGTCCTATTCTTTAGGAGGAAAAAAGAAAAGTAGCATGCAAGTTGCACACTGCATTATCTCATTCCTGCATTCACTTCTGACAATTGCTTCCTAGAATCCTGTAGCTACTTTTTTTATGAAGAATGTACGTACTTAACATCCTTGCATTTCCAGTAAGCTGTTAGCCATATGAGCAAAGTAACAGAAGAGACCAGTAGACAGTGATGTACTCATAAGCAGTGAACCATGGTCTGGTCCATCTCAAGAAAGAATGATGTGGAAGAGTCAACATATATATTCTGTTCTGCCAAATATAACAAGGCTATGTATCTAAAACATTCTAAAATCAGACTTAAAATTAATTTACATAGTATATGGTTTATCTAGGTTGATTATACAGTTTGAGATACTGCTACTTTATACTTTTAAAACATCTTTCAAACATATTTTCAATTATGGCTTGTCTTATGCAATGTGTGCTGGTAAAATAAGGCAGTGCCAGTAACAACTTCTACAGGAAGGAGAAAGTAGGTTAAACAAGAAACCACGAAACATGAAATAGGTAGAACTGGCCCACATCCGAACTACGCAAGAAAACAGATCTCACAGGAAGTAAGGTAAACCTTAGTGTGATGACTGCTAACAAGTTTAAATACATTCTGTTGGCTACACATATTCAACTCTCATCATGAGATAAAAGTCAGTATTTCTTCTGATGCCACCTAAGAACAGAAGCACAGGGAAAAAAATATGGAAAGAAAAGTGTATCTTAATTTGCTATACTTTGAGGTGGAGAAACTGTTCAATGGAGGTTGGGCAATCATTAATGCCCTACGATGTTCAGCACATCTCCATGGGTAGGTTATTGCTAATTCATACACTGTAAGTAGTTAAGATCTGCTGGGGACTTTTTCCACAAATTGATTTCCAGTAAAAAGTACCATTTGTTCCTGTCATGACAACTACCATGGCTCTTTTGCCCTAAATAACTTTGGATATGTTGCATTTATATGCAACAACTACAACCCTTCTCAGCTTTTATTTAAGTATTCTTTACTCATTTAGTCTCCTAAACGTGTAACCCTGCTGCTGGTAATCTCAGTCCATACTCTCCACACCTCATTCCATTTTAATTCATCTTATCAGGAAGATGAATATAGATATGAGGTTCTACTTCAGGTTTTAGAAACTGACAGCTATGCTTCAATTTAAATACTCAGTTACAAAAGATGAGCACTGTTAGGTACAGGGCAGGGGTTTAGAGATAACTGGGGCTTCACCATTACACATAGAGATATTCTCAAAACAAGCAGCTCAGGAGAGCATCAGAATGGGAAATTATAACAGAAAGGAAATAGTAAAAGATAAACTTGGGTCTGGCTTAAGAACAAACATAATTCTAAACTCAGTCAAAAAGTAAGTTAAAATTTGCTCATCACTTTTCTCTACTAACCCCAGAACAAGCAAAGTAGGTTCTGAAATAGCCTCCATTATTCAGTAGAAGATTGTTGTTTCTTTGCAAGAAAATACATCACAGTAATAACTTTGCAATGACCCTGATACACCTTAATAGTTCAAAGAATGGTCCCTCAAATGGCTAACAGTGCTCAAAAAAACACTTTCAGCTTTAAGAAGTCCTATCACAGAGTAACAAGAAATTGTCTCTCCTTTACTTAAAGTTGTCTATGCCTCCATATCTATAGCCAACTCTAGCCTCACTGCATTGAGTTGTGTATCAGTAGAAAACATCATGCAATATATGCAGTAGTTGTTCATACACAACTGAGCGCAGCTCGCTTGATAGCTCCCCTCATGGGAAGTAGGGCATGGAGCTCTTCTGCTGAAGATTACTCCCTGTTTTTTCTGCAAATACCCAACCTCCATCAGTAGGCTTTTTGACAGTACAGGTTTTACCCTCCAAGGCTTCATTGAAGAACATGGTTGAATTAACTAAAAACTAAAGTTTTTTCCCATGGAAGTTTTTTCCTCAACCAGAGAATGTGCTACCACTCTGCTCTCCCTGTAAGAAAGCCCTATCCCTAGCAGTTTCACTGTCTATCCTAGAAAGCCATAGCCCTCCTATTTACTATCTGTTCAGATATGACTGAACTCCCAGTTTACATGTCATGAGGACACATCTTTAAGACTAGTAAGAAACAGCATCCCTAATATTCCTTACATTAGTGAAAGCACAGAAACATATGCTACAGATATTTTGCAACTCTGTACAACAACTATGACAGGAAAATCTCAGTTCTGCAACAACTGGTGCCCCACCCTCTTGCCACAAATTTCCTAGTAACAAAGCTGCTTCTGCACAAGTAACACACACGACATTCAGTACACAGCTAGTGGAAGGTCAGACATTTGCTAACACAAGTAAGAGATTGCTTTATCTTAAAGCATTTGGTCAGCTCTACCATTCCACTGTAGTCTTTTCTAAAAAAGATTAGATTCTAAATATCAAGGGCAACAGTACAAAATACCAGAACCTTAAAGCTGCTGGCTAAGATTAGCCCACACAGCTTCCACTGCACAGCAGGAAGAAATTTGGAAAAGTTGATTTGTATCATGGAAGAGTTGAAGCACATCTCCCCCCTTGAAACTCTTAAGAGCTATAGCCACTGCTGGGAAAGAGTGTGCTTAAGAACCAATCTACTGCATGTTATAAATCAAACATTTAGTCAGTAACTCTTTGCTGACCAGTCAGACATTAAGGGACACGTTCAATCTTTAGACAGAACTACAGTCAGAAGCCTCTTAACCGAAGTAAGGCCATACCCCTTCCTATTACCACACCCAAACAGGCCTTTAAAAAGTAGCAAGCGAACATTTCACAAAATGTGAAACCCACAACAAAAGGGAAAAGGATCATATACGTGACACTTAAAAAACAAATAACAACAGCACCTAGCAACATCAACACTGGATTAAATCTGAAGATACAAGGGCAATGACAAAGTGATAGCACTCCCATCTATTTGTGGCTGATCTATATTCTCTTATGCACACTGGTCACACTTTCAGAGATCATCAGTTTTACTGCTAAAACATTGGGAATATTCAAATACCTTTATTTCCTTCTATATCCAAAGGATTTACCCCTCCAAGGTGTTTTTTTTTTCTTTCTTGCTATACTATGAAGTGGAGAACCAAGGCCAGTTATTTTTTTTTAAGTCTCTCACTTCTACTACAAGGTGCGTAAAGAAATAATTTCACAGGAAAGCTGTGATGACTTCTTTCTATTTCACTACCAAAGAACTGATAACAAAAACTGAACACAGAAGACTGGATTAAAAGCGTCCCATCAAAACGATGGAAGCCTTTGCAGTGTATGACCCCCGCAGAAGCAACTAAGTATTCTAACTTGTGTCCTACTCATTCTTGTACCACTACTTGAAATTTATATGCATACACAAAAATACTGCAGCTTTGACAAGAACATAATACTGTATCTTGCACAGAGCATTTTTCTGGTATCATATCCAACATCAAAAGGTGAAATCTCCTACTGCTGCCCTTCTCTCCTAAACACAATCACCTTAGCTTACCAGTTTCCAGATATCTGATTTTGTTTTTCAAATATTTTCTTTGCCTCTAAAAAAAATTAATTAAAGATCAGTTGGCCACTTACTGAGTTTTTCTGTATATCTTGCTCAACTTTAGAAGAAAACACTGAGAGGTCACCATTAAGTATAACCTCAGCCAACGAGTTCACCAAAGGGGCGTAATGTATAATTAGAAAAACCTATTAAAAGAAGGGTGGAAAGAAATATTAGACATATATTACAGAACAAATACAGCTTCACAATTTCAATCACTGAACATACTTCTATGACCCTGTTAAACTGGTATCTTAAGTTTACATATACAGTAAAGTACAAATGGTAACACTGATAGTTCATGAAATCTACATCAAAGCACAGGAGACCCTAATCCTCTCTACAGGTATCTGACTTTTCTCTACATTTTAAGCTACCTAGTTTTAATAATTCTTGATATTATTCCTTCCTTCTGAGAAATGCAAACTCTCTCTTCTTACCAGTTTTGAGATGGAAGTTGTGTGATGTTCTAGCAAGGAATCAAATGAAAACGGCTCAAAAAAATAGGTTTTTTTTGAGAAACTACACAAATTGATTATGGTACACAGCATCCTCTGACCTTGTATGCCAACGACTGGCATGACTCCAGTAAGTTCTGTGTTGTGCACACAATTACTTCGCAGTGATTCACGAGTCATTGTCATTACAAAGGCTGAACTGGATCAGAAGCAGCTTTTCTGGCTATGATACCATAATGAATTATAGTCTAGCTACAAAGCAGCTACGTAACAGTGGAATAAGAGCCATACTGCCTATTACACTAGAGCACTTATCCAGAAGTGCTTTGGTGCTTTAACAAAGTTCTCTGTTTACACAAAAACTCTGCTTTGAATCAAAGCTTACAAGGTTGGGCCAGCAAACAATTGGCTTCTGGACAGAACCGGCTCAGGTCCAGCTGCAAGAACCTCAAGTCAGCTTATATCCATTCTCTTCAGAGAAGAGAATATCCACCGAAGCTGGATCCCTAAACAGTGGTTCTAGCTGAAAAAATCCCCAATTAATTTCTAAATCAGTAAACTTAATCACTGTTTTGACAACATTTAGCGAAACATGATCTCCACAGGTTTTCTGATTGAAGTCAGAACCATACCAGGCCTTCAGAAGTGAAGTGATTATCAGCATGCAGTGATGACCTGTGTAAAACCTTGGAAAGTCGCAACACAATTCAAAAATACTGTCAACAACTTCTCAAATCACTCAGGCTTATTTTGATTCAGAAAGCATAGCTTGACTATACACAGGAATGTTTTGGTGTAAGTATGTTATGCGTTCACTTTGTGAACAGTGGATGAAAATCCACCGCTGTGTGTGCTGCTAGTATGAGTCTCCCAGGCAATTGCCTCTAATGCCTAAATGTAATGCCTAAAGTGTATGGCTGGTGTCAGTAACAGAAACAGGTAGAAAGGTTTTTCAGATACTCAGTCTACACTTTTCCAGATCCTACTTCAAAAGACAGACTTTAGGTTAAAAAGGAGGTAGAAAAAGATGCATTTCTGCCAGTTACAGAAAAAGTAGCTTGATTTTTCTACATTAAATCCCATTTTGATACACAAAAAAAATTGTTCCAAATTCTTTATGATTAGGAAAAAAGTTCCATCTTCTCTATTAAAAACAATAAAGGACAGATGGAAATCGAAGTGATACCTGGTCAATACTTCCGCTAACATCAAAGAGGTTAAAAGAGGTCAACATATACAACCTTATGATGCAGATCCCTTTAGTTGCAAGAAGCTGTTGCTCCCAAGGTTTTATGTGTGGGTAAATAATTCCCACATCATCACAACTTTTTAGGTTTAAATTAAAGAACCATCAATTTATATTATCCTGAAAAATCATATTTCTCAGAAAAGTTCCTAAGGAATGATGATGAAATTACAGGCCAGACCATAATAAAATGACTAATGTAAACTCATAAGTTCAAAGAAAAACAGAAGTAAAAGTTCTATGAATACAAGTCAACTATTTTCAGAGAACATAATTTAAGAAAAGTAGTCTCACAGCAATGCACTGAAGACTACAGAGAGAAAATATTTCTCTCTACAGTAAAAAAACAAAACAAAACAAAAAAATCCTCTTCATTTAAAAATAAATTCCAGAAAGAAAAGGAGGTGGAATTGGCAAGAATAAGAAATAACAGGTACTTAATTACAGATTTAAGACATAGGCATAATGAAATGGAAATTGTGAGAACTTGAGGTTTTGGTGGTGGGGGGTTTTGGGGTTTGTTTGGTGTTTTTTTTGTTGGTTTGTTTTTTGTTTTTTCTTTTAAATCAAAAAGACCCATGAGATCATTGCTCCCTCTATTTTTCAAAGAGGAACATTCAAGCCCAGAACCTTCTATAGCTTATGCAGATTCAAAGTGCAATGCAGCATCTATCTAAATTTCACCTGCAATTTTATTAAATTCTGTCCTGGCATGTTGTATGGCTCTGTTATGCACCTTTTCTCAGGTGGTGTATATAAACTGTAATCACTGAATGCTCTACAGGCTACCTTGTGCTACGAGATCCTCAGAAGAATGATACTAACTCAAGTAAGAAGCTATTTGGTCTGTCCATAAAAAGATTAATTTTATTTTTTTTTTAATAGAAACTGATAGGTTTAAAACTTCATTTCCCAAATTGTCTTTAATGGCTTTACCAAAATAGACAAAACCATAGTAATTTATAACACTACTTCAAAACATGTTCTGAAATAGGACAAAATACTTAAAATACTTACTTGAGAAAGAAGATAGAGAGAAACTTGGAGACTTATTTTTGGACGCTCTCCACCCTATGGAAAAAATGTTATGAAAAATGCTGATTTATTTATACAAAGTTAAAGCATTTACAATGTTTAATATTTAAATCAAAACTTTTAATATTGTATTGTTCCACATTTTGCTACAAAATGTTCGGAAAGCATCATGCTCTTTAACATACACTTCTTGTAAACTATTTCAAATGAAGACTCTCCAAATAAGCATATCCCTTACTATACATGCTTTAAAAAAATCACTATTGATTATTGTCTTTCACAGTCAATTTGGTAATTTAAATTTGAAAGATGTGTATCTGAGCAGAATGTTGGTTTTCACTATGCTATTATTCCTTCAACAAGTACTTCTCAGCTAATGCTCATTAAAGTCTGCTCTAATAATTAGCTATTCAGAAACAATTAAATACTACCCACATAATAAAAACATGTTCTTGACAGACAGTTCTCTAAATCAAGTAAATCACACTGGGCAAAAATATTTGAAGTATAAACTTGAGTAGAACAGTGCTAAATTTATATACCAGCAGTAATGAAAATGTTTCTAAAAATAAACCAGTGATATTTTAAAAACCATCACCAAACAAATTTATGAATTATCTCAAGAGGTAAGAACAGCCCAAATTTATGATCACAGATATCTCTGACACATCTGCCTGAAAACAGGAGGACAAGCAGATTTTGTACATGCATGAATGGAAAGAGAATAGCTAAAATGAAAGTAAAAGCCAGGAAGTCTGCTTCACCCTATTTCAATGGCAAGACAAGAAACTGACTGTTACTCAATCTTCAGTGCACATGCAATATACTTATTTCATTAACTTGCAACAAACCTGACCTCTGGATAATGAAAGTACGCTGAAATTCACAAAGCATTGGGTATCTTAAGAACAAACACCACTACAGAAGATTAAGGGGAGGGGGGGGAACCAAACCAAAAAAACACCCCAGATACAAACTGAACAGTGAATTTATTGTTTTTGTTGTTGTTGTTGTGTTTGTTTGTTTGTTCGTTTTTTGTTTGTTTGTTTTTGTTTTTAATGCTAGTGAATACAGGAACCTGTACAGGTTTTAAAAGAACAGTTTATTTTATTAAAAATTAGTTTTCCACTAAATTTAAATGCTATGCTTTAAGAATAAATTCAACTATACCACATTCAAACTCAGCTTATCTGCAAGCAGAAGAATAAATTATCAAAACAAAAAGTTTCTGTTTTCTACCTGGAATGGATTTTTACACCATGAAAAACTTGCACATATAGTGGGAAAAGGTATTATAATCTGCTTTTGCCAGGAGACAAGTTACCACATCAGAAAAGGAAATCACATATCCCCCAGCACCAGAGAAATTTAAACCCTGTTACAAATTTGCAGCTCTTCTTGTCTCCACTATTGTCAGCATTTAACAGCTATGTCAGCCAAAGCAGTATTTGTTTGGTGAATAAAATTTCATCTATTCCGTCCTTAAATTCAATCTCAGGGTATTTCCCCTACAGTAACCTTATTTAAGCTGTTTCAGGTATAACACACCAACATAGATATTGACAATATTAATCCTACTACTGAATATACCTTCTGAACAAATCATTATGCATACTGAAAGCAAGTAATACCTTTAAGACTTAACTGTTTGCAGGTATTAGCTTACCTTATCTTGATTTACTAATGAATATACATAGAGAGGAAGAAAGAGCCTATTAAGTAGGTGGTCTGTCAGCACATCATTTAAAAATTCACAATTAATGATGAGGATATCATTAAGGTAATGTAAATGATCAAGATGTTCTGCTACCAGGTCACTCAGTTTGCCTCTATTTCTGTGCCTAAAAAAGAGAGCAGAGAAAGTCTCACATATAATTAATTGTCAAAGTCTTCAACACTTAAGAATTAATGTGTATCCCTTCCACAGATCATCTTGTGCAGATCTACTGGCTAAAGATGTTTTCAGTGAAGTCCAATAATGCAGCTAGCAAACAGTATTCAGGTTTGTATGTGCTTCAGGATGCATCTTTCAAGTTTTTTCCCAAGTTTTCAGAAGCAAAAAATTTACAAAACTTTGCTTTCCACTGCTGGAGTCTTTAATCAGGCCAACCATGAAAAACGGTAAGACTTTTTTCCAAAAATAAAAGAAGAAACCTATGTTGTATTTAACATCTACCTCTTCACTTTAAGAGAGCAAGAAACAGCCTCCCACTATAAGATGGAGGTGGGAAGGCAAACCAAGAATAATATGACTCAACAAAATATTTCTGTAGTTGATAGTGGAATATTACACAGAAATAGGTGGTCTGACAGTTTACATATTAAATAAAGTTCACCTTTCTAGTTTATATTTTTTTCCCTAGAATCTGTTCTATTGAGACGATACACAGAAAAGGAACATTAAGAATACAAAGTTAATAAGACTAAGAAGCACAAAATACCTTTTCTGTCTTCTGAATATTTACTAAATTTAGCAGAATTAAAACGAAGACAAGAAAAAGCATGTTGCCAAACACTAATTGACTTTTACAGATTTTAGCACAGATAGGGAATGCAGTACTAACCCCTATTAGTTCAAAGAATCACTAAAAAATTTTGCAAGAATTAAAAGCTTGAACTGCCTACAAAGGCACATATTCAGAAACTAACTTAACTACTACAGACAAAATAAGGAGAATATCAACATCTGGGAAAAGCATTTTCATTCAATACCCAGCATTTGTAAAAGCTTACTCTTCATCAGTCTGCACACAGTTATCCAGTTCTATCACGTGGCTTCCAATAAACCAAACGAGGTTGGAGAAATATGGGACAGCAGTTTTATCTCTAATGTAATGAAGCATAGGTTGGTTGTCCACTGAAGAGAAATTGTTAAAAAGAAAAATCAGTTGCCAATTTTTTTTTTTTTTTTACTTACTTTGTTGTATTTCTTAAAAATTATCTTCTGGATTTTTAATACATGCTAGCTTTTCATGTGAGTATATGCCTGACATGATCTTATGCATGAAATGGACATCTACAAAAGTGTCATATCAATTCTTAATTGGCTTGAATGAGCCTAACATTGATATATTTACACAGGTCTGAAGATAAACAAATCTAGTGGAATTCAGAAAGGTTTTTTAGTGCATTCTTTATTTAAAATAAGAGGAAAAACAAGTGCAAGAATAAAGCTGAAAGTCAAGCTAATTAGACTTACATGACACTGCATTAAGGAACACAGGAATCATCAGTGAAGGAAGGGCAAAAGAAACAGACAACAGTTAACAGGATTAGGAACTGGGATAGTGACATCCTCCAAAAGGGTTTAAAAAGCTAAAGCACAAAGCATCTAAACTAAAAGATACAGGATAGGTGTTAGATCAGAATATATGCAAATGGATCGTCAGAAAATTATGAAAGCTGAACATCTGAGCTGTGTTTTTTCAACTCTAACCTTTATGTCACTACAACATTCAACGAAAATTCCAGGCAAGTATATTTTTTTTTACCATAAAAACATTTAGTTACATAAATATATAACAAATAGGATATGAAACCTGCAATTTGCTCTTTTTGTGAGCTCATATTTGGGTTTACAGCTCCTTGAAGCAGAAAAAGAGCATCAAGTGCCCATTTCTCAACATATAAAAGACAGACATTTATCCCTTGCAGTCAACACTATAAAGAACCTATTTCCTATACAGGCTATCTAGTTATTTGCAAAGCAAATTGTTCATTATTTTTAAAAAGATCTTATATTCTTCTATGATGAAGGCTGTCATCAAATCACTACTTAATTGATATAAAGTTGTGTAAATTCAAAATGTAACTTAAAATGGATTAAAGAATAAACAGCCCTCCATGAACATATTCCATAATACAAACTGCTTTACAGCATGCTAATTTCAGGAGGTAGAAGTTATGAATACTCATCAGTTTTTGTATAGATGACTGTGATATTTATAAAGCTTAAGTTCATAAGTAAAAATTACTTGATATTCTTTAAGCACTTTGGTTTTGGGATTGGGTCTTTTTGTTGGGTTGGTTTTTAAATACACTCACATTCTGGTCTCTGTTGGAAGGGAAGCTAAAGTTCCTTGTGTATGCTTGGTACTCTTTGGGGATTTTTTAAACCAGGTTTCATCCGTGAGGAAACAATACTATTTATAAGTATATCCTGTAGGTTTGGGGTCCTGTTTCATAAAAACCAAAATGGGTATCTGAAGCATGTCAACATGCTAAGCTTTTCAATCTCATAAAACAGCCAGAAAACCCTTCGATGTAAATAACTGAAAATTAAACTACAATGAAACAAGCATTTTGTACATATGCCTTTTTTAATATATAAAAAGCATACCTTTGTAGACATTTAAAGTTATAGTCCTAACAGCAATCCTGACCATGCTTTCTGGGTGGTTAAAAAATTTAATAGCTTCAGTGTACAAAGCGAAGTCATTAGTGTGCTGTAACAAGAGAAAAGTATTTATGAATTAACCAAAACATATACAGAACATTTGTTGGAATTATGTGGAAAACATTTTTCACACAGATTACTCTGACATTTTTACCTTCTACTTAAGTAACTGAAATGAGTTTACAATGCACTGTCAGCTGCATTTGTTGCTCTGCATTAAAATAAACTGCTTTAATCGCCAGAGCTTTCCATGTTAACTCTGCACATATTCAGAGCTTTAATGCCCTCTTCTGGCAAAAAGTGGAACGGAGAGAGGAAAAATCCAATTCAACTCTGGCCTTTGATTACTCAGGCTTTTAGACTTTGACTGAGCCTCTTAGAACCAAGTGGTGCAACAAAAAAGATCCCGTTTATAAAAGCACAAGAAAACAAGGCATAAACAAGTTGAATTCTCAGGGAAGTAGACTTCAGAACTATTGTAACAGTCCAATATAACACTAACTTCCAGATTTTTATTTTATTATAATTGCATGAGGAGAAAGACCTTCTTTATCATGCTTTTGCAGAGATTCTCACAAATGAATTCTCAGTCACTGATACTACTGTTATAAAAATAAATGCAGGATATACTGAGACAAGAGACTAAATAGAATATGTGCCAAATTGCTATAAATTTCTAATTAAAGTCCTCTTATCGCTATACTGCAACTCTTTCTTCACTTACCTCATTATAAAAAAAATGTACAGTATGATTGTTGAGTTTCAGGGAAAGAGTTTTCAAAAATGATATGTAGTATGCCATGATCTCCTCATCAGAAAAGTCAAATTTGTGGACAATAATAGAATTTACATAGTTATTAGAGAGCAGGTAGTCTGAAAAAATGAGACATTACACAGGTTAACAGAAAGAAAAGAATCATCATGCTAACTAGTTGAATTTAAAGTACCAGCTAGCAACAAATTACCTGATGTCTGAATATCCCAAGTTTTAGCCAAATAACTCATGTGATGGTTTCAAGCGGTAATATAAGGAAATTGTTCCCTACAAAGGTCTTTGCTCCCAAGAACAAGACAACTGAAAATATACCTCACCTTCCTCAATTTATGTAGGCTTTGCAGCTAATAACACTTGAAACAACTCTCTTTTCCTCCCAAATTCATAAACTCTCAAAGGCTTGTATATGACTTTCTCTTCATGATCGGTGTGGAGTACTTTAAACTAACTACTAATACTGTCCTCTTTATATGTTTCTGAAAACACTGAAGTAAATGTGAGTGGCTGAATGACAGCCCCAATGATGTCAGAACAGTTCCAGTACAAATTATAAAACAGAGTTCCACCATGTAATCCCTGGTAGCAAGACAAACATTTCAGACCACAACTAATTTGCCAACTTAACCCCTTGAAATATGCTAAATAAGTGTTTCAGTAATGCAAAACAACTACTACTGTATTACTGAAAATTTATATTAACAGGTATTTTGCAGTCAAATTTTACTGTACTTTCAGTAGTGTTCAATTTAAAAGATTGTTAGGAATTTATATAGTTCTTCTGTTGAGGGACGCTAGGATGAAATTTCATTACATGAAAGCGAATTCAACCAAATCTTGATCACTCAAACAGTTTAAAAGTGTGCCCTTACACAGTGATGTTTCGTGACTGATGTTCTCGAAAAGGATGTTCAGAGTCTGCAGAAGCTGTACACACACGTAACGACCAGACTTCTGACGCAAGATGTTCAAGAAGAAAACAAACATATTCTTCTCCAAGAAAAAGCTGAAATAAAGTAGAGGTGTCATTAAGTCACTTGCTGTATTAACAGGAACATAGTTTTACTAGGATCAAGGACGATTCTAGGCAAGTTTGACAAACAGCATGTTTTACATTTATTTTGCAAAGTTTTATCTGTTTAACAGAGTATCTTCCAAAAACCTTAAATACTGACAAGGGTGTTTACACAATCAAATTATGCAGAAAAAGGATGTCAAGAAACCAGGGTCTTTTGCATTTTATTTTAAATTCATCAGGCAGCTTCCCTACCTTGCAGTCATAATTTTGAAGGGGAGAGCCTCTAAATGAAGGTTATGTTTTGTTCACTCACCCCTTTTAAGATAACACACTTTTTGTCTTCAGCACTGTAGACCTTATTTTTGATCCACTTTATTTTTTTTTCCACACCAGAAGCAAGCATTTCATGGTTTACTGTACAAGGCAAACGGAAGCGAATGCTTGCAGTGTATTTAAACCAGAAATGCCTGCAATTTAAAGGGAATAGTGTTGTCTCTTTTGTACCAGGCCATGACAAATACATATCTATGAATTTTTTTTTACATCAACTACAGAAAAAACTCATCATTCCTAAGATTGTCACAAGCAGAGAAGACAGCAAGGAACGTGATCAAGATACAGAATAGATATAAATAATCAGAATAAGTTAATTTTCTTAGTCCACATCATAACCCAATTATGTTGAAATCATCTTGTAAAAATAAAACAAACCACTCCCTAAATAACTAATTAAAATCACCAAGCACCTTAGTTTTAATTATCTCAAGCACAGATTGCCTTTCTAAAAGAGAAAGTGTTTTGAAGCAAATAGCCAAGCAACAGGCACTATTAGTCAGATTTGCAACTGTGAATATTTGTTTTGAAGTTTGTTTTCTATCACACTATTTTATGAGGATTAAAATAACATCTGAAAACAACTCTCTAAATATCACAGCTAGAGTAAGATACTTATTTTTAGTTTCTTATATAAATTGAAATGAAGAAATTAAAGTCATACGATATTAATAGATGTACTGAGTAAATCTGAGCCCTTGAATAGGTTAGATTTTGCATTTATGTCAAAGATTTGAGAGTTGAACAGAAGTAGTACCTGAAGAACTCTGGACTTGGAACACTTTTTTGTTAACAGAAGTAAATTCTCTGTTTCTTTGTATGACAAGAATATGATCCTGCTTACCCATCTACTACAGGACATAGTTTTCTACCTACATGCATGAAATACAGACTTGGAAGAGTTAACCTTTTGAACTAGATCTCTATGAAACTCTAATAATTCTTCTAAGCAATTTTGACTCTTGTTTTGAAGTACTTACTCAAATACTGAGCTGTCATTCTGATCTCCCCATATCAGGATCTCTGTTATAGAACGAATCGTCTCTACCAGCAGGTTGCGGTTGTGATCTGTTACTGTTGTATTTTTAGTCAAAACATGATACATGTACCTGAAAGAAAAAATAATTACAAGTAATATGTTATCCTGCCACTTTCACATGCATCATGTTTGCCTTCAGTCACTGTAACTTATTGTATACAGACACACTTTATGTCTAATCATTGTACGATTTTAAAATCCTAAAATTTCCTTTTAATATTGATGCAGAGATAAAAGCAATTGTTAAACAGAGTATGTGACAAATGAAACAAATCCATAGCTAGCCAGGTGAGTTATAAATGCTTATCCATATGTTAACATAGGACTAGAAATTATTTAACACTTGCTTCTGGTGCTTCTAATGGCAACTTAGTGAATTTCTTTGGAAGTATGATCAGCAAGAAAAAGGAGATATAGAAGAAGCAGGTAAGCATACAGTAGCTGATATGGGAAAGAGTAATTCTGGAAAGACGCACACAGATATAACTAGAAAAGTTAGATTCCTTCTCTTGTCTGCAGAGACTTTACAGACTCACATCAATTCGATGGTTAATAATCAGGACTGTCAAAGACTATTCATTCAGTTTGGAAAAGCTTAATCATCAGGTCTCTGGCCCTTCAAGCATAGAAATATTGATCAGAAAGGTGGCAAACTCCAGCTTTACCATCTCAAAGGGCAAGAGTTTAAGGCTGTCTAATGAAGTTAAAAAAAAAAAAGTCTATATTACACAGGTGACAGAACACTAAATAAAATGTGAAAGGCTTGTAAATCTCAGAATTTTACTCAGTCAAGGAAGCATTTCCCCCCCCCCCCCCCCCAAATAAGATGTTACATCAAAGATTACTTCCCTTTATCCTTAAAAAAAAAAGGGGGGGGAGAGGGGAGAGACAAAAATGAGAAAAAAATCATGTCACTTTAAAACTGTAAGCGTTTAGACTACTAAACACAGATCATATATTGCTATACTGCAATCTACTGAATAGCAGGAGCAGCACCTGTGCATTAGGATTATCCGGGCAGTGTACTCCCAAGTGTTTGGGAAGGAAGATAGGTTTTTCCATACTATCAACCTTCCCATAAAAAAAACAGAGTTAATCAGAATTCCCAGGATCTATTTTTGGGAAAGCTACCTGCATGTTCTGACTCTGGCAGAGCCTACCATAATTGTTTTAGATTCCATTAAAGTTTGTTCAGTGATCCAGGTTGAAATTTTAGGAATCTTATTAGTACGATAAAGGAGTTTAGAAGTTCAAGATGCCAATTTTTAATCAACAGACCCAAAGACCTGAAGCAGCTATTACGTGAAAGATAGAAATACCAATTTTGCCAAGCTGCTGTAGGGTTCCAGGAAGCACTGTGCATGTCTAAACCAAAATTTTGGGGTGTCTGGTCTAAAGTAAGTTTTAGAAGCTTAGGTCAAAACCAGACTTGAAATCACATTAAAAAAAAAAAACAAAACAAAACAAAACAAACAGTATTCCCATCAATTTTATCTACGTTAAGAAACTGAATCACTGCACAGGGCAAACATGCACCTGGAGACTAAGATGCCATTTAACTGAACATATGTATCAGGCTGTTCCAACTCTTTATCAGACTTAAAATAATAAAAGAAGATACTACCTAGTTTCAGAACCTTTTGCATGCTTGAATTCAATTAAAAAAAAAAAAAAAAGTTTGATCGTATTTGCAGTTTACCAAAATCTAGTTTGGGGAATCTTCTTCAACCACTGAGCTGCCACTCAGTTGGCCAGAGCTTTGCAGGACTTGTTGCAAGACACAGTCCATCTTCATAAACCATCAGAAGCGTAAGCTATTTCAGAGAGGATTATTATGCTGTTATGGTAAAATGCTGTATGCTTGCTAATCTCTACATTGCTTAATCATCAAATAACAATTTTATTGTGTTGAGTACGGCACAAGGACACTGAGAAGTAAACAACTCTCAGAAGTTCACAGTTTTAACAAACTTGATATACTGCATGCTCCCTTCCCTCCCACCCAAAATCAGCAATGTGATAAAGCCTACATCACATTAAGCTTAACCTACCAGACAGAAGAGGCAAAAGGTAGAAAAAGGGAAGAGATGGAAGGTGGGGGAAAACAATTGGCTTTTCATACTCATTCTCTTCAGTAAAAAATTTTCTCTCTCTCTTCATGCTGTTTTTTCCCCCCTCACTGATCAATATTCATTTTCCAAATCCAGAGCAGAAACTGTTCAGATGGAAACCATTCTAGGAAAAGTTGATTCATAGCTCTCTCTTCCAGTCGTAATTGCCAGGTCATGTGCTGTACCATAACAGAAGTCACTGACTAACAAGCTGAAGAGCATCTGCAAATCTTCAACTAATCAGAGGATTACCGTTCAAGATTCCTTCTATGGAGACAGTTGATGGCGCACAGTGAATACATGAGAGTTTAGGTCTGACGACCTATGAGAATTCCCAGGGCTTCCTAAAAGAGCACACGGCACACAAACCCTACAAAACCTTCCCATTATGGCACTATATGTATTATCAGGACAGTGAATCAAAAGACAGAGCAAAAACTAGAGTCACTGCTCTGAGCATGCAACAGCTAACAGAACAGTGAACAGCTGAAGACAGAAGGCAATTAAATTAGAACAGTTCATTCCACAGCAATCTGTATGGTAAGTATTTCTCCTGAGAGTTACTTCAAAGAGAATAATAAATTAGAACACTTCACATATTTTTGCCTATTTATTTGAAGTCATATATAAATTATTGCATCTGTGAATAAATATTTATCATTAATAAGTTACATTATGCAAATGTAGGAATAAAGTTTACTCCAACAGCAGAACTCTGGGAATGGGAAGCAGTGAGAAGAATCACATGCTATTACCTCACCTCAGGAGTCCACGGAACATAGAAAATTACAGATGCAAAAAGCAAGAAACATTTAATAGTCAGGACTACACTGACTCCAATTTAATTTACTTAATATCAACATTACTGCAAAGTTCCTTGATTTGCTAGCACACTAATGCACTTAGAGAAAACCTGAGCTTCACTTTCAATCTATTCCTTTATCTACTTGAAAATAAATGAGAACGCATGCACATACTTGTTTCTCTTACCAGACATGCAACATACCACCTCATGAGAATATGAAGTATCACACAAACCCAGTATTTTTATATTTACACAAATCCTTAATGTCTATCTTTAAATGCTGATTACAAAGGGGTCAAGTCTGGCCTCCAAAATGCTAAACCCTCAAAGAGTAGGTTTTTGTCTATCTCTCTGTATTTGAAGACTGGGTTCAAACACAGACCTAACAAAAACCCACCATGCAGGAAGTGTCAGAGCACCTGATACCATCAAAATGAGCCAGAGATTTTGCCATCAACATAACAAGACAAGCAAAATTCTGAACGTTTTTCTGGCAAGAAACCATGCTCAAAGTACATAGTAACTCATGAATATAGAAAGTGTGTATTAATGACTTTCCAACTGATTACTTACAAAAATACACTAAAACAGAGCAGAGTTTAGGAAGTCAAACACTCAAATTTAAAAACCCCAGACTTAATCGTAACATGCTTGCTTCTTCATGTTGCCTGTAACGATGTAATTACATACTGTTCTCATAGAGGAAACTCCATGTATAACATGGACAGTACTTCAGGAAATGAATCAGCTGTGAGAAGTCTTCAACCATACATGTTTATGAACACTGCATCTGACCAAGTCATAAGAAATGTTCAGCACCCAACTCTAATGGTATAAACCCTTTTGTGCAATCAATATGCAATTAAAATACCAAGTGTAGAAGCAACAACGGGAAACATACTTGAAGGTAACAACAGGGTGGTGTAAAATACCTCTTATAAAAGTAGAAAAAAAATTTACATCAAGAAACAAAGATACTAAGCTTAAGTTCCAAGGCCATTCACTTCAGCAGGAACACCAGAGATATAGATGAACTCTTCAGGAATGATTATGATATCACCACTTAAATACTGGGAAAACAAAATAAATCCTCTTCATCCATAGCAATGAAAAGTCAAAGTACGTAGACAGATAGGTAGAGAAGATAGTTATGCTCTCAAGGATATGTGACCATGCATCTGCTAAGGTTAGACTATCCTCAACTGGGCAATATAAAAGACTTTTCAGTACTTTGACCATAGGTCAGCTCCTAAGGCAAGGAGCTGAAGGAGTAGAGTATAGAGGCTATCACAGTCAGCAGTTGGAGAAAACGGCAAGAAACCCTGACGTACACAGGAACGTCTGTCGTACTTACAAAGGTAGGCCACGAGAGGAACATGCAGCTCATCAGAAAGCACTAACTTCATGTTTATGTAGCATGACACACTGTTGCCTAAAACAGCCTTGATGTATTTACATTTAGAACTGGAAGCATATATGCCCTGGGTTTGAGCAGAGGACTAAGGGAAGGAAAAAGGTCTAATTTTAAACCGCTGGTTGCCACCTTTAAGAAGTAGATTCTGACCTTGCTTCAGACAAAATCTCCTGTAAAGATAAATAAGCCATTTCAGACCATCTTCCCAAGCAACCATTAACATTGTTGCTGTTTCCAGAATATTTAGGCTTTCTCCATTTATTAAGTTATTGACATTCCCTCAATTACTAACCAAAGAGCAAAAATATCAAGTTCTGTGGAAAAATAAGTCAGAATCACTCAGACAGTACATAGCACTGTGCTGAAGCCTCTCTAGATCGCAATTCAGCAAAGTATTAAAAAATTGAATTAAACCGTAACTGTCTTCCTAGACCAAGAGACTGTATCAGAACACTTAATACAAATAGCCTTACCATTTTCTTTTAGCCAATCCATTTTATGGCATGTTTGCAGAAAGACTGAAGAGTCAAATTTCAAAAGCAAGCCTCAAAAACTGCATTAAAGCTGACAAGAAAGTTCCAGATTCAACATTTTATGACAAAAAGCAGTAAGTCTCTCAGTATTACAAAACAGGTGTATTGTTTACAGTTTAGACTAAATTCTACATTATGCATGTTAAAAAATAAAAATATTCCCATAAGGATAGCGCAGGCTAATTTCACTCTTGCAACAGCATAATTTACCTTTTATAGGCTAAGCTAACCTGTAATAGCAAGGATGGTGAGTTTTACTCAACTCACATGGAACACAACACGGGGTTTTGATGAGTTGAAAAGATGAGAATGCAGGCAGCTTGTAAAACAGTGAGATTATCAAGACTGACTTTCTTTCATGACTGTGAAACAAAGGCTCTTTGCTCTTTTTCCTTCTGTTGCTTTTCTTACTTGAACTGCTACCTTAGAAAAGCCCTAGATTTCACTTTACCACTAGGTATCTACCTTTGCTGTTGACACCTAACTAGAAACGGAAATTCATACAGACTAGCTAAACAAACATTTAAAATGTACATAGTCTAAACAGATCAAAGGTCTTGGCTGTCCTTTACATAGTATCATTTCAGATTTCATAATTAAAAAAATCACATGCAAAAAAGCAAAACAACAAAGCTAGTATTTTAGTAGAGAACTATATGCTTCAATTCGCAGATAAGAAGTCAAGCACAAGCCACAACACTCAGAGCCAAATTTCCTTTTGCTACAAATCAAACAGGGTTATCACTTTTTCTACCCACTGTGGCCCCATAAGAACACAGGATGACATTTTTCTTGCCTGAAATATTCTAACATTCTAAAGTCTCCCTCTCACCCACCTACTTTTTATAAACTTAAACTCAATTTCTTCAAATTTCATCACGCATCAGCATTCTCCCTCTATCTTCATGTGTAATATCAAAACCAGACAGCTTTAAAGGTCCACTAGTACCTAGTAGTACCCAGTGACTACCCCTTGTATGTTAAACACCACATTCCTATGTTTGTATCTGAGCATGACTTTTCCCCTTTTTCCTGCAATGTCAGATCATCTTGACTTACTTGTCTGACCTACCATGCTTTCAAAATTACTTTCTGTAGTGCTACTGCCTCATTGGTTTTGTATTTATGGACTTGATTTCCCTGTCTTCGGTAAAAAGTAATGTATTTCAATTAGTCTTGCTGGTTTTGAACATTTTCCCAGTTTAGATATAAGGACGAGAATCCATAAATCATCTTGATAAAATAATTGCAAGATCCAAATCTTGTATAGGTGCATCTTGCTCATTACTGTCAGACCCCATTCGTGTCCTCCCTGTAATCTGACTAATCATTGAAAACTACCAGCCACTTATTTCTCAATGAGCTATGTGTTCAGAGTGATTTCATTTAGAAAATGCTTCCTCTCTTAATGACCTCCTTTTCTTGTTCAGTAGAAAAAAGAAGCTATAAGGGTGAGTCTCATTTTTTTTTGCAATAGCAGAACCCTTAAAATGGAACAGATAATTTAAAATTGTTTTATCCCATGCCATCTCCAGTGGCAGAGCTAGAAAAAACTATTCCACCTTCTGCAGTCAGCAATAATGCAAGGATATCCGATTCTGACGACTAATGTTACAATTCTCAAGCTCAACGGCTTTACTACTGCGCCAGCTGCTGAGCGCTCTAAGTAGGGTACCTCCCCTGGACCTGCAAAACCACCATGAATCACTGCTGACTACGAAGATCCCTACAAACACACCTCAAAAGGTCTGTATTGTTTACAGGCTGGGACCAGGCTCCTCACTTCCCCATCTTAGCCATTACCAGGAAACAAAGTTCTCCCTTAAAAGGAACGTGATAATTCTTGTATTTATTACCTCTTACACTCTAATCCACTGAATAAGTGTATGACATTATTAAAAACAAAAAAAAAAATCAAACAAATATGTATCGCAGCCATGAGTGTGACATGACATCGCGGAACTGTGTCTGCCCTGTTTGGGACGAACAGGCAGATTTCCGCAAGAGAGACACCAACCTACTCCGCGCTGAGTCTCCCTCGCCGCTGGCGAATTGCTCCGGGAACTTTCGGATCGGGAGAGCTGCGTCAAAACGCACCGGCGAGGAGAAGGAGCGGCCGTGGAGCCGCCTCCCTCCTCAGCCCCTGTCCTTCGGGACGCCTCCGAGCTCCCTCCGAGGGAAAACCCTGCCCCGAGCAGCTCTGCAGACGGAGCCCCTCCGCCTACCGCCTCCCGCGCCAGCTCGTCCCCTCACGACCCGGGCGAGACGATCGCATCGCAGCGCCGCTCCCCGCGTCAGCCCTCCCGCCCCCCCGGCTCCCCTTCCCCTCAGGGCCGCCCCCGCGGCCAGCCCCGCGCTTACTTGAGGTGGTCCAAGGAGTGGATGCTGCGGGCGGCCTTCCCGTGCCCGCCGCCCACCCAGCTGCGGGAGCGGCCGAACATGCTGGCGGCGAACGGCTGCTGCGGCCGGCGAGGCTCTAGGGCTTCATAGCCCGGCGGGGAAGGACGGGCGAGCGGCGGCGGGACGGGCGAAGACCGGCGGAAGCCCCCACGGCCGCGGCCACCAGCGCACAGCGGCGCCAAGGCGCACGCGCGGGCGGAGCACGCTGGGAAGCGCGGCCGCGCGGACTGCAAGTCCCAGCAGGCAGCGGGGCAGGGCCGGGCAGCGGCCGCGGCGCCGGGAGCGCGGCGGCTTCGCCTTTTCCGTCAGGATTTCCGTAGGAAAGTGGACACGCGTGTCCGAACGCAGTCCGGTGCGAGGGCCCCGGTTGCGCAGTCTGTCTCTGACGCTGCCCGGCTGGTGCGCAGCCCGCCGTGGGCCTCGAGGGCTGAGGGACGCCCGCCCCTCCTAGAGCCGGCGGACTTGCCTCAATTCTTTACCGAATTGATCCCTTCCCTCTCTGGCAGTTACGTTAGATCTTGTCAGGTCACAAGAGTGCTGTTAAGTTAGAAGAACATAAAAGACTAAATTTAGCCTAAGCCAAACCCAGTCTTTTAATGTGTGAATATACCTCCCAAGTTCATTGTAATTTGAACTAAAATTCGGCCCCTGGCATTCCTTGTTCACTTCTCATAGCTCAAAATTAAGCAGCTCTGGTGTGGTCAGTTCTGACCGGAGAACAGGATCCTGCAAGATGCAGCAACGGGAATTCAGCTGCTGACAGCTCTCTTGCTAAGGCTCTCCCAGTAGGGATTGCACATTTAGTTCTGAATGGGCTTAAAAACGTAATTTAAGCAGAGCAAGGAGAAGATGATCATTAATGACTGTCCTGACCTGGTTTTAGATCTTTTTGCTTTAACTGGATAAACACACTAAATAAAAGATGAAGGTGTGTCAGCCAGCACCAGCCCCCTCCTCCCCCCAGTTTAAAATCGCGCCTTTGATTGTATTTTGACATAGGTAAAACCATGATCAGCGAAGAAGTGCCTCCACCGAAGCCAAAAGGGGCCCAGGCTCGCTCAGCTGCTCCAGGAGGGCCTTGATCAACCACCGGGGAGCAGAAAACAACTTCCAGGGGCCAAGACTCGGAGAAACCTGCCCGCGCTGCCGCGGAGCCGGGGGAGGCGAGGGCCGGGTCTCCGCCGCGGCCGGCCCACGGGCGGGCGAGCGGGACCCGGCTGCCGGTGAACGCGGCGGAGGCGCCGGCGCCCGCCACGGCCGCTGGGCCCAGGCCGAGCCGCGGCGCTGCGAGGGGACGCGGCGGGGGCGGGCGGGCGGGGGGGGTGTCCTGCCGCGCAGGCCGGGGCCGGCGGGCTCGCTGACGGCGGCAGGTGCTCCGCGACAACGCGCCTACGGGCTCCTTCCGCGAAGTTTGCGGGCGGGAGGAGGAGGGGAGCCGCGGCGGGACTGCAGCAGCCGGGCTGGAAATGCCCCTGAGGAGCCTCCTGCTAACGGCGGGGCTGCGGCGGCGCCGCTGAAGCCCGCGCTGGCCGCCCGCCGGGACGCCTCTTCCTCCGGGGACGGAAGGGACGGAGCCGGCCGCGCTGCGGCTGAGCCGCCTCCGCGGGGCTCGCCTCTTCCCGGGGTCCGGCGCTGGGGGCTTTGCCCTTTCCCGCCACCGGCGCTGCGGAGCGCGGTCCTGCGCGCCCCGCTCCCGGCTCCGCGCCGGCGCCCGCCCCCCCGCGCCGGCCGGGCAGCTCTGTGCCGGGCAGCTCGGTGCCCGCCGCAGCCCCGCACGGCTGCATGCCCGCCGCGGTCTCGGCACGTCTGGATTCGCTGGAGTCCTGGGCCTTCCATGCGCTGCTGGTGCTGCCCTATATGTTTTACGTGGGCTTGTTCTTTGTCAACGTGCTGATCCTGTACTATGCCTTCCTGATGGAGTACATCGTTCTCAATGTAGGCATCGTCTTCCTGCCCGAGGATATGGACCAGGCTCTGGTGGATCTGGGGGTGTTCTCTGACCCTGGCTCCGTGCTCTACGAGACGGACAGCGAGCTGGATGTCTTTGATGGGTACTTGGAGTGACGCCCCGGGGCGCTCCGAAGCGACTGCGGGCTGACGCCGCCCGGCCCGGGGCTGGGGCCGGCTGTCCCGCCATGGCCGTGGCTCGGGGACCGCCGCGACCCCGGGACGCTCTCGCTGCGGCTCGGCTCCTTCTGCGCAGCATCTCCCCTCCCGAATGCCCCCCCCCCCCGTCCCCCCGGTGCGAGGGCGAGGCGGGGGCCGGGACCCGCTGCCGCCGGGCAGGGACGCGGACGCGCTGCGGGGCTCGCCCGGGAAGTAAGTCACCTCCGCGGGCTCCTCCCGGGCGGCGGGGCGCTCCCGCCGCCGCTCCGCCCGCCCTCGCCGTGCGGGCCCGCCATGCCCCGGACGCGCCACCCGTCCGGCGGGGCGGCGGCAGGGCCGGGAGCGGAGGGGGGGGGGGGGGGGGGAGGTATACGCCGCGGCGGCTTTGCGGGCAGAGGGCCGGGCCCTGCCCGCCCCCGGCGCGTCCCCCCGCCGGCAGCGCCACGCAGCGCCCGGGGGGCCGCGCCCCGTGTCCCCCGCTCAGCGAGGAGCACACGGCTTTCCCCAAGGACTCGTTTTCACAGTTCTCAGCCCTTGCAGCTGTGACGCTAGGTGTTACGTTTACAGCTGGCCAACAACTTTCCTAATCCGGTTTGGAAAGTGGCTCTGACTTTAAATGACCATCCGGGCTAATGTTCATTAAAATTCCGAGACCATACTCGAGCCAGAAATACGTTTTAATCAGGTGCCCTTTAAAACTTATATCTTGGATGATAATAAACCTACCCAGCTCACCGTTATTCTCATGTTAATCACAGCAGGAGAGTTTGCTTGATCAATTTACTGTTGTAGTTTTGAGTGATACTAAAACTCTGGAAATCTTGTAAGGATTTAGCAATTTAAAACACTGAAATGTGACTGGGAAGAAAATCACTATTTCTAGCGAGGACTTTCTGTGCCAAATGTATGTTAATGAAAACATTCACAGTTTAAATTAAAATGTGTTAGAAAATCTGCCAGTAGAATTTTTAGCAAAATATTGTCTGTAAATTTGAAAACCAGTTCAAGATACCTTCTTATTTTCAATTTGAAATTAGGGAAATGGGAAATTCTGTTGTAAGGTTACAAACATAACTTTGGTGAAGAAATTATACAAATACCATTTAACATCAAGTTATTTTAATCAGTCTGTTAATTAAAAAACCACCCAAACCCCAACAAAACAAAAAACCAACCTTTCAAGCAGTCCTGTCTTTCATACAGGTTTAAACTATCTCCTAAATATTTCTATTCAGTTTTCATATGAAGTAATAGTAGGTGATTTTGATCGATAATTTAGAAGGGAAAAACAGACATTTTTGGTGTTGGAGTAACATTGATTGCACAAACACAGCTGAACAAAGCTTTGTTGAAGGCAGATGGGAGCATAACAAGTGGGGGGGGAACAGATTGTTTTCGCTACTGAAGAAATCCCGCTGCACGTAGTCACTGCAAATTAAAGTGTCCATGCCAACGTTTGGTGGTCCATCCCAAGCAGCTGGATTAGAATCACTTCTGCTAGAACAGAAGGTCTGGAGCAGAACTAAACTCCCCACATAGCACTATTGGCTACTTTTGTGGCTGTCTCCTCCTCTCCATTTTCAGCTGGGCAAATAACATATGTGCTCTGTATTCCAGGAAAGAAATTCATAAAAACTAATGGAAATTTAAGCAAAAATCTTTGGTGCAAAAAGCTCTAGCCATTTTTTTTCTCCCAAAATAGCTTCCCCCAAACACCAAATCTTACTACTTGAACACCAACTAATACAGGGATTAAACATGTTTTTTTTCATCACTTTTTTGCTGACTAGGATTTGTTACGATGAGTTGCATCTAGTTTTCAGGAAAACCTAAGGAGAACAACAGAAGTAATTTGTCTCAGTGTATTTTTCCTACTATATGAACACAGTTCGATAGAGTGTAGGGTCTGAGCACAATTCTGTTCACTGTAGATAAATGGGCTTCTTAAAATTTTCCTTCATATTAATAGGAGAAGCAGCTCTGCAAACTTCCTGGTATTCTAACTAAAAGCATGTCACCTCCAGATGTAGAAATCAAAATGCAGAGGTCTTCACAAAGCTTAGAAATAAGTCTCAGTCTATATCCACTTTGAGCTAATGGAGCTCTGCACAGGTACCAGCTTCAGCCTTGATCCTTTAATTTACTAGTTGTCATGCTAGATGGTGGTTTCCACTGAGAATCAAATCACAAATCCCTAAAGTTAGATCAGTTATTAGAGAGCAAAAAAATATACTATTACTGTGCTTCATCTATTTATATATTTAATTATATTTATATATGCAGCAACCAGGCCACAAATTGCATAATTATTTAGCTACCAGGCAAAGACTCAGCATGTCACCATGAAAAGGAATTTGTGTTAATATCCTGGTTACAGGTTTCTTCACTGCCCTGTGCCAGTTCTCCTCACCAGTTCACTAGCAAGGCCAGCAGAAGAGGGCCCTAATTTGGAGTTGTGTTTTCTGCTTTGGGAGCAGAAGTCACTGAAGGAGAATATTTATATCCCTTTGGTGCCTAGCCTGCAGTGACCCGAGTTCTGTACGAGTGTTAAGCTGTGCTCTCCACAGGCCTAGGAAGGTTGCCCACCTGCCTTGTTCCCTTAGACCCATAAGTGCTCAGGATTCACAAGACGTGCAGGAAGAATGGGTTTCAGTTTTACCAGTAGAGGTGAAAAATACATAGGCATACTCTGCATTAAATGTAAGAGGAGCGTTCTTCGTGTGACTCACCAGTGATTAGTGAGAACTAAAAAGCTATGATTAGCCTTAGCTGAAACCTTGCAGTGTGCTCCTTGCATTTAGAAAGAGATGCCTTGTACCCAGGAGGTGAGTGGCATGCATGACAGGAAAACAAAGGGGGGAAATCCCTAGAGGTGATTCTGCAAAATGTGGAAAGGCTAATTTTTTATCTAAAAATAAAAGAGCATGTGGATCAGAAAAGCTCTGTTCCCTCTTGCAGCAAAACCCTCACTTGAATAAACTTAATAGGAGCAAAATTATGTCCAGTATCTGAGCATAGTTGGTGGCAGAGAATGAAGGTAGACAGCTAAACAATCCTATTCAAATGGAGAAATCCATCTGTATAAACTGGGCAGAATTGAGCTTGCTCATGTCATCTACTGTTTTAGTGTGAGTGTGCCAGGTTCTTTATTATATTTGAAGTCCCCCAGAATAAAGTGATATGGCCGTTCTCCTTGTACTTTCTTAAAATCAGATGTGACTCATCATAAAGTACTCTAATCAGAAAGAAAATGATCAAAAGTAATCAATAATGAAAACTGAATAGGAAATACTAGATTTATTTAATCTTACAGTACAAGCATTACCTATATTTTTTCATCAGGGTGAATTACGATTAATATCTTCAGTGAGCAGAATCCAGCACTCAAAAACTTGTGACTCAGCACTTCTGTTGAATGCCAGCATTTAAATCATGAATCAAATAGCTTCACTCACTAGCTCATCAATATAGTGCCAATTAGAAATGCAGGCTCAGAGCCTACAAGAGACAGCATGGCCCAGTGGAGAGGGAAGTAAGCATGCTGGACTCCTTCCTGCAGCTGTCACTGATGTCTTCTGTGAGCTTAACTCACTTGTGCCTCTGTTCCATCTCTCCAAAACAGAGATATGTAAAGGAACAGAAGAATGTTAGCCCTAGCAGAGTCAGGATACACATAAACACATCAGAATCTACCTCCTGACTTCTTCCTTTTCAGACTCTGACTCTTAAAAATAATGAGCACAGTGATCCATTACTTATTTTATCTTGCCGTTTTTCATGAGGCTCTTCCCTTATTTGTAGGAATCTCCATGCAGAAAAAAAAAGCTGGCTCGTTGACTTCATGATACAGATGAATTGGCTATTTTCTATGAATTATAGTAACAGCAGGATTAAAAGCAATAGCTGTGATTTTTAGAACTGTGTTTTGAATTCTTAAATGTTATTAATAGAAGTTGAATTCTCAAACTTACATGATAGCTCTGCTTTAAAGAGACTTTTGTACTCTGACTCTTCTTGACAGGAATTCCATCCTAGATGTAAGGAAGACAAAATCGTGGTTAACTGATGAATTGTCCATACAGACTCAGTAACCACAGCCATGGACAGCCCTAAGTGATTTTCTACCAAATGCATTCATTTATATAATGCAAAGAGAGGAGGCAGATTTTAAAAAAAGTTTTCCAAAAGCTGCTGTTAGTAACAGGAATTAAAATGAGGCATAGAAAATATAGAGACATTAAATTGAGGATAGAAATAGTTCAGGCCTCAGTGTTTCATGTGTTAAAAGTACCAACCACAAGTGATTTTAAAGAATAATTTAAAAAAATAATTCTGTGGTTCTTCCCTACAAAAATGAAGCTTGCTGTAATCAGCTTGCTTCAGTAGGTGGCAATAGCCAATTATCAGTTTTAAGATGTCAACAGAATTAAGAAATTAATCCAATTTAATTCTTCATGTTTGTTTCATCCGGAGAAGGGGCAAAATGACACTATAGTTCAGCTAGCAACTAGAAATCCTAAAACAGAAGAAAAGCATAATTTGCTTAGAGACATTTAGTTTGTATATTTGGCCAGTCCAACTCTTTGCATTTGCCCATTTGTAATTATTCTAGTTTATATGGAGTACAACTGTTCAAAATAATTAAATAGCCCACACAAGTGGATAAATCTGTTTATTTCTTCAGGGAAACTGTCAAACTTTTTTCCCAGCTGAGTTTTAGTACTTTGTCCACAAACTTGGAAAAAAAATAGCTGAATTGTTTGAATGGTGCTGTCTGAGGACACAAACGTGTTTCTAATATATGTGATAAAAAGGGTGAAGGCTAAGAGCAGCCATATATGGAAAATAACAATATAATGGAAAATGGTGATATGCACTGAATGACCTATTACTCTAGTAAAGATCTAGTTCAGTTAACAGACTTAAGGCTATGTACTCTCTGAAGTCTCAGAAAAAAAGACCCAGGGCTTGCTCAGACAGAAGAGCCCAAATAGGCCACAAGATCTGAAACGTACTGTTGCAGAAAGTCTGAAAACAGCAATGTTGGACATGAAACAGAGTCACTGTGTTTCCTTTGCTCCAGCCTGAATTGTGAAAAACAGTAACTTCACAGAATTAACAAAAATATCGTGACTGAGTTTCTTCTTCTAATGCTAGCGTTTTGCTATAATAGCCATACTGTTAAATGCTTACAGGTATCTTTTAGGCTATTGGAAGACCATAATTCTGAGATTTTAAGAATACTTGCCACCTTTTCATTTTCCGTTGTTTTTGAAATTTTTGAAATTTTTTGTTAAAAATTAGGATCATATGAAATTTGAAAGACAGACTTTCAATCAGCTGAATAGAAAGGCAAGATTGAATATCTTGGTCAATTGTATCATTCACACCCCATTTAATAACTGCCCCTACAAATGACAGTCTTGGACTACCAGCCCTACAGCAGTACTTGAAACTGCCATTAGACAGTTTTATATTTTGCTTTGGGGGCCCAATACATTCTGCTGTACTATTTTTAAGTCAGCCTAGAATCTGATCTACAGTGCAGAATACTAACAATCTCCCTGAACTGTCTGCTGTAGATCAAAGTTTTTATTTCAACTTGGAAAGCAATCAGATAAACAGCATATGAATAACCTGTTAGAGCTGCTGTTTCCCCTTTTCTTGTCCTTAGTTTAGGAGACAGGATTTTGAGTATGTGATTACTCTTAGCAGGGTACTGTAGCTGATAGACATTTGACAGAAATACCTCACTGGACACAAAAGTGCTTCTTGTTTCTGACCTAGCATCTACAGTAAGTGGCACACAAGAACATGTGAAATGTCAGGCTGAGTCAGGCCACGGTCACCCAGCCCTGGGTCCTGCCTCTGACAGGGGCAGGGGATGTTGTCTGGGTCTTCTGGACCTGAACTCTTCTTCAACACAGAGTCATCCCCAGACAATCATCCCCTCTCAAAGCTGCACCATTCTACACTATATTAAGCATCTGTAAGATTACAGTCACTAGTGGCCAGCATCTTCATAATCCACAGCTCTGATTCTGCTTAAAGAAGGCTTTTCAGGCCTTGTGTTTACCTCTGATGACAGTAAAAAATCACCTCTTAACAGCTGTTGGATACTTTGACCCAGTCAAGGCAAATCAGATAAACTGGATAAAGCAATATAACAGTAATTTAGTCTTGTTAGTAAGACCAAGAAGTTACCCCAACATGTTATTTAACTCCATAACTACTTACCAGTGGATCCAAACTGCTTTGAACAAAGAGATCCTAAAGAAGAAAAAGAGAAAGTGACAAAAATCAGAGACTATGTCAAATGTAGGCAATACATAATTAACACAATTATACAAAAAAATAACAAGTCTAATGAACAGTATCTGGTTAAGAAAATGTAGCCAGTTCAAATGTCAGTTTAAATATGTAGTAGCTCTAATGATATCAAACCTAGCATGAACTAGGCTATCCCACTGTATGTCACAGCTGGTTACAACCTCAATCTTAAGAGCAACCCTTTCTCACCCAAACATGATGGGTTATGGTTGATAGTTTATTCCCATACCCCTTACACTAATATCTTAATGCCTCTGTTAAAATTACACCAAGGACTAACGTGCTCTGATAAAACCAGGAACTGCTACATTGATTTCTCTGAAAGGTTGTTCAGGCCTTTATTTCTCAAGGAATAATTATCCATAGTCACAAAAGGGTTTGGGTGTTTTTTTTGTTTTTTGTTTGTTTGGTTGGTTTTTTATTTTTAAAATAAGTCAGTGGCACAGTGCTATATCTAACATACACAGTGACTTCTCTGTTTAAGTATATAGGGTTACTCTGTATTTGTTTTTTCTTTTAAACAGATTCATTAAACACCTGAAATGGACTATGACCAGGTTAATGGATCAAGTCATGGAAAGAAACTATATTCTGAAATGTAGAGATGAAAAGAAGGACAAGGGGACAAGAAGAGTTGTCATCAGACCTTCTCAGGTGTGACTTTTCTCCATGGTCATTGCCTCTTGAGTGTGCACTAGCTGCAGTGATTCATGCACCATACTGGGCTTCCATAGGTAATTCTGGGATGGACTGTATGAACAAATAATATAAGCTATATTCTATTATAACAGAAAATCAAGATGTTACTCAGATTTGATAAACTTTTGAATAAATACAATGTCACCCGAATGGACACGCTTACATACTGCTTAAGCAAGTTTTACAATCACACATTGAAAACTCTACCGGCCAGTAGTTCAAAGACAGCACTCTCTCAGGGGAAAATATGCAGGAGTGACTGCAAGGAGGTTCTGTTCAGGGCAGTATTACGGCAAGAACTGTGCTAGTAAGATATTTTATTTAAATATTGAGTTTTGAAATAGATCAGAGAGTGAATTTTATACAAGTCAGGTGGATTCATTATCTAACAAGATACTTTGCAGATTGTTTAGGCTTATGTTCCTATGTACAGATGTGAAAGCAATATAATAAAGACTGACCTTTTCCATGAAAAAGTTAAGCAGTCACGTGTTGGATTTGTTCTTTTTCAATTTGAGCAGAAAATAATTTGCATATGCTTTCCAGAAAATTCCAGTTTTCCTACAGGTACCTGGAAGTAGATCCAGATTGTTCAGATGGCCAGCATGTATGAAGTCCTTTTCATGAACAACTACTTAAAAAATCAGACCTGTACTGAAACACCAGGAACAACACCCTGTGTCAGGGTGGGGGGAAACCCATGTGTTATTGAGGGCAGGTATTATACTGTTTTTGTCTTCTTATATTTTTCAGAAAAGTCTAATTTTCATAACTGTGCAGCTGTTAAGCCAAGTTGCTCTATCAAGAACATTTCAGATAAAGCAAATTGAAAACATTACTCCTGAACTCTCTCTATGCATTATGTCTGTCCTCTGCAGTCTGTGTCTCTACCACCTGCTCCCAGCTCAGACTTTCGGATCCAGGCAGATGATGTCATGAGTCTTTTGACAGCCAGTTTGGGGGAACAATAGGGTGACAGTTTAGATCCCCTTTGAAACAATGACAAACTTGCGTATCAAAATCTCTTTTCCTGATACTCAGTGTGTTGCACTTAAATGGCATTTTTTAACTCCTAGTGCAGTAGAAATTAGCTCCCAGTCCCCAAAATTCTGTGCCCTGAATGCAATTTTCAACTGCTCCTGCAAGACATGAAGCACTGTCATTGGACTAAGTAGCTTTTCTCCAAGATAGGTTCCATCAGATGCAGTTTGGGGCCTTAAAACACTGGCTAGTGCTTTGTTCCATACAATCCCTGGCCTGCAATTCAGGGATTAAGTCATTTAAGGCACAATATTCTAAAAGGTAAAGAAACATTTAGGGAACTAAATCCCTATTTAGGCACCTATATAAAGAAAAAACAATTTGAAAAACTTTTTGAGCTTCTGTTGACATGTCCATTTGGTACTAACATAGGAAAGGCTGAATTTTGCTATTGAAGGCAGCATGCCTATATAATCAGAAATTCATACTGTTCAGAGACGGCTTACACTATTTTTTGCAGGTCACATATGCCATTTTAAGAACATGGTTCAGATTGTCATTATAGGTTCTTATTGCAGTATCTATTAGTTTGTAATAATTTCCCTGCACTAGGTTTATGCCACATGATGCACAGATCAAGCAATACAAATTCCACCAAGTAATTCATTTTGGAGATTCTGAATCTTAGATCAAGATTTCTGATTTTTCAGAACAGCTCAGCTTCATACATTTGAAGGATGGGGAGAGTAGTCAAGATTATAGGATCTGACTACCATCATAACACAAACTTTAGCATTTTAACAAAGCTTCTTTGACAACAAAAAGAGCATGGGCATAAAGAGAGTAGCATTTATCTCATCCTGAAAGATTTTTAGAACACAGATTTGATCAGAACAAGTTTTTTAAGGCAGCCAGTGAATTCAGTCCTCCGTACACAAGACTCTCATTTGACAAAAGCATTTTGGATGAGCTTTGTGCCATAAGAATATCCAGACTTTGAACCTTTATTATTTTAGAACTTTAAAACTGCAAAAAGTCTGAAAGGATGAAAAAACCCATTTTGCTGTTATTGACAGGTGACTTCAGTCAGCATTTTCATATGTTCTAATTCTGGATTTACAGTCTGTTGACGTTTCAAGATTCCATTGCCTGTTAAGAAAGAATTATTTCTCTATTTCCAGACCACTGAACTGGTAAGTGCCAGCAGGACCAACCTGTCTCCCTCCTGCACAGTGCTGTCTGTTAACCTACAATACGAATCCCTGAGCATGCCATTATGTTCAGAAGCCAGCAGGGGTTTCATAGTGTTTCCAAGGGAAAAAATAATTTTCAACCGGTACTACAAGCTACTGTAAAAATGAATACTCACTTTTATTAATACTTTAAGAAAGATGTATAAAGGCAATCAAAACACTGTATCACAATTTACGATCTGTACATTATAAACATACATCTCTTACTAACTCATAGAAAGAGAACAGCAGTATACCAAATGTGTTTTTATCAGTCCAGACAGGGTTCTATAACATTCAGCTGCCTGTGTAATATTTAGCACATTCTCAGATTCAGTCACAGTGAAGTGTAGCTGCAGAATATATCCCTAAAGGGGCATTTGTCATCCAAAATTTAGTTAAAGGAAGCCAAGGCAAGGGCTCACCATAGATCTGCACAGCCTGAACTGCTGCAGGCTGATGGGAACATTCACACAAGATTTGGTTCAAACTACCTTGGATTCAAGTAGCTGAAAGAGGGGACTGTAAATGAGACTTTCTCCATGACTCCGGCTAGAATTTTGCTAGAGAAAAGAACCATACAGATAGTTAAGAAAAATACCACTTTCTAGTTACAATCTCATTCTCCATAGAGTTCTTCCACCTTGCTCTCTTGTACCATTTCCTTCACATACTGCGTCTGGTTCCCTGCTCTCCTTTGATTAACAGAAACAACAAAACAGACCTTCCTTCTTTCCATCTTTAATCTGTCCATCCTCTATCTCTCCTGTCAAGTTTCAGCAGGCACTGAAATTTTAGCAGAGAAGTATAATTTGCTGGGAAGAACATAAAGATAGTAGTCTTGAACTGTTTAAATTGGGGACCTTTTAAAACCAAGTAAGAGAGTATCTGAGAGGTTAGTTGAGAGATTCTAGTTTGCATAGATCATTGGGTCAGTATTGTCAGTGCTTCCTAGCAGAAGAAATTTCAAGGAGGTTGGTGAGCTAGCTGTGAAGTAGAGACCTCCCTTCCCAATTTGTGGCATACCAAATATCCCTAGTTTTTTCCATCCCTTTTTGTTTTCCTCTATTTGGACAGGGAGCCAGAATGCTAGTCCTAACAACTGTCTCTGTAGGATTATAAATTCTCTCCATGTTCATAGAGCTGAAATAAAAGAAAAAAGGAGACAATTGGTTTGCTATTGCAGTCAGCAGGACCAGCATTTGGCCCACACATCACTGAGACCAGCAGCACAGACACATAATAATGCTTTGAAATATGTTCTTGTCTGTCATTGCCTAGTTATTCATAGCTCTGTAAAAGAAGGCCACATAAACCACACACAGTGATTTCAGTGTCAAGTAGGAAATCGATGCTTGTACATTTATGCTACCACCTGCAAGTTGAAAAATGAATTCCCAATCCAGGTATATGAATTTAAAGTTTGCATTTGAGACAGAGTAAAAACCTTTGAAGATTGTCACTTTGAGGATTTTTGTGCAATAAACTGAAGCTGTTTGTATGCATTTGGTTTTCTGTGATAATGTCACAAAAATTCTTAATAGTTTAATAGTTTTCTGGCTTTAATTCCTTCCTTCTCTCTTTTTTTTTTTTTTTTTTGACCCCCAGTATTTTTGAAGGATTCTGTAACAAGAGAGTGATAGAAAGTATCTTTCTATCCCTTAAGACAGCATTGGTGATTAGCATCAAGAGCCACTTCTAGATTCTTGTGGATAATCTTACAATATCAGACTGTTTTCTAAGACTGATAATTCTTATTTATCCTAATGCTTCAAATCAGTCCAGACAGGTGAAATCTGTAACACTGAGCTTTGGAAGTCCAAAAATCATCAAACCAAATTTGATTGCAGTTACCACTGGCACCATGAAACAGATTTGATCTGTCACTACTTCAGATGTTGCAGATTCAGCAGCTTGCAGTCTACTCTCTGATGAATCGATGGAGTTTTATACTGTCAATATCCTGGTGATTCCTGGACACCTTTAAAGGTGATCACAATATTCAGATGCTCTTTTCATCTTTGAAACTTGATGTTGCTCAACTCTTCATCACTTCAGTAGAAACACAACTGGGTCTTTGAATAGCATTTTAAATGACATTGAAAAAATCTGAACTCCAACATTCACCCACTTCAAGCGTCACTCAGAAGCTTAAATGTGACTTCTTTTCATTTGGCCACTATCATGAAAGTCAGCTATCAATTCATAAAGCAGCAAGAAGATAGGAAAATACAGAGGACACCTTCCCCTCTTCTTTATGTTACCTGTGAAATTATGAAAACAGAATATTAGATGTATGGCCAACAGTATGATCACCGTTAATATCTCCAAAACCATATATTTGATGTGATCTGAAAACAGACAGCAGTGACTGGTAGATGCTGGATTTTTCAAGTTTGCGAGACAGGATCCAGACTTCCTGCTGCTACTTATCCTCAGTGCTAATGAAGAAGAAACTTTCCTCACATGCTCAGATACAATACTAATGTGGTAACTGGTGCCAAGGCATGTGCTGCAAACATGAGAGAACAGCAGTGGAGGGAGATGCAGAGGGATGTTTATGCAGATCTGCATTAAACACATCTTTTGTTTGGTGTGAAAGCTGAGCAGTGTCCAAGAATTGCTAACTTTCACAGAGTGGAGCTCTCTACCACTGACTGCTATTGTGCTCTGTCTGCAGAGGAAAAGAGGTCATTTGGGAGCTGACCTACATGTTCAGACACACTTATCACATGCTCCTGTAGAATGACAGACACAGCAGATTAGAGAAAGCTTTGCTTTTGTAAGGTTTCCTGGGAGTGTTCATATCCCTAGTGTCTTCTTTCCCAAGTAGGTATGGCTATTCAACAACACAAAGTGTTAGTTGTACTGTAGGCTATTAAGAATCACCACAATTTTTCACTGCTGCTGTATAAAGCTAGTCTGTAAAGCTGGTACAGCACATGAGTCTTCCACAACCTGTAGCCTGATCAGTGACATATATATAGCACGGTCTACATCTGGTGATTAGTGCACTGAGAGCAAGAGTCATGCAAAAGCTTGGCTCACGGCATGGTTTACGGAGCCACTGGCAACTGCAGCCATTGCCAGGACCATTCAAACAACAGCTCAAGCATCTGGAGATCACTCTGCAATGTGTTTTTGCCATCTGAGAGCAAGCTGGAGGGCATCTGGTATCTGGCTTGACTCCGGCTTCTCATTCTTCACTGGGATCATTTCACTGATACATCCTGCGTAATTTTTTTAAGAGCAAGAGGAAGCACATGGTAGAAAACCAGGAGCAGAAATCCTACACAGAACCCTAATTTCCCATGCCTGCTGCAGCTCCTTCAGACCAGCAGTGTCAAAACAGTCAGATCCTGGTGATCATCATGAAACTGTTAGCAAATTGCTAATGATGCAATTGTTTCAAGGATCCTTGAAACTATGCAGTAAGAATCAGTGAAGTAAAAATGGCTGCCGGTGGCTAAACCACACAAAACAGACTGAGAACAAGGGCTGTAGGAATCAGTGGTTTGCTCTGAGTACAGTACAGACACAGTGTCAGAGTGAGACAATCAGCTGTTGAGGATTTGTATTAAACAAAGGATAAAATGAAAGGAATTACTAAAAAAGAACAGAAAACAATCTCTAAGGAGTACAGAACTCATCTATTAAACATGAGAAGTACACAGAGCTATTTAGTTTCCTCAACAGAGAAGAGAAAGTAAGCAGGCCAGCCTCCAGTCACTGAACTGGGCTAAACCAAGAGTCCTAGAAGAAATCTGTTCTTGTTGATGCAGCTCTTGCAGTCTGCCAGTGCTGGTGCCAGGGAGATGGGGGATGCAAGGTGAGTGGGGTAAAGGGGCCCTGATGTGGTACTGATCTGGGTCACTCCAGGGCAGCATCTTACTTGGCCATGTACACATCAATGCTGCTACTGTGTCTGCTGCCAGTGAGACCTGAATCAACAGCTGCCACAGAAAGAAATCTTGTTGTCTCAAGGAATCAGGGTTTGTGTTACCTTCATAGGATCATCTGAATCTACACGCTGATCCTAGAGTCCAGCTGCTGAAGGTGTTCGAGAACTCCATAGGGAATGGTGGGATTCCACATCCTGTAAGGGCAAATTCAGAAAGGAAAGAGATTTTAAGAATTTTTTTACTTTGGTATGTTTGTGTTTTTGTTTTTTTGTTTTTTTTTTAAGTTGCCTTTCCCTTTTGAATATCATTCTATGAAAATATTTAAGCTATGGAACAAATGAAAATGCATTTTCATTTAGAAGCAAGCAGTTCACTCCTCCATAACCTGGCTGACTGGTTATAGGACACACTACAGACCTGTCTCCATAATTGTTCGTTAGCTTTCTATCAAAAAACCTTCCCCTGAATGTGTACTGGTAGCTTCAGTCTTTTTAACCTCTAACGGTGGCTGCTCATTGTTTATCCTTCAAATACAAGTCCTGCAGCACAGAGCAAGTCAGGTACTCTGGGAGGGCAGATGATTAACAAAAGGAGGTTCAATGTAAACTATGCTTAAAGCAGGACAAACTTGCTTGCCTGGGACGATTGAGAATTAATGCAGCTGAACCCAAAGTCAGCATTTTTAACATTTTTTTACTTTTTTACTGCTTTTATATTTTGGTGATGCCTTCTTTTGTGCCAAAAAATATCATTATAAATCTGACAAATACAGAACACAACTTTAGCACCAATTCTAACCCAATCTAGAGAACGAAGATACAGCAAACAGTATATCCAGAAACTTACACTAAGTTCTTGATATGGGGACATTTTCGTAGGCTGTCAGTCAGCTGCTGTGCTCCAACACCAGTTATTTTGTTATACTGAACACTGAGAAAAAAACTCCACTGTTAATCCAGATCACATCACGCAGTGGTGTAATCAAACATTTAATGCAAAATCAAAAATACTATACAAGCTTATCTGCACATGGGGGAAAAAAAGAAAAAGAAAAAGCCAAAATAGATCCTTGATTCAAAACATCTGTAATAAAATACTCAAAATGTCAAACAGGAAATTAATGAAGTTAGTTCATACAAGGGACTCCTTATTCTATGTACCTGAGGTCCTTCTCCAACTCCCCATGACCCCATTCTCCCATCTTAAAACCGATTTTTAATTTTTTTTGGTGAACTGCTTCTTAATCCTTTCTAGCCACTGACTATCTGGACACTGCATAAGCACAGTTTCCCTGTGAAATTTCCCTGAGATTTTCTTCCTCAATTTCCGTCTCATCTACCCCAAGCACAGAAGATTCAAATTTTCAATATCCAAGGAATTAAGCTCTCTGGGGCCATCTCAAAAGATTTCATACTCACTCTAGTACTCTTAAAGATGCCATTGCAGGAAGAACTTTCGCAAGATTTTCTGCTCCAAAATCACAAATGCTATTATTGTATAAGCTGCAGAAAACCAAACCGGTATAGTCACAATTGAATAGTGGATAATGTAAATAGATTATATATTAGATCAAGGAATTATAGATAAGGTTGGTACATATTAATTTCCAATGTATCCTTATTTATTTGCAGTTAATGTTTAAAAAATTTAATATTTTCTATATCAAGTAAGGTAAATGGCGACATCCCCTCTTCAGCTAGCACAGTTACAGCAAAAATAGGTCTAGATTCTTAATGAATAATGAGAGCATTTCTGTCTACATTAGATCAAATTAAAAATCTGCAAAATGAAGCTCAAAGATGTGGGGCACAGCATTCAAAAGATTTCCACACAAGCAAACTATTCCAGAATTGCACACCATTGCTTCTTGCATTCCCTACTGAGACACTTCATTCAGGCCTATGCCAGAAATTTTAATGAACTGGGATGGACCATTGGTCCCATTATCAGCAAACACACTCCACCTCATTGCTGGCTTAAGGCTCAGCACTGTGCTTAGCAAGCTCTGCATAAGCTTCCAGTAGATCATGGCCCTGGATGCACATTTGTACAGGGTATTATTCGTAAGTAGGTATTATGGATTGGATTTAAAAATCAGAACAGTCCTCATTATATTCTGAGATATCCTTCTGTATGGCTACACTGGGTCATGTTTTTCTCTCCTCCCTAAACACTTTGTACAAGAGTGAAGTCAATAGCTTGGCTGCTGCACAGTGTACATATTTGTTTGATGTTCAGTAATTTCTGACAGAGATAGCAAAGTATGTTGTGTAAAACAACTGAACAGGATACAACTACTTACCTTAGTGTCTTTAATGAAGACAAGGAAGGAAGAGCTGTAGCTAGTTTCTCCGTACCCACATCTGTTATCTTATTCTGTGATAAGCTACAGTAAGTGAGATTATCTTGTTAGTTGAGCACATTTTTTCTGATTTATTATAATGTGGGAAAATTAATTTTCAATGTCTTTTTTATATAATTTAGACAGTCTATTTAGACCAAATGCAGCAAAAAAAGACAAATTACAGCCCTTGAATGCAAATGAGGAATTGCCATAGGATTAACCTATTTCTCCCATGAATGCACAGATTAAGTATATTCACAGACTCATTAGCCTTTCATGCCCATGTGTTAGTTGTGCCCATAATTGTTAACACACAGTCCCTTAAGCCTCCAGGTTTAATCTGTTTATTTTCAAAACTTCCCCGAACTGTTAACCTTCCACTTACTTTAATGTTTCCAGTGATGTCAGGGTTGGAAAGACTTCAGATAGACTCTTTGCTCCTTCATCTCCTATGCCATTTTCACTCAGAGCATCAAGGCTGGGTGATGACAGAGAGAATTAGTTTCCCTTTTAATCTAGATGTTTGTGGTTTATTCAACTCAGAGACCACTCTATCTATCTTGAGAAGCTCCTTCTCTGCAATAGCCTCAATCAGCAAGAAGCATCACACAAATTACAACTTGTCTTATAAGCAGCTTTCTGCTTCCCAAATTGATAGGCTAAGAATGTTTGGGTTTTTTTTTACTAGTTGAACGCCTTGACCCATTTCCTTTGATATGCAAGATCATTAAAATGGTTATGAAATAGCTGTGTTCCAGCTATGCTGAAATGAGATTTCTAGTGCACACAGAAATGCAGAACTGACAAAATCTATCAGATGCTGTAAATTCTTGCCTAAACAGCTCCTTCTCCAGATAAGAAGTACTAGAAATGAAATTTTTCCTCATTCAGGTACCCAGATGGAAAGAGTTTTAGTCGCAATTTTAGATACTGGATCCCCTTCTAATCTGACAGACAATGCTGGGATGCATAGGACTTATTCCAATTTTTGGGCTTTATTGTTTTCCCAAAATATCATGAAAAGGCCAGATATAATACATGTGAATGGCTAATGGGATGAGCCAGTAAAGCCAATGGCCTTCTCAAAACCCAGTAATATTTCCACAGAGATGACAGAAGAATATTGACTATTGTTGCTACAATTGTTTCTAGCATAAAGAACCTTAAAATTCAGAGACAGCTGGTTTGTCATGGGTACAAGAGAACAAATAGTAGCTAGACTTCTTAAAACTCTAATACTGCTCTTGGTAAAAGAAGGGACAAAGACTGTGTCAAAATACATGGGCAGAACAAAACCAGATACTAGCAGAGTGTAGCTTTTTTATATCTTTTATGTGAACCAAATCCACAAAGCTCAATCTCTTACAAGATCTACCAGAAGTTCAAGATGTTCGTTGACACCAGAAGGTGCACAGCACCAACACAAATACTAAAGTTAACCCCCAAATTTAGCACTGCTGCTGATTCAGGAGGGAGACAGTTCTCTCTTGGGGCAGACATGACTGTGAGTCCCCCAGAAACCTCACAATGGGGGAGCCTGGGGTTCAGGCACATTATGGAGCTTGAATGAAGAAATAAGTAATCCACAGGCAGTCTTGATCAGTGCCGTGGCAGGAAGAGGGAGCACCCAGTAGGGCTCTGTACTAAACCTTCCCACAAGCTTTTAACCACTGAGTGACACAGAGGAAAGTGGCTGAAGGGGTATTAAACGAACCACTACCAAGTGTCTGCAGGTGGGATGAAGAGCACTAGCTTTTAATCTGCTGTTATTTTCTCTAGATGTTTTTGTTGTTTGGTTAGTTCAACAAAGCAAGTAGTCTTGTTGGCAAATAAAATGTTTCTTGGGTACATGAGCTCCCCCATCATCAACGGCTGCTGAGGAGCAGCATTAGTAAAGTTAATCTTTACATTACTCACTCTAAATGCTGAAGTGATGGAAATGCTGCAAGAATTTCCACAAGTTTTAGGAATCCCTGAAGGCCACACACTGGACCCAGCCTGGAAGAAAATAAATATAGACATGCAGCAGTTTTTTCACATGCTCAGAAATGGCAAAAGTTATGAACTTTTAATTTCTTCCCCTGCAGCCCCAAATGCAAGCTAAATTTACACTTCTCGGAAGCAGCCATTCCCAACAATCTGCAGCAAGGATTTCTGCTTTAAAGCCTCCAGATGAGGACCCCACAAGGCTAAAGTAAGACAGAACAGAGCTGCTCGTACACAAGCAGCGGTAGAGGCATTTGCCACTTTTTTGTTACTCTTTGCAAGACTCATCTCACTTGGCTCAAGATTCTTGTATTTCTGTTCTTTTTCTATTTTTTTTCAGCTTTTTCATTCTAAGTATTATACTCTTGATAAATGAGATTAATAAAATTAATAAAAATTAAATATTATCTTTTTTTTTCACCTCAACTATTAACAATTCAGAATAATTTAAGATCAACATGTTATTGCAGCTTAAAACATAAATTGAACTTTGATATTTCAGCTCCAAGCATTTGTCCCTCAGACGCTAACCTGTTATTTGGAGTTTCCTTGGTATCAGAACAAGTTCAGCCTAGTTAAAGGGATGAGAATTTTAACCAAAAATTTAAAATAAAGAGAAAGTCAGAGAGGAAATTAGAAAAGAAAGCAGCATAAAATCAGAAGTAAGGCCAAGAGTAACAGTTCCAGATTGGGTCAGATGTGAAGAGCAGGAAACAGATGAAGACCTGATGAAAATTCTGCATTGCACTGGTGCAATTTCTGCCTGAACGAATTCACATGCTATGGCAGGATATTTTAAGCAACAGAATGGCCTTGGAGGCTGCTTACAGTTTGCAGGGAAAAAAATCCCAAAATGTTACTACACCTAATTTTTCAAGTCAGTGTTTCCAAGTCAGTCTTCATTCCCACAGCTTCCTCCTGGAGAAACTGGTGCATCGGGGTGTGGACAAGGGGTCTGTGTGGTGGGTGGGCAACTGGCTGCCAGGCCACACCCAGAGCGGGGAAATAGCTCCTTTTCAAACTGGCAACCTGTCACAAGGGGGTCCCCCAGGGATAGATATTGGCCCCAGCACTATTTAATATCTTCATAAGTGATCTGGATGATGGGATTGAGTGTACCCTGATGAAGTTTGCTGACGATACCAAACCCAGTGGGGAAGTGGACACTTGGGAAGGGAGAGCCACCCTGCAGGGAGACCTGGCTGGGCTGGAAGAGGGGGCTGACAAGAACCTTATGAAGCTCAACAAGGACAAGTGTGAGGTCTCGCACCTGGGAAAACATCATCCAGCAGTGCAGCACAGGCTGGGATCTACCCGGCTGGGAGCAGCTCTGTGGAAAGGGACCTGGGGGTGCTGGGGGACAACAAGCTCAGTGTGAGTGACCGGTGGGCTGCAGCGGCAAAGAAAGAAAATGGGATGTGTGGCTGCATCAACGAGGGCATCACCAGCAGAGATAGAGAAGTCATAATCCCACTCGATTCAGCGCGTGCCAGGTCACACCTGGGACACTGTGTTCAATTTTGGACCCCGCTATGCAAACAAGCTGTGGCCAGGCTGGAGAGGGTCCAGGGGAGGGTCACAAAGGTGATCAAGGGCCTGGGCAGCCTGATCTGTGAGGAAAGGCTGAGAGAACTGGGTTTGCTCAGCCTTGAGAAGGCCTAGAGAAGATCTCATCACTATGTTCCAGTATTCGAAGCGCGGCTACAAAGAAGATGGAGAATCCCTTTTTACAAGGAGTCCCATGGAAAAGACAAGGGGTAATGGGTATAAGTTACTGCTGGGGAGATTCTGACTGGACACATGAGGATAATTTTTCACAATGAGAATTATCAGCCACTAGAATAATCTTCCCACGGAAGTGGTAGATTCCCCAACATTGGATACTTTTAAAAAAAGCTGAGCAGGTGTGGGGCCATCTTGTCTAGACTGTGCTTTTGCCAAGAAAGGTTGGACCAGAAGATCCTTGAGGTCTCTTCCAACCTGGTATTCTATGATTGATTCTTCCAGGAAAATGGTGCTAAATATTTTATTTGGGAGGCATTCTCTGACCTTATTCTCTCATGGCCTAAGGTCTGATAAGGCAGAAAAATACATCAGAAGTCTCAGATAGAAAAGTTGAGCCTTTCTGGGGAAAAATTATTTTCCAGGTAGTTGAATCACAATCAAGGTATTTTATACCCCGTGGCACAAGTACTACAGCTGGTGATATGGAGTTAAGTTTTAGTAAAATCAAGCAAAATTTATAGAACCATGTTGATCCATATCACTGCATTAGCCAGAAATTATGTTTTTAAAATTTTGGCCATAATTTATTAAATCTAGTTGAGAAAAGCAAAATAGCAATAAATGCAGTTTACTGAATGCTTTACCATAAACTAACTATACATCAGTTCAATGACCGTAGCAAATATCCCTGACTCTTCACAATCTTAAATGTACTCATACATCAATCAACAGAGAGATATATCACTTACGCAAATTCTAGTTTTCTGAGGTTTTTGATGGCAGGAATTTCATAGCTGCTGCAACCAGATACATCTTGCACACTAAATAAATCACAGTAGAACCAGAGTACGATAAATATTTTAGCAACCAAAACAGTGCTTTAAAAATAATTTCTTAGTAAACTTTTACAGGAAATAAACCACTGGTGCATTAACTGAGGAACCAGAAAACTTCTGCTCTAACCTTTCTTACTTTGATTTATTTCAATCTGATAACTGCCTTTCATAATGCAGACATCTGCTCTTTTCCCAGTAAAACTTAAAAATATATTATTCTAAATCAAGTATTTTCTGTGAAACACAAAACTTATTTTGTGTATATCTTGATCAAACTACTCTGGCTACGTTAAAATGGAAGTCACCATTTTTATTTAAAGAAACCCAACCAAAATACTTTATCTGTGTATGCTTCGAATAACAACCAATCCCCTAAACACATCACGAGCAGGGAGGAAATACAGGGTTTATAGATCACATAACACAAGCTTTTACCTCCTGAGCTAAAGGACTTACTCAGGTCATTTGTGACCAGTGGAAAACAAACCTTCATTTATGGCCCAGATGCTACTGGAGGAAAAATTAGTTAACCTGAGTTATGTAACTGAAAGCAAGTCGAAGATAGTATGCTCGGAGATCAGAAACAAATCTGAAGAAGAAAATGACAGCTAGCATTTTCATTGGCAGTTTTGGTAAATATTCTGCATGGTGCTGTCATTGCTCCTCCGTGCCATGACAACCACCACACACTGGGGAGGAGAATACTCTGAGATGATAGAAGAGCTTGCACTGCCTTAGTTCCTTCTCCTTTTGACAAGCAGAAGACTCCATTCTCCAGCACTGTCAGTGAAACCCCCATTTTCTTAAATCTCTAGTATAATAAAAGGACTTTTGATCATAAATGAGCCTACCAACTGATCATCTTCTTCTGCATCTCTACAAGATCTGAAAGGTCACTGATGTCCTTCATTGTCTTTGCCTTAAAGGGATCAAGAACAAATTTCTCTGTTGATGCTCTCAGTAGTTCGTAGTCTTTTGTCTGTTCTAAAGATTTCCAGAGCCTGACTGTATCACTGAGAGAGGCCCTGTGAAGTGACAAAACATGTGAAATCAACACATATGACTGCTGTTGTTGCATGAAACTGTCATCTACATACAGTCCTATGAATGACACTACTATCTAAAAGAATGACCAACCTGAATGACGCCACATTCTTTAGGCCAACCAAGTCTTTTAGCCCTTGCAAGTCAATGCTGCTGTTTCGCAAATCCAAGGAAAACTCTTTTCTTGACCTTTTTAAAATAGAGTGCAGTACATGGACATCAGGTGGCGCAAGAACTACACCCAGAAAAGACAGGTCTGGCTTGAGCCTTAAGGCCACATGCTGCAAAAGATAATCGCTTTGTGTTTCATAAATACAATGTAAAATCTCGAGTAACCTCTCCGGACAGAGCTCATTTATCTGCAGCCTTCTAATAGATTTCGAGAGTGTTTTCTGCTTCTTGGTTGACTGTTTCACATCCTTATTTGAAAGGGAGCAGAAGAAGGGGTCATCCTGAAGGAACAACAATCCAGCCAAAAATCGAGGCACTAAATCTAACCAGTTATAAGGTTTTTTCTTCTTGGATGGAAAAGACAGGTATTTTGTTAGACTTTTATCCTTTATCTCTTCTGCTAACGTAAGGTGAAGTGCACCCAAGAAATTCTGAATGACAAAATCAGAGAATGTGCTCCCAAACTCCTGTTCGCCACTATCTGAATGTCTGGGGAATGCGAATGGCAGGAAAAATCTGTATTTCAGAGCAAACTCTTTAACTTCCTTAGAAGGAAGAAGATCGCTTTTCATGGCACTTTGGTGCTTTTCTCCAAGATACCAGGCTATACGGGCTAGTGTAGCAAGACTCTCTTGATCTTGCATGGCTGTAACATCTGTTTGCAAAGGTATCTTTTGCTGAACAAATTTCAGGAAGACGGTAGTAAGAGTTGAAGGAAGGCTTTTGCCTCCCATTTCAAGTACTGCCTCACAGAGAAAACAAACGAATCGACACATAACAGGGCTGTAACAATGACTGAACAAGTACTCACACTCTTTGATTAATTTCAGTGCATTATCACAGTAGGGTAACCCTTCGAAGTATTTGGTTATATACAATTCTCTCTGCTGAGGGGAAAATCCTACTATTTCAATAGTCTTATCCACTTTGGACACATACTGGCACACCTTGTCTTTTGGTCTTGCTGTAAGTAATAAAGTACAACCACTGAGTATCTTTTTCTGGATGAGTCCTGAAAGCAGCTCCTTTATACTGCACAAGTCTTTCTCTGGCTGGCTGGCCAAGCAACGAGGAAAATTCTCATGATCATGCAACCCTTCAAAACCATCAAAAATCAGAAGGACTTTAGCCGGATTTTGCAATATATACTCAAAGATCTCGTTGATTCCCTCTTGAGGTTTTACAAAAAATCCAAGAAGCAGATCCTTCAGGCTGTATGGCTTCTCAGGCAAACTTATTTGTTTGCAGTCAAACCAAAATACAAATTCAAATTGAGAAAACTCTCCATTGGACCAATCCTGGCAGATCTTTTGAACAAGAATGCTTTTGCCCATTCCTGCTTTTCCCAACACCATGATCACTTTAGTCTCTAAGTTTTTACCTCCTGGGATTTTAAATATTTGGCTTTTTTTAAGAGCTGCCTTTTCCTTCCCTTGCAGACTGCAAGTTACCAGCTCCTTTTCCATTGCTTTTAAGCTATTCTTCCCAGTCCTGGTTTCAGTTTGGATTTGAACAAGTGTTCCATCAATAAACAGGTGATCAAGAGTTACTTCACGCTCCATGGCCACAGATTTGCACACATCTTGGAAATAATCCATAAGTGATGTACAGAAAGCTTCCACTGGCTCTAGAGAAATAAAAAGCATACAAGAACTGAAGAAACCAGTCCACAAATTACAACATTACTTCATCGTGATTTAACTACATAATTGTAATATGGTCAAAATATATCAGTTCCCATAAAGCATGTAGGTCTGCGACTGCAGGTACTTAAATTAGGAGTGCAGGCACAATAGACACTTTCAGACCTATGAACTGAATAATATTGGAAGTATCTACGCATATGATAAAACCAGCTAAGTTCACTAATATTCTAAGTAGGTACTACAGCTAGATATTTAAAGGTAGACAAGTCTAACATCTCAAAACCAGGAATTGTGCTCAGACACTCGCAACAGCTTCACAAATTGTTGAATTACAATTCCTACAAGTAGCTTTTCTGTATGGAAAGAAACACAGAAAAATTAGTGAAAAAATACTGGAAGTTTTAAGTTCAAGAGATCTAAACTCACTTGGTCTTTTGAAAGGTTCTTCAGAAGGAAATATGGGAACTCGGACTTCTTTCAACATTTCTAAACCTGGAGAAACAATATACTTGAAGAAAACACCTAGATAGTAATTGATGCAGCTTTCCTAATTTTAACAATAAGAGTAATGCAAATTTTCAGGTTCATTGCAACATATAGTATGTATCATCCAGAAAAAGAGATATTTTACTTTACAAGGGAAAGGAAAAAAATTCCTCATACAAGTACAATTCATGTGACATGAACTGCTGCAGGCAGTATGACACAAACAAGATGACAGCTGTTCTGACAGCTGTATCAAGCAGAAGACCTATCATAACAAGGTGACATCTACTGTTCTTTTCAAATGTCAGTGTTTTGCATAAATTCACATTCACACATAGGACTTCTTTATGTCATCAAAAGCAGTAGCTTCCTTTTGTTATTCTACATCTTGTAACCAAGCATTAGGGATGAAAGTCAGAGAAGTGACTGTTGGTAACAGAATTTACTCATTACTTTTCCTGACAAAGTATTGTCATTGTTCAATTTCCTTTCTTTTTGTCTGTTTGTTTTCAAACTACTGCAGACTTCTGCACTTGGTCAGATGAGCAGTGTCTGCCATACACAAAGAAATTGGGAATTTTTCAGAGAAAGCATAATTTCTACAGACTGGTAATGACAAAGTATCAGTTTTGACAAAACTTTTGGTAGGAAAAGGTTTGCAGATGCAGGACAGAATTTAAACTGACAGAGACTGTAAGAAACACATCCTCATCATTAGTCTTGTGGTAACCACACTCGGCAGAGATGTGGAAAAAAACCCCAAACCAAAACAGGTTAAGCTCCCTAGATTTGTACAATTGTATTTATTACCACAGTATTTGTTTCATCTTGATGTAGAATGTGGTTTAAAAAAAAATACAAATCTTAAAAGTTTCAGAGATGTGGAAATCAATTCCTACCCTGTATGACAGTAACAGATGGAATGGTTACATTTCAGAGTTGCTTCTAACAGGGAAGCACTCACAGACTTCTATCAAGAAAGTCCTTTTTCCAACGAAAGAATACCTTTGAATACTTTTGATATAGAGATAGTTCTCATCCTTGTAGAAGAAAAAATGATTTAAGATACTAAAATAAAGAGGGAACATGTCTGTTTTCAGACAAGTATGTGGTTTTGGTTTAGTAATAAAAGCAACAGAATGGAAAACCAAGAAAAGCTGTAGTGAGACGTTTAGATGGGAAGCAGCATTGGTCAAATCAATCAGATGTTAATAATTTTTACAAAAGAAAGAGACTGGCTTGGTAGCTTATGTGCTAATTTTTCTGCTGCATTTGGAATTCTGAAGTTTGTGACATATCAGATATGTTGTGTGGCTGTAAATCAATTGGAATTATTAGTATCTTGTACTCACATAAACAAGATATATAATTTACAAATACTTCCCCAAACCTAGGGGTATTTGCCTATTAATCCCCACTTTAAAAATTTGCTATTTTGGGTGGTGTTAGCCACCAGAGGGCAACAAACCACTTGTATTAAACTGCAAGCAGCTGTAATCGTCAGGGTATTCAGAGATCAGAAACTAAATAACCACTGAAATCAAGCTCCCTGTTCTAAAAGCTCTCTGAGGGCTGGAAGAAAAGTGTCTGAGGAAAGTTTTCTACCACAGGTGGGACTGTTATACCCTGACTGTTATACCCTGACTCTTTATAAACCTTTCTGTATATTAGACTTCTGTATCGTTTGCTTAAATGAGTCAATATCGTTTTGGTTTTAGGACTTTCATGTGAGCTGACTGCAGTCTGGGTTCCAGCACTGAGCATTTAAGATGTTCATGCCATGCCAGTTCCAGCACAACTCCCACTTCTGATGGTGCTCAAGCACACTGGGCTTTTGTATTAACTAGACAAGACGACTTCTTCCAGAAACTGGCCTTCGTAGCAAACACAGTAGATTGGCTGCTAATATATAGCTAAACCTGTAGCTCTACAACCCCTGATCTGCTCTGCATTTTGGTCTAGATTAAGCAGCCAGTGATCAATACAAAGAAGAAAATGCCATTAATTTTTATTTTCCTCAATAAGGTCAGTACGAGTAAAGCCTAGAGAGGAGAACTGGCTTTGAATAGAAGCAATATGCTCCCTTCCCCAATTCAAGGTACTGTATATATAAAATTTGTTCTTTACTTACCACAGAAATTAACTGGAAAGCTTGGGGATATCAATGTTTCCGTGGAAGAAGTCAGCACTGGCAAGAAACAAATGATAGTTTTCAGCCTAACATAGCTATCAGTATCTGAAATGAAGGAACTTAGTACCTTGTTGACAAGGTTTTCAGTACTTTCTGACTATTTATGTGGTTAAAAGGTTATTGACCATACCTGGATATATTATAACATCAGATGTGCCATTTCCAAGAACAAAGTTGAGTATCTGCTGAGGAGGATCTGCAAAGCCTGTATTCTCTTGGTTTCCTTTCATGCTGACAGGTAGACACTCAGGAATCAAAGGTGCTGAAGATTCTGAAATGAGTGGAGAACAATTACTCTTCTGTTTTTAAAGGCTCCTGGTTTCTAAAGGTTTTTAAGAAATAAAAAGCTTTCTAAAAGCTACTTATCCTTTCTGGCAGCTTCTGAGCGAATATTCCCAGTGAAGAGTTTATGAACCAGAATTCATAGGATCACAGAAGGCCCATAGAATCCATTACACAAAAACTCTTAAAAGTTACAAGTAATGTGAAATACAAGGGATTATCCAGCTTTTAGTGACCACTGGTTTTCAACAGTCTAAAGAGAAATTCTATTAACATAAGGAAAAGAGCTTAAGGCAAAGTCAGAAATTTGAAGAAGAGATTTGAATTAATTTTACCATCCTTTGCACTACGTCTTTCCCAAACAATTGCACATCATGCAGCTTGTACAAGCAGCTAGCAAGCATCCTCCCTCCAAACCCACACTCAGAAGTTTTTTCATGATGCAGAGCTTGCAATTCAATCAGCCATAGCTCTCAGCTTCTGTAGGTGTGACAGAATTTCTTCTGTTACTTTGTGATGTTTCAGCTAGCATCAGATACTTCAAGCTTTTTAACTTATTCACTGCTTCTTGCTTCCTTTCCAGCATAGATTTAACACAGAAAGGTGCTGAATTGTGTCTTTACCATTAGCACTTTCCAGTGTACCATGAGCACCTTCTGCTTGCTACACAGCATGATGAAGGCAAGGTGGTTATACAGCCCACCACTTGGATCGGTACTCAGTTTTTGTCAACAGAATTCCAACTTAGGTTTTACTCTATTATTGCAAATAGTTGATGTGGGGTGAGCAGTGGACAGACATTGTTTACCTAGGTTTCTCCATGGCTTTTGATACTGTTTCCCACAGCCTCCTCCTGGAGAAACTGGTACGTCATGATGTGAACAAGGGGTCTGTGTGGGGAGTGGGGAACTGGCTGTCAGACTGCACCCAGAGGGTGGGGGGAAATAGCTCCTTTATAATGTTCATTCTATTTCATTAGAGGCAATGCATTTTTAATTTCCATTGAATATTTTTCATTCTTTTAGTGAGTGCCACACTTTTGTGCTTGATTGAAACAGCTGCCATACATGTTTTGCCTAGCATTTCTCATGGTCAATGACCAGATTTATAAGAGAGTTTTCCCTTTGTATAAATCAACCTGTGTACGGGTGCACACCTGTAGCTGTACTGTATATACCACTAATTACAAAACTTTCCAACACATTGGTAGCAGGAACAGAAAAGGACATGGGCAGGTTAGTGAGGTGGAGCTAGCTGGATGGCTGTTGAGAGGCATAACTAGAGAACTGCCATTCCCTGCAAACATTGTAGGGACTTTCGCTTGAAAAAAAAGCAAAAAAAAAGGAGAAAGTTATTTAATTGCTAGAAGTTAAGGGGCCAAAGAAGAGGTCTCTATATATATCATAAACCACTTGATTCTGATCAGTTGCATTTAGATTTTCCAAAAGGAAGAATAATTCATAATGGCTTTCTGACATTTACTCAGGACTCAAAATCCAAAATGTACTTATGAAATTCTGCAGTAGATCACTTCTTTTTTCTGTAGTTCATCCTTTTCATTTTCTTTCTCTTCATCTTTCCTGGCCAGTCTTCTTTCTAGAAACCTTCAGATGTGTTTGTATGTAAATGATTTTACAGATGGATGATTGACAGGGAAGACATAACAATGTCTATCTTGGCTGTACTGTTTCCCAAGCATGGTTTGTTACCTTAATTTTGAACAAGATTAGGCAGGCCCAAGTACAATAAACTGGGGACCTTGACTCTACTTAGATCCTACAGTGCTTGTAGGGATAACTAGTCTGTGTTAAGAGGGTTTCCCAAAGCACAGTCACAAACACCTGAGTTTTCAAAGATGCAACTTGCCTCCAGCACTTGTTTTTTTCAAGAAGAGGACAAATGGCAAGGGAGACTCATGTATGATATTATCTGCTTACTGAAAGTTTCTTACCAATCAAGTAAGATATACTTGCTTATTTTGATCTAGTCTGCTAGTTTCCTTGGTTTTACCACACCCTTATTCTCAGAATTGGTTTTGCTTTTGTTTCCTCTTTCTGTCTAGCAGCAACAATTAAGTCTCTATTTCATCACTTTTTGTGGTCTAATGTTTCATCAGGAGCTACAAACCTGTGTGGGTTTTGTGCCACTGTAGTGTACACTCTCATTTGGAATTCAAGCTCTTTAGGGTGGGATGTGTTTACATTGTTTATCAGGAACTGATGTATTATTTTGTTATAGGAATCTTTCATTTTTACTGTGGTATAAAAATAGACTTTAAAGAGTGTTTTTCAGCTGGTGTGTAAATCAGCATGTGAAATTCCTCATTTCCTGTTAATTTCCTGTCCAAGGATTGTTGTGTCGCTACAGCCAAAGAAGATCAGGTACTGCTATAGCTAGCCACAAACAGTTGGGCAGATCTAAAGTTTAATTTAATTCTATTCATTTGAAAGAATCTCATCCTTGGCTTACCACTCTGAACTTCAGCACACATTATATCCTCATTATTGTAGGTAGTCTTACACTTCTGAAGAGGTAATGTATTTGCCTTTGCAGGATCATACTGTGACACTCATGTCAGGTTAAATAAATTCCTGATTTTGTCACGTAGCTCATCTTTCTGTCAATTAGATTTCTGTACTCAGTACTTACACTGCCTTATGTATATATTTCTTCCCTCAACACCTTCATTGGGTGAAGTAAGGCACAGAGTGATAATAATCTGAGCACTTTCCAGAAAACGATGGGTGCAGCTTTACAAATCATCTGTTAGCTCTGTGATGATACTATAGACTGGAATGCAAGTCCTGTAGGGTGAGCAATTTTTACTGTTTTGGTTTTGTTTTAGTTTTAAATCAGAAACTGATGTGCCATCTCCTTATCGAAAACTCTCAGTTAGTGTGGCATAAACATAGGCTTTAAAAAGCACCAAATCTATAAAGGAGTTTAAACAGTTAGAAGGTAACCCACCTTTAATGGGTACTAACTGCCAGGAAATTTACATGTGTCTGAACAACTACAACCAGCAGATACCAGTTCAGTAGGAACTCTGATTACCTTTCCACATCCAGAAAATGTATTTTTTTCACAGATAATTCTGCTCTATACCCCCCAGAAGTCCACATGAACATTGGAAAACCAGCTTGGGTCACAGTCCCAGTGCGTGTGAATGCTTTCTATGACTTCCATCAGGTTTATGCCAGTTTCTTAGCAATTGCTGGCCTGAATTTTGCTGAGGTGCAGTCCCATGTTCCAAGCACTCTGGATGGCTCTCTAGGTTACATGCTGGTTTTGGCTGCCCACCCTGACCTGTACATGGCCCATGGGGTTTGGTACAGTCAGAGTTCCCCTTAGGAGGCTTGGGAAGTGTGCTAGGATACAGTAATGCACGTGTCACTTCAAAACACAGTGTAGTGTATTAATTCAAAGATGACTGCTCTCACATGGATTTTGGAAGAGTATTCTGCTGGTTCAGCTATGCCTGAGACATGCATTTAGGCTACAGCTGGGGAAGAACTTTAGCACCATTTTACACCTAGGGAACAAGTTACAGTCTGCCTGCTGGCCACAGGTACTGCGTTGTAAATGGTCTAACAGCATGCAACATCAAGAAATTTCCCTTTCTCCCATTCTTACTTTGGTTTAAGGACTGTATAGCATGGACTGGGCCAAGAAGCTGTCTCTTCACAGTTATTATTTTCACTAGGATATTTCACTGGATTTTTGGAAGGTGTCACCCCTTGAACCAAGAAGATCAAACCCAGGAAATGCCAAACTATGGCTTGAGTCACATTACTAATTGTAAACAAAAGGTGTACATCATAAAAATTCAAAAAATTGGCACTGAACCAATTCTCCACTGTTTTGCTTTCTTCTCTCAATATGATTTAGAAAAGTTCAACTATGTCTCTGCTGATGCTAAGGAAGTAATTTTTCTATCATCTGGCATGAACATGTGCTTTTGAAGTGTAAGGACCCAACTGTTCCCAAGCTACCATGGTCCTAAGATGCACAGTTTAATAGCTACTGATAAGAGAGCACAGATTTGTTTCATCATGAATTAGTCAGAGGTGTATAAGAATGTGATTCTACAGTGATTTCTACACTGTTGGAAGTAGAAACATGAAAATGCATGATGATGCTATATCATCAAATCTATGACAGGAAACTTTTCCTAGACGGTAAAGTTACAATACCTAACAGAGGATGAGGCGTCAGAACATGAGACAATATATGATCAATAACCTTTTCCTATTCAGCCAGTAACTCACCAATTTTCTTGTATTTGGGTTCTGAAGCACCAGAACAACTCTCTGTGGAGTCTAACAAGGCTGAAAGAAAGAAAGGTGATTGTAAGTGACAAAAATTGAACCAGTTTTGTCGTTTTAAGTTTCCGCTGCGGATACTTTTTTTAACTTTTTAAAGTAGAAGGGGGTGTTACCAGTTTCAATTCAGTTATTTTAGAACTGTACAGGTTCAATGTATAAAACATGAATGTGAAAAGCCTCATATTATTTTACTGTGACTGTGAAGTTTTTTTGCCAGCAAAGATTTTTGCTATTGCTCTTGCTGTTAAAAAAGGAATCATTCAGCTAATGCCTGCTAAGCTATAGATACACTGAAACCAAAGTTAACACTGTCACACAGATGCTAAAAAAGGGAAGAAATACAACATGCTTAATGTCATGTTACAGGACAACAAATTCTGCGAATTATAAAGAATGTGTTTGGGGGAGCTGTTTTCAATTCCAGTCCACACAGGATGAGCCAAGTCAGAGGACGCACATCTGGTTGCATCACTGAAGAACTACATGAGAGATGCACTGAGGCTGTGTTAAAACAAAAGTACTATAATGTAAATTTAGAATTCATAGAATCAGAGAACTGTTTGGGTTGGAAGGGACCTTAAAAATCATCTGTTCCCACCCCCTGCCCCTGCCATAGGCAGGGACACCTTCCACTAGACATGGTTGCTCCCAGCCCCGTCCAACCTGGCCTTGAACCCTTCCAGGGAGGGGGCAGCCACAGCTGCTCTGGGCACCCTGGGCCAGCGCCTCACCACCCCCACAGTAAAGAATGTCCTCACTAAATCTAACCTAAACCTAACCTCTTTCAGTTTAAAACTGTTACCTCTCGTTCTATCACTACATTCCCTGATAAAGAGTACCTCCCCGTCTTTCCTGTAGGCCCCCTTTAATTAAAACACTACAGCCTTTCAAACTCTCACTGTTTTTCACTTACTTCGTTTGTGACATTTCTGCATCTTTATGTCAGCATATTTCTCTGTGTTTTCTGCAGCTATGTCATCCAAAATAAGGTTCCCTGCTAAAAACATGAAATATTGCCAAATGTCAACCTTTGTTCACCTAGAAAAATTATAGAAAGAGGTAAAAGCAAGAGAAGCACACCAACAGGCAGCAGAGATGAAATATACTCCAAAGAAAAAACAAATTCCAATGAAATGCATATCCAGATCAGTATGATTTAGAAAGCCCATGGAGTTCTGAATGCAGATTCTGTCACCATGTGTTAGTTTCTGAACTGCAAAATATTAATCTACTGCCATAAGTTCAGTAGCTAATATAACATAAATACTTCTCAATGCTCTGATGAGGAGCAAAGGATAGAACATCACAGCCTGTATCACAGTGTGATCTCAGTACTCATAAAGTTACTTATGCTATGTACGAAAAGGATCAGATCCTTTAAGAGACAGAGTAAAGGGTTCTAAACCAATTTTATATTTTGCATTGAAAGATCTATGGAAATATCCATACCATTCTTTTACTGGAAAATACTTAAGTATTAATACTGTACCTAATTTCCTCTAAAACCAATATAAATTTTGCCATTAGGTGCAAAAACTCACAAATTCTAAACACACCAGGGAGCAGTAAAAAGCATTTTAAAAGTCACGTGAGCTTCCTGTAGACAGAATTGTCCTAGAGAAGGACTGACCTTTGGTATGTTTTTCCAAATTACTTTGCTCAAAAATAAAACACAATATACAGATAGCCTATGAATCTTTCTGAATCTATGGGTTTTCCAATAGCCACATATTAATATATATATTCTGAAATAATAATCAGCTGCATTTGTGCCATTACCAAAACAACTATTTAGTACCGAAAGCCAAGCAATTATCTCTGGTCAAGCACTGAATTAAGGAAATGAAGGAATCATTTACTACATGTGTATTATACCATTGCTGCACTGATCAGAGAGAGAAGTAAAATTTCATACAATTTCTCAGGCAATAATGTGCATCCTGGACAGAAATAAGTGTGCATGAACTGCATTTATACTCATGCTAAGTCCTCTGGGTGGGTCAGGTTTAATGAACATATGTGTATCATCCACATTGTCCTCAGAAGTCTGATGTTAACTGAGGGCATATACTGCACTAGACAGTTAAGCTGGGCATACACTATGGCCATGGTGTTGTGATCAGCAACTTGGTCAGAGATAAAACTGCCATCTTTGAGAAAGGCCTGCAAAAATACAGAAAATCAAAGTTCGCCAAGAAAATCCTGGGACACAGTTCCCCGGGGGGAAAGAACGTGATAACAGACATATAGAAACCTTACTAGTGTTCAAATTGTGGGGATGAAGTACAGTGCAGATGTTAGCCGGAACACTGTCATGGAGAAAATTAATCTTTGCCCCATAAATCTTACCAAAAGTGTCTTCCACCTGCTTCTCCTGCTGATCTTTGAGCACATATTCTGCTAATTCAGCTAGCAAGAAGGAAAAAATAAAAAGGAACACGGTAATGACACAATAAATTTCACAGTGAAACTCTTGTAAGCTTACCCTCATTAACAGAATTTTGTAAAAGTGAAATTGAAGAGTTAAATTAAGTTTTTCTTGTAAATTGATGTTCAGGAAATAAAGAACACAAGAAAGGAGAAGCTGAGACAGGAAGTATTAAGCATAAGGAGCCATTAATAGAGAGATTTTCCCCCAACAACCACAAGCTACCGTTCATCTGTTTCCCCATGATGCACAGGTTTACGTACCCTGGCTAGATCTACCATGCATGAGGGACAGGCCACTTGAGTATATGCCACTGCTTTAGACTGAAAATAGAATTTGTAAGAAACAGCTATAGCAAGTGACTGAAAAATAATGATTTAAGAAACAAAAATTGCTTTCATACCTATTCTAGCATACGCTTCTATTGTGTTGGAACAGAGATACAATTCATCCCCATTTTCACCATTTTCCATCGTACAAAGGAAATCCATATTATTGAGCTGATCATAGTTGCTGGCATCAATTCCAGGATCTAGAATTAAAAAAGAGTGGGCATTGGCTCAATGAATACCATAACCAAGGATCATAAAAAACAGATAGCAGGACATGCAGAAAAGGTAGATTTGTTACTTCAGCATAAGGCTTGGCTCTTCATTGTATGTTGGCTAAGTAGGAACAGAATTGAACTCTTGGTAATCTATAGCCACCCAGAAATCAACCCTTTTCTTTCTCTAAACTCAGAAACTTCATCTCTCCTAGTAAATAAAACAGTTCCAGAATGCGTTCTATGACACTAAGGCCTACACACATGGCTTGGACTCATCCATACTATCAAACCTTCTTACTCTTCAGGATATGGTGGTACCATCCAAATTCCCTGTTCAGAACAATGTTGGGTCCATGCTGATACCTGAACTACCACTACAAATTGCCTGTGAAGCTGCTAGTTGGCCAAGGCCAAAAACACGCCAGAGACCATGCTAACATCTTTACAGCAGAGATGTTCAGCTTCCAATAACTGTCGCCATGTCCTGACAATGTTAAATTTATCTGCATTATCTCAGACATTACTAAGGCTCAAAAGTATTTAAATCAGTGGAATATCTCTGATATAGTAAGAGTTAGTCTTTGATCCCTAATTCATCCTACTTTCAGTCACAGAGCAAGTGAGGCCATGGGAGTGAAGAAACACTCCTGCAGGTGTTATTAGCAGTCAGAAATTGAGACAGCAAAGCTCAACCTGGGAAATAATTAATCACAAAGATGATTCCAGATTCTGGTGCTCAGTTATATACTGATTTGCCCATGTACCTGCTGACACTGGTCACTCACAAAAGCAACAATGATGCGAAATCATATCCTCCAATCTGGTAATGTTTTATACCTATCAGGTACAGAGCTATAGGACTTCATATCTGGTATACATCTGTTCTTCATTCATCGCTACTCTCAACCTACAATCCAGCTCATTTGTTTAAAATAAGCTCTGCTATTGCTCCACCACACAGTCAGCAGCACAGATACACTTTCATACTTTATGCCAGCAAAATCAGGGAGAGCAGACTGTTCCACAACCTCCACACAAATTCAGGAGCAGAAAGTTTGAGAGCCAGGACAACCTCCTAATCTGATTACCTGTAGGAATTTATGTGCAAGAAACTATAATTGTTATGCCTTCTGCATTCTCCTCTATCACAGAATCATAAAATCATTGGTCTGTAAAATGGCATCTGGTAATGAAAGTCCATTGTATCAGTGCCTTAGGATCTCAGAAGGAAATGAAATGCTAGTTTGCTTGCAGACTGGTTTCATCACAAACTCATCTAAAAGTTTCTGTTTTGCAAAGCTTTTAGCTTGAAACTAAAAAAGTGTTGACAATTGCACTTGATCAGCTTATGACAGGAACATTTTCAAATAAACTACTTACAGGAATGATATCCAAACCAAAGGCATTGGCCTCACGTCTTGATGAGTGACATGTACAGTATGTTTTGTTAGACTCACTAAGCAGGAAGCTGTAAATATGTACAGTTTTAAAAACATGACAGTTTCTGAAAGCAGTCACTATTTTACATAGAGATACGGACAAAGTTATCATATAGTAAGACTAATTGTCTGTTGAATTTAGGCCAGCCACCATGACAAACTGCCATTAGATGGCTATGTAGTTGGAGGAAGATGGCAGTAACTTATAGCATAATGACTAAATTAATCAAGCATTTTTCAGTGTTTTACTAACCTGCAGAGAAGTCACCTTCTTCATTTCCAGATGACTTAGGATCAAGGACAGTATACAGATGCAATGGATCAAAATCACTGTGCAGCAAATCAAGATAGCCATTTTCAGACATAAATGAATCCATTATTTGTCTCTTGCTGTCTGAAATCAAATTGCAAAACAGTTAGCTATGACAAAACCACAGCTTTTGTCAATCAAAACTAGAAGTCCTGCACTGTGGCCTTCTGTTGACAAGACATTGAAATCTTAAGGCTGTGGAACTGATATTGTTTACCATGTCTTACACTGAGTTATAACCCTGAGTTAAAGATCCAGATACAGTTTGCAATGAGACCTATCTATTTTTTGCTCCAGTCAGGGGAGTGGGATCCTGCAGTCTGACCACCTGGACCAAAAGTGCCAAGTACTGAGTAAGTTGCAATTCCTGTTTATATTCTCTTTATGAGAATATAAATTATGCAAGCGCAGATCCAACAGGTATCAGGGAAATGAGAAGACTGCAGTGAAGAGGATGGAAGAAGAATCCCATTCTTTATTGTCAGAACAATTTCTTCTCAGGGAAAGCAGCTTCTGGCTGGGATGCTACACTCAGTTGCTAAGCCCTGGAAGTGCAACTAGGAGACATCCCCTCGGCACAAGAAAGAACAGTGAAAGGCAGAAAACTTATTTTATATAATTCTTTCTCCAACCATGTGGTTGACTGTGTACAGAATGGCATAGTCACCTTGGGAATTAGTTTCTGGTAACAGGGCACTCACTGACATTTTAGAATCTATCACAATTATTTTAAAATCAATTTTCTTTCCCTCTCAGAACTCATGCATGCACCTACTCATGAGTTGGCAATTGCTATAGCCTTTCAAGCAGAGTGCCAGAGTCTCCAGACAAATCTGTCTGACCTAAGGTGCTCCCTGCTCCAGTCACCCATGTTTATATGAGAGCTGCTTAGACTGCTGCAGCTACATTTCTTGATAAAGTTTCTCTCTTCCTCCACCTCATTTTAAATCCCTTCTATTTCCTTCCAGTTACTGCAGCAGTCACCAGAATAAGCTCAAACATTCCTCCTGGATATTTCACAAGTAGTGGAATAACTCTACTTGTTGGTTATTCATCATCATTATCAAACTACTTCAAAACCATATATTGTCTCCTCAGTGTTTACAAATCACTGATATGAATGCTCCTGTGCTTCTGATCCAAGTTATTTACTTATAGTAGTTATAATACTGAGATGCCAGCATGAAATGAACAACCAGCAAAATTTCCAGACCATATCCTGTTAAAATAGGTGTCCACACACAACAACCATTAAAAGTTTCAGTTTGCCATCAACCACCATATTTTACAATGAAGGATAGCTATAACATGGCTCTCAAATATTCTGCCTTTAGCAGAATGCCACTGATGTCCCTGGTTGCACACGTCTACTTCCCCAAGGTGTGCAAATGTGGAGCAAGCTGCTGCACCATGAAGTCTACCTGCAACATGAAAAAAGAAATACAGCTAACACTTCAGCTCTGATGAAGGCAGAGCAGACGCAGCACACACTACCACATGCTGCTTTGTTATAAACTAATCTTCATTCCTCTCACCTCTCTACAGGATTGTCCCTCTGAGCAGCTTGGGAATGGACCTCTCTCCGTTCTGCTGCTGAAGACACCAGAATCAAGAGCTAGAACTTAGAAGAGAGGATGGACACAGTGAGGTCCTATGAGTAGGAATAACCTACACTCAGTTAGCTCTCCTTTTTCATGTTGTGTGGCCTCATTACATTACCAAGATTACAAAAAACTGGTATTATTACCGGCTGTGATAAAAACGGAAAGCAGAAGTTGACAAACCTGCATGAGAACCAAGAATGAGGTTATAAACATACTAGATGAAATTTTCAGTTTGTTGCAACATTTTGTTTTGCCCCTTCATTTGTTGAATTAACATAAAATCTAAACAGAGATGGGCCTTTCAGAATGCCAGGTTGCCAGACTTTGTGAATAACGCTGTTGAAGCAGCACCTCTATGTCAATGCAATTTTGGGGTTAGAGACAGAGAAGCAATTGGGCAGAAGCCATAAAGGGAATGCAAGGCAGACACATGCATCCCTCCAGGTTCAGTGATTAGTAAATTGCTCAACTACAGCAGACAAAGAGCAAGTCATATGGAAAGAAACTAAATAGGCCTACTTAATTTTCATGGAAATACTAAGCTTTAATTAAGTCATAGTCACGAGAGCTTTTGTTCTTTTAAACCATTCTTTCAATAGCATTTCATTGTGAATAAATACAGAAGTAATGTAAAATGTTTTCAGCTACAATGGTCAAGAAGTCAGGAAGCAACCAAGAGGAAGTCTTGCCAGTGCCAAGTCTGGCTAGAGCGCTGAAAATTACAGCGTAAAAGGTGCCATAACCCAGGTGCACAGGACTGAGAGAAACATAGCCTTCTACTTTGGGAAGAATGAAGACTGACACTCTTTCAAGAATGAAAAACTTGATTACTTGTCTTTTTTGTTTCACCAGCCTTTCTACTGACTACACAGGTCTTGGGATGCTGTGATTTCTTTCTGTAGCTGAACCAACAAATTCTTAATAGCAGCTGTGCTTTGCTGCATTAAAATCCTGGTGCCATCATGGCAAGCTTTCTGTCCACAGCTACAGGAAAAAAAAAAAAAGTGAAGTTTTGAAAGATGAACATTTCTACACTGAGAGAGCCAGAGACAAGCAGAATTACACCTCAGGGACAGTGAGTATTTGCTGCTTGTTGTAACTGAAGGACACAAAATGAAACTAGATGTTATCCAGCTTGTTTACAACAGCTATTCATTTCCAAGGGCTTCCCCTTTTTTCTCACAGCATCCCAGCAGTCCTCTATCTGAGTCCAAAGATGAATAAGCTCTATACTGCTCAGCACTTTCTCTGTTGTTTCTTACATGATTTTAAATTAGTTTATTGATAATACGTTCCCTTTGGGGTCCCATACAGTGCTGCCAAAATGGGCATTTGGCACATTTTCACATCAGAGGATTGAAAAACATAGTAATTTCTGTGTTAGGGCTAGAGCCAGCTCCCCATAGGAGGAAGACAGACCTCGCGCAGACGTGCAGGAGAAAGGGCCGAAGTCCCCAGGGATGCCTGTGCTCTCCTTTGCAGCAGGCCTCCGTGCACAGACTGCGGGCTCTGGCTGGGGGGAAGACAGAACGTACTTCCGAATGCATTGCCATGCCATTCAGGAAGTTCAATCCTTTGTTGTCTGGACACTTGTTAAGACGAGTTTATTTTCTTTAAATCTTGAAATAACGAGACTATTTTCTTCAAATCTTGAAATAACACCTCCTTTCTCCAGCAGCCTATACACTCCTGCTGCACTGCTATATTCACTAGACTTGTATTCCCTTTGTTTTATCTCTGCAATGATTCAGTTCATACCTGCTACAGCAAGGTTCCTCCTTGGGATGCGTTTGTTTTAGCACTGTATTCTGCATATACAGCACACCAATATGATTCACTTCTAAGACTCTCAATGCTTTTTTCAGTGCTCTTTTAGAGTCCAATTGATACCGTATGAATTAAAAATTGCTGGAAAAGTAGTAAAAGAAATAGTGAACATCACCATACCAGGACAAAGAATCAAGTTAAAGAAAGGGTAGGTGTTCACTTAAATCACTGACAAGCCTTAAGAATTAGATGAGCCATTTTAGATTTCTAAATGTAAGGGCAGTAGTTGTGATTTGTCATTTTGACCCAATAATTTTATTTAATCATGCTTTATATTTTAAAGGATTGAGATGTTAAAGACTCCAGGCAATAGGGTCTGCTACTAACTAAAATTAGAGGGTATCTCAGAAAATGGAAAAGGATTATACAGCCAATAATGTAACATTTACTCCAAGTATAAGGTGGATGTTTCTGAGATTTGTTAGGGGGTTTCCTTCCCCAAAGTCTGTTGACATCTGAACTGTCAGGTAATAAAATAATCCCCCACGTGAGTACAGAGGTTAAGAAAATGAAAATAAGTAAAGTCATTTCGGGAACAGAGGAAACTTCCCCCACTGTTTAATTTTTGTACCAGATTAGGAAGCTGAGGATAATTCATAGAAAAGAATTGTAGTGCCATACAAATCACACATTTCTTAACCAGATGACATAACATTACAGATCCAAGTCTTAGCTTACAGAGTGGGACTGCTGTCAAGACAGGAGGTTGAAAAATTAAACGCAAAGATTGCTGAAGAAATGTTATTTTCTTGCAACACCCCAGATCCATTAAGTGCTACACATGAATCTGAGCAAAGCAAACTGGCAAAAAACAGGTTATATCAAACTCTAAGTAAGGAGTTCAGTGAAACACTCCTACTTTGAGCAAAAAGCTCAGTATCATCAGCCACAATTTTAAAGTCTTTTTTTTTTATAAAACAACTTTATAAAGTCTTCTCTCTTCTTCTGCACCCCCCAAAGGTTATGTCATTGTGCACAATACACACACAAGAAGGCAGGGATGTGTTTCCTGGCTTTTTGAGGCAGGCAGTGTTTTTGGGCAATGTTCTCTGGGAGGTGGGCAAGGCAGCAGCAAGGAAGGATAAAGTCTCCTCCATGCTACAGTAACCTGTTTCCCTTTTCTGTCCCCAAACCCATCACTAACAACTCCTCTGCTCCACAGGTACCAAACAGATTTTCCTTTCAGAGATGGCCTGATTATTCATAAACTGCAAGCAATGGTGCTCAATTTATATTTAGCTTTGAAGGTTTGAGTTTCTATTTCAGATCTATGAAAGGCTTGTACATCTGAAAGCCAGTTTAACTTTTCCTGTTGTACTACCTGATTTAACAAAAGATACAACTTTTACCAGCAGTCTTTATCTTGCCAATGGAGCGGTGTGTTATTTTCCATTTATATTCTTTATAAATCTTTATGAGGCTTTATAATATAAAAAGGAAAAACAGAGATGATGCTGGAAAAAGAGCTGCTCTATATCCTGCCACATTCTTCTTTGTCTCCTTTAGAGATAAGTTTACAAAAGTTAGAAGAGGTATAAATATCAGGTAAGAGAAGCTTCTACCTTTCAGTGAACTTAGCTGTATAGTGACCAACACAACAGATAGAAGAAATGTTACTAGCCTTGCACTGGAGACAGCTCAGTTCAGGCACACTAGTAAGGCACTGTCCTGCAGGCATCAGAGTTGCGATCTGAGAGTAGAATTTGCCTTCTCATATCCAGTATCACCTCGGTGTGTCACAGCTGTGCCCAGCTCCCCCATCCCAGCAGTAAAATGAAATAAAGCAGCACAGCAGACAACTTGCCTATAAGCTTTTCTGGCAGAAAAAGTATATTTGCACTCAGAGACTTTCTTCACAATGGCCTCTCAGCCCTCCTAAATGTGAAAGTAAAGAGCTCTAGGTTGTCTTGCCAGATCTGTGACTCTCCCAATGATCCTGTTTCACTTTCTGTAGGAGTAACATTTAGACAAAAAACATCTACGTACTTAAAGTCTGAAACAAACTACCGCAACCTTTTGAGCAAGTAAAAGGGCTAGCCACAAATCAAAACTGCTGAAAATTCTCCAAAATTTCACCCACATTCAGACTTCATCCTACTAATATTTCAAGCAATATAAGTCCGGATACTGACATACTGTAGTTTCCAATATCTAGAAAAGGTAAGATAAGAGGAATTTACCATGGTAAAAGCAATGCATTCAAGAGTCGAGTTAAAACTGACCTTAGGAAACTGGACAGTTCCTGTTCTTTCACTCTGGATTCAGTACCAAAACCGAGGAGAGCTGCTATCACTGCCCAGAGGTTACAGAAAGTGACACCAGAAATGAGGAAATGAGCCAGACCAGTCACTGCAGAAAAGCTGAAGGCTCAGGGGAATTCCAAAGAGGAAAATGAAGAGGCATCTACCTTCTAGCAACCCCTGTATAAGCATTGTTACCTTTACCAGTCACTCGTCACCACTAAGACCTTTCATTCATCACTAGTTAGGAACAGATTGATTTATTCAGTTAGAAACTGAATGAGAGCCAGCAGCAGCAATTTCTGGTGCTCCCCAGAATTCTTCCTCTCCTTTTTCATTCCAGTTCAAATCTGTCCCAAAGGCATGCTGTTAAACAGTCCAATAGTAAGAATAAAGCAAACAGCATGCAGACACTCTTACCTTGCAGTTCCATTTGGTGTAACAGAAGTGAAAGTATTTCTTTCACATGTTCACAGACTCTACCAATACAAAATTAGGCTGGTATCTTGTGCAAGTGTCTCTTGCCATTGGCCCAAAATGACAAGTAGGATGGTCTACAAAACAGGAGCTCGTAAATCTTGTCTGGCTTACAGAGGATGTTCAGGGTTTGCTTCTAGCAGCATCTGACAGAACATTTATTCATCTAATCATCCCTTACCCTGCCAGTGCCTACCTGGTGTAAGCCAAACAACCTTTTGAAAAACAACTTAATTAATGAGTATTCCTATCATGAGCCACACAGAAGCAACTGTAGGTATCTCCAAGTTTATTTGCCTATTTTTCTATTTTTTATCATGCATAGACCTACACAAATTAGAAATTAAATATGAAAAAGAACATATTCTCAAGTGAGCAAATACTTTTTGTACTATTATTCCACTGTCTGTAATTTATAACAAAAGTTCCACCAGTCTGAAGGGGAAAGGAAGGAAGTGGGATTTGATGAAGTCAACAACAGCCAGGACTTGCTGCTTCATTAAGGCAAGTTTTTAATCATCTGCTCAGTAACAAATGGCTTCTGCACAAAGCAGCAGGTCCCATAAGAAAAGCAGCTGCTGACCTCTGTAAGCCTTTTCCTCTTCCAGAGGAGATCCACTCCCACCACGCTCCATGGGAACATGCTCACTGAAAAGATATAAAGCTGTTTCCTTCCTGGGAGTGGCTGATCTCTTCCCAGTATTTAGAGATATGGGCCCACCTCTGATGCAGAACACCATCCTCTTCGGGCTCTCTAACCTGAAGCTAGGCAGCTGTGTTCTTGAAATTCTTCTATGCACATTAGGAGAAGCAGCAACACATCAGTACAACAGCATTCAGAGCAGAAAATAATGAAAGGCTGTACAAATACAGATTCTGTACTTTAGTGTTCTGTTTTGATAGGAGACAAAAATACAATCATCATGTGAGAAATCCCTACAAAATTTAACAGGGTTATTTGTTAGCCCTATTCTAATGTGCATCACTACCCCACAAGTTATAAGCTTCTTCACCAGCTCTGCAGCCAATTTCTTTAACAGCTTCTGAGGCTGTAATCCCATGAGATGACCTATAGACTTCAAGAATGAAAGTTTGGGGAACAAAAGAGTTCAGTTGTTCACTGTGATTCCAGTTCTTAACTGCAGCAAATACTGGTTGCCTGCTTTTTGTACAATACCCATGGCTGCTTAGAAATAGCAGAAAGGAATTGCTGGAGCAAATCATAGCACTGGTTCACCTAGTGGACTAGCCTATAAAGATGGTCTTATAGGCAGAGTGGAAAAGCAGACTGGAAAACAAGAGGCTGTGAGACAGCTGAGAACTGCCTAAGGGTCTCAGGTGACCATCAGCTTCTTTGCTTCAATGTTTGCTGATACGCTGCCCTACTGTAAAAGGAGGGAACAGAACATACTGATTAATACTGAAAGCACTGCAAAACAGATGTCAATAGTGCGCTTAGAAAGAGGGGGAAAGCTGGGACGTTTTTATCCAGGAATTGTAAAGATCTGTTTTGCGGTAGAAGAAATAGTTGCAAATCTATTAAGTAGTTAATGAGGAACTTGCTGATATCAATCTGTTCCTGATCTGAATTTTCATTTCAAGGCTTTTTCAGAGTGAAACAATGATTGAACATAAGGCTGGAAAATTAACAAATTTTGAAAAGAAAGTCAGAAAATAATTTGCTACAAAGGAAGCTGAAGTCTCTAATACAATGAGTCATTTCCTGGTGAATTAATGTCACCACTTTTTTTAAGCCCATCTCTACTACAAAATCTAGAGAACAGTAACAATGGTTGAACAGGTGATGGATGAAAACTAAGGCTTCTTCTGATGCACTTCAGCTTCCTTCTGTCATGTCTCAAATAAATGCAGGCATTGTGACAGAGATAGAGAGGAAGTCCTGACAGGATCAAGATTTTTGAATGGAGATATTAGGTGCTACCATTATAAAAATGAGAAGGAGCAGATGTCTTTTTAAGCACTCGAGGGATTTAATTAAAAGTAGAAACAAGACTATATATACTCCGCACATGAGTGACACTAGGCCACTTGCTATGATATTCTACATTTAAAATATGAATACTTGGCATTAATTTGAATGTAATAACAGAGCTAAAATCTTCCAGGTCAGTATTTTGCCCAGTCATGAACTATCTTTTTTTTTTTTTCCCCAGGATTTCCTCTGGTATTTTCATCCCTGCCTTGAGAAGTGATGATACAGTGTTTTAGGAGAGGAAAAAATTTATAACCCTTACTACATTGCAGCCCAAGGTCTTTCCATCAGTTTTACAGGACTACCCCAATATTCTGTCTACTAAGTATTCTTTTATTCTCCTTCTACAGTTGCTTGGTTTTGTAAAAGTAATTCTGAATGGTATAATTTAAGCTGGGGTTCTGTTGTTTTACACAGGATGGACAATGTTCAGATTGCTCCAGAGCTATGCCTGTTCTCCAACATATACCATAATCCTCTGGTGGGACAGACTAAAAAGTGAGTTAACTACCTCAGAATTATAAGACGTTTGCATTTTTAGCTCTCCTGTTGCCCACTAAAAGTCTCGAAACTCTTGAATCCAGCCTCCTAAATTATTAAGTACTTTCCCTCCTTAAATCTGTGCAGTCTCTTGTAGACAGTGCAATTTTGTTGCTTCTATTCATCTGGAATTTAAAGTAGAGAGCATTCCTCCCACATATGATTGAAAAAGAGTCTTCCCTACGTGAGTTGTCAGCATGTGTCATGAACAAATGCTACTCAGACTATCAACAGTTGGTATGTCAGTTGAGAAAAGCTGACCTTATCATGGTCTCTTTAATCTACTTTGCATTTCTGGTTCTGCAAAAGTTGGCAAATAACAGTTTTATTATGGCCTGACTATGAAAATGGGTATATGGTAGCTACCCTGAAGGGGTGGATCCTTTTTTAGCTGCTCTTGCATTACATTCTTCTCTTTTCTCATCCCCATCTGCTCTCCACTGATGTACTTTGCACTATGCCACAATGCAATCTCAAAATGCAATAAACAAAAGTAAATATTTAACAAAGCAAAAAAGAAAAAAAAAATGATTTACCAGAAATGTAATTGCTTCCTGTTGGCTCGTTATCTGTCATGCTTTGAGGCTTACTGCCATAGAGGTTTAAACAAGGAGGAACCAAAGTTTTGAAGTACAGGTCCCACTTTTCCACAAATGTCAAAGATATCTTCCTTGCAAGGTCCTCTGTCTTTTTCATGGAGCAAGGCTTGATGGTACTCCTTGGATATCACATCTTCTTTCAGCATGAGGTTAAGCAATGTGTGGTCATCAGAAGTTGTAGCAGTTGAAAGAATCTTCCTTACTCTAGGCAGGATCTCCTTAAAGGGATTCATACCTGCATCTGAAGATGTTTAAAGGAGGTCTGAGCAAAATCTGAACTGTTTCAATAAAATAAAATAAAAAAATGCTCCCAGTATCAAAAAGACAAAGTGAAAAAAAAAAAAGTTAAGAGACTTTGGCCTGTAATAGCAGAGATATTTCCTCATTTGATTAAGCCTTTAAATAACATTTCCAACAACAAGTAACTTCTCGATAAAATGACACAACAGTACAATTCTTCCAAGCATTTACAAAACATAATTTTCCAATCAGCAACATGGTCACCTGAAAAAATATTAAAAAAATATATTTACCCCATTAAAGAAGGATTGCTATAGGTGGATCTTTGTCTCCTGGCCTGGCAATGTCATTGCTGAATCAGAACAGCACCAAAAGCTTCAGCACAAAACACATTCTCTGCAGGAGGGATAGGTTTAAAACTTGGAGACTCCAATTTAAGATTAGAGATTAGGTTGTGAATAAATTCTCCTTTCATGAAAGCCAAATGGACTAGAATCAGGGTAAAAACTCTGGGGTAAAAAATGATCCCAAATCTGGTTCTGGTTTCTGTCATATCTGAATTTAATAGGAAGAAAAATAAATAGAAAACAAGTTGGGCATGACTTCTATATATTCTTATTCAAAGTTAACATACTTCTGTTCCAAGGGGCAGACCCTTGTGGTGCAACACCTGCACTTGAGCCCCTGGGTACTCAGCACAATTTTCCCCCTGGGCCATAGGCCAACCAAGATGAATAGGAAAGACAGTGGACAAGAGCAGTTCAGGCACACCTTTAACGTACCTGATTCCGATCTCCCCTGTCACATGGAAACTGACTGTGTGCCAAATCAAAATGGATTGGGGAAGACAATAGACCAGAACGTTAAGGCACTCCTACAGCCCACTTGATTTCCTAGTATATCCGTACTTGGGTTGTGGCCCAAAGGGGGTGACACCAGAACTCCAAGATTTAACAAGTTTTGAGCTTGCACAATTGATAGAAAATCCCAGAATATTCTGTCATCCAAGTTGGACTGAAATGGAAAAGTACCTGACGAAAGTAAATTATCTCAGATCCTATGAATAGTGATTCTAAGTGAGACCCTTTGAGCTCTCCTGGATCACAGTGGGCTGTGACCAGCATCTCCCCTGAGCTGGGATGCCCCTCGAGCACAGACTCCTCAAAGTTTGCAGACTGTCTGCCCACAAAGTTGAAGGAAAGCCAGGGTGAAGTCAGACTTCTTGAATCTCAATTATCACTTACTGAGAGTTACAGATGCATTGTGAGTATTTGCTCCAAACTTAAGAAGAGAGAAATTTTAACTATAGGCTAGCCTCTTACGTTCATCTCTTTACCTGTTTATGTGCTTCATATTTACCTATTTATGCTGCCTTCACAAGTGTGGATGTCTATATACTTTACTGTATATCTGAATATTTCCACACTCTGTGTGTGTATGTTTTGTGTTTTTATATATATATATATATATACATACTTTCATTTAGAATACATTGTAGTAAGTTAGTGTGAATCTTGTCATTCTCAAATTTGTAATTACTGAAACTCTAAGTTAAATTCCTTAAACAGAAGAGTTTTCAAGTCCCCGGTTTAAATAAGTAGCAAATCTTCCATGCCACCAAACACGATATTAAAATACAGCTCCAAACCTACTACAACCTGAGCCCTTAATTCAGCTCAAAACTATTAAGAAGTCTTTTTTAAGATGGCTTTCTTGAGTCATTTCTTGCTCTGCTGTTGTAGAGCTCAAGACTCGGCAATGTCTAATTAGGGCACTTCAAATCCTTCTAAATGCAATCAATAGTGTTTTACCTTTGTCATAAGAATATTTTTTAACAGAGTAAAATAAAGAATGGAAGCCTTCAGATTGGCTAACTTTAAAAATAAAAAATCCAAAGTTTTCAGTAAGAGCAGAGTAAAAGAAACACAGCAAATTATCTTGATCAGATCAGCAAAATGTATATCTACAAGTGGAGTCTTTTTTTTTCTTGTTAAGAGTACAAAGATTATTAACCAGTATAACTTACATATAACTTGTATGCTGTGACTGCCTGCACAACACAGAATAAATTTACAAAGCCAACATCAAAAGGGAGAATATCATTAGCTACTAGAACATTAATGTATTAACATAAGCACCTCTGAGCCAAATATGAAGATCAGTCATGTTGTAAGAAAAGCTAAGGTACATAAATTATGAGCTGCGTTAACTAGATTATATTAACATGGTTCTTATTCATAGTAGCTACATCTGCTAACAATAACCTGTTAAAGACGCAAAGGAAACTACCAGTTTTGCTGAGATATAAAAAATACTGTAAATGAAACTAGTTTTCTTACATATACAACTTTTTAAAGGCAATATGTTTTACATTTCCAGATATTTGATGGTGAAAATGTGTTTTATGAGGCTCAAATATATAAAAGTGAACATCTAAAATTAAAGAGATTCTGTCCACTGCTTCCTACTGCTGATTTGTTTTCCTTATGCCTATTTAAAACTTTATACTTAATGATCTGTACAATGTTTTGCAGTGGCTTGTGTTAAGGCATTGCTACTGTTTGGGGAAGAGTAGTTCAGTGTTTTAGAATAGGAGCAACAGTGTTACAAAGATGGCAGTGGCTAAATAATCAGTTACCAACCACTAACAACTCAGTTTACACTATAGTTTTTTCCTAGCTTGTTTTTAGATACCCAATTGTTATAGCAGAACCTACAGCTTTGAAATAAATACTGGGGCAAAATTTCTAGGGCTGCCTGGGGGCTTACAGATGGGATTTTTAAAATCCAGTCTGCTACACAGCTGCCTAGACAGGCCTGTAGGTTGATTATAGGATAAGTATTCAAATATAATCTAAATATTTTTCTCTTTATTTGTTACTAGGTTTAACTACCTTGAATATTGCCATGATTTCTTTTCACTGTCAGACACAATTGAAAGTGGAGGAATAATTACACCTAGTAAGAAAAAATGCACTCAAAAGAACTTGCTAAATCTTTGTAACACTTTCAAGTACACTACTGCAAATTCTGGCTAAAATCCAAAATATCTTTGTAGAGTAACAAAAATTTGCTGCTTTTTCTGAATATTCAAGTTAATGTTCAATATCAGGAAATGCATGCAAAACATTGGAAAAACAAGCTATCTCATTATCCAATAGTATGATTTTGACTTGCAGTGCAGGTAGGTAACAAGTTTTACTGTAAGTATGTAAATGGTAACTAAGAAAAGCAGATTATTTTCCTTATGGAAACATAAATCCTTTGAATCTTTCTTGCATATTCTTATTTCAGAATTTGTCTTTTAAAAATATTTTTCTTTAAAGTTACTGCCTATATTGACTCAAAACATAAGAGACATTAGTCTTGTTGAAGTATGAATACGAATAAGCTCCAATTCATTCAGTGTAGCATTGCTTCTGGGGTATTACATGAAAAGGACTATTTTCCTTAAGTCTATCAACATAAAAATGCAGTGGGTAAGACACCTCCACTTGTACTTTATCATCTTGTGGAATGGAACACATGCTGAAGGCTGGTGGGGGTTTGCCTTGTGGAAAAGTCGGGAACTGCTTGCTACCATGGCAAATCTGAATGAGTTTACCACAGTTTGAGGATGGGAGTCAGTCTCAATCTCAGCTACCTCTGCAATCAGTGTGCTCTTGAATGGGTGTGACAGATTAAAAAAAAAATAATAATAAAAAAAAGTATTGTCTCTGTTATTTGGCCAGGAAAGTTTTCATCAACCTTTCCCAGCATCATCAGCCACATTCAAGGCCCCTCTGGGCAGCAGTTCTCCTAACTAAGAAGTCTCCTTCATGACGGGAGGTGAAGAGTTCAAGCCACATAAGAAGCTGTGTATTAAAAGAAGAAACTCAATTTAAACTATAATCCTCAACCAGTCTTTGCAACTCATTGACCTGCTGCACCTTAGCTCTGAAAAAGCCAGAAAGTCATGCTCAGTCCTCCAGGGTATAAGTGTGTTTGACTGTGAGGGGATAGAATAATGTGGGAATGGTAGATTTCTTTTTGTTGGCAAAGAACTCCCTCAATAGGATAGTTCCATCCAGAAGCAAGTGATGAAATACCTTGTGATACATCCCCACAATTGCCATTTAAGCATGAGAAAAACAGATTTTCTGCAGGTGTTTCAAACCTTAGGCAATTTCCACCTGCAAATGTGCCCAGGCAAAGTTCACCATGAATAGATCACAGGCTTTTCAGCCCAAATACAGTATTTTTTATTCAGTTATGTCAAGATTTGAGACAGATCACAAGTGGGATTGCCTTTGCATAGGTGTGAAAATACAGATTTCAAGCTGATTCCTGTTCTACTCTTCTCACATGTTTTAAGGATTCCTGAGGAGTTTTCCAAAGAGATCTGCAAGATTACCATCTGGAAGGAAGCATGGTTTCTATACAGCTGTCCTTGGCTTTTGCTGGGCTATAGGCAAACATACCAAGCAATAACATGCTAGAATACTCTGCCTTTGACCTCAAAACTGATTATCTTGTAGCTAAGGCCAAAATAAGGGAAATGTGACTACACTGGCTTAAGCTTTGAAAATCTGATTGAAGTTCTAGTGCTGCTACAGTCCTACAGTCCTAATTTGCAATTTTGAAAAAATAATTCAAATTGATTTCTATTTCTGCTTGTTTCTGTATTTGCATAAATTAAAAAAAAATTCTTAATATCTTGACACTAGATAAAATCTACTAAAGCTCATGACATACCCAGATACCAGGTTCTGAAGGACATAACCTGGCCTACATTGGTACACTTTCAGCTGCTTCACTGTCCCTAGGAAAAACAGTGAAATTAATTGCTAAGATTTTACTAAGATTATTTGGAATTCAAAATTAGCTGTAGACTTTGGGCAGCATCATATTTACTTAGAAGTGATACTTCCTCTCAATGCAGAGAAATCAAAAGCACAAGTTCTCCTTTTTAATTAACTTTCCTCTTTAAAATGTTTCATAGCACAAACAATGT